GGTTGCCGGGAATAGTTATTGATGAGAGAATCAAGATGATGATATTTTGTTCGTTTTTTAAAGCGTTCGTAGTGTAGTTTGGCAGTTTTTGCCACAGTAGGAAATTTTGGTCTTTGTGAATAGAATGATTGGAAACATAATATGGAGCTTTACAAATAGTAGGTAGGACTATGGATTGGCGTGGTTCTTACCAGTAGTTTGTAGAGTGATAGGTCGGCTGTGAGTTTTATACGGTTAGATGTTGAAAGTTAAAATAAATATTTCGACGACCATAATATGATTGCAACAGAAACAGCGAACGACTATATAATAGGTATTATAAGTTAAATTGTCCATTTAGTCGGGTACGAATGCTACCTACTTGGCGTGTTGCGCTTGAAATGCTGGTTAATCGAACGGAGAACGATCGGTGATGTTAATGATGATGTTGACTATAACGATAATGACCGGACGGTTTAGCGAAAGTCCCGCCATCCGGTGACAGCGGCCGGAAACTTATTTGCCCATTTGTCCCGTTCTCATCGCCGCCCCGAATGCACCACAGAGAACCCCCTACCCCCGACGTTAAATTTATAACGGGAAGCGTTTTATTTTTCGCCTCCGCCCCGAAATAAGGGTAGATCCGAAATGCCATTATGCGCATTACCCGGAGTCCAATAAGACCCTACATTATTATATATTATAGCCGTACTCCGGGACCCGGGCACCTTTAGCGCCGTCGTTGACCTGAGATTTATTAACGTTTGTCGTTTAATTATTAAGACCGAGGTCGAGAGAGGCCGGATGATAAACGCGAAACGCCAAAATAGTCGCTCCCCTCCTCTGACCCTCCCGCCTCACACCGGCCGACTGGCGATAACCGAAACGGCTTATACAATAACTAGTATAATTATTCCTCGTAGTATATTATAGTAGTTTTAAATTGTAATGAAAATAAATATTCTGGCTTAGCGTACTTTGAATTTCGAATGCAGATCGCTATTATTGTAACAAGGCTTGATAAGAGTATTAGACAAAATAAATATCAGCTTTAAAAGTAAATTTTTTTTGTCGAAAATTGCGTAGAATATCATCGACGAATTCAAACAAAATAACGGACAATAGTATTGAGATTAATAGTAAATGGTCGATTATAACAAACCTTAAAAGTATTTACTATAAACCGAACAGTGATCACATTATAACGCGTTAAACAAAATCCGTCACGATCTATGATTCGCCTAAAACAATGAATTTCGTGAACCGAAATAATAACAAGGTTGCCAGATTATTAAACGCTAACAATAAATTAATAAATTAAGTGATAAATGTTGTACTGTCTTTTCTTCATTTTTAATTTTATAATATTAAACGTTGTATATATTATTTTATATTGCACATTTATTGGCGTTTTATTACAGCATTCCGAATGTAGCGGAAATCATATGGTTTAGAACGAACATAATGATAGTTGACTGACAACATCTTTTAAATGGTTTTCTATTTGAAACACCGAGTAAAATAGCTTCCAAATACTCGAGGAATATACGGATGTTTTGTTTTACTTAGGCGCCAAAAATATTTAATTTGATTTATGTTTTTTAATGTTGGGGTTAAACGGGTTATTTTGTCCGGTAGGCGGTAATAGATATTTCTGTCCTAATAGCTGTTAAAAATTAATAACGTTGAAATCCCAAAACGCATTTTCAATGTTCTGCGATGCGTAATAGGTATTTTTTTTCACAACCGCCGCGGTAGCTACACGGTTCATGATGCCAGCGACGGGCCCCAGAATTAATTACAGGCAAGGCGCTCGCAGAAAGAGGCAGGAAGTGTCATATCCTATATAGGCAGCAAACGCCGGATATCCGGTTCATCTAGTGAAATCCCCTAGCCGCCGTCGCTATAACATTGTGTGTGTGTAATATACGTTCCATGTACTGCGCTGATATTGTGGCCAGTATGCACTGTTGTGTGTAATAAAACTTTGATGCATTATTTATGCATTACTATATATAGGACGATCAACTTATCGCGAACCACTCAATATCCCACTGGGTTAAATTAATAATTTTTTTTTTTTCCATATTGTTTTTACACAATTTATTTTTGTTTTTACCCCCTCCCAACTTTAAAAATAGTTATTCAAATTTGGTTATCGACCAGTCAAAATGTTTAGTACATTATTCTCAATTAAAAAAGTTAATAAAAAGTATGCGTTACCATTTAAGTTTGAAAAGTTGCTATCAAGAACATTAAGTAGAGAGGGTAAAAACTAAAAAAAAAAAATTGTGAAAAATTGAGATCACATTGCATAAAAACACTATGTAAAGAAAAAATTTAATTTCTTATTAAACCCACTGAGATTTTGAGTGATTCACGATAAGTTGATCACCTTGTATATGATATAAATATATATCCCACCCTAATGATAAAAGGAAAAACCATATAGCTTGATATCTTTCCAACCCTTATTGTAATATATAAATATATATTCGTGCAAATAGGAAATCGCTTAGTTCACGCTAAATAGGTATACTGTACATATTATTATTCGACTAGTAGCAAATATATTATAGTTTTTTTCTTACAAAAAAAAAAAGAAATCTAGTTTATTGTAATTCTTATATGCATACTATTATTTCCATATGGGTACCTTATAACGTGATAATTCTATGGCACCTCGATAGAGTAAAATATATACACTATACTTTGACCCCTCGCCGTATACATAAGTAGTATACATTATACATGATGGTAAACACTTACACTATCGTTACCATTGTTGTCGAATATAAACAATAATAATATGCACTAACAGTCTACTTATACAGATTTTTACACGGTTTGTTGTGAGTAGATATTTTTTTAAACATCTTGTGGGCTTTCTTGTTATTCTTCTAGTCTATAACCATATTGAGTTAATAATTTGTCTATTAATTTTTATGAGTTTAAACCAGAAATTAAAGTTTATTTAAGGAAGTTATTTGTAGAAATAATTATAAAAGTTGCAACAGCATAGCTGCTTTAAAAGCCAAGATAGAATTCCAAATTTATAAAACAAAACATGTTCGTTGTACGCAGGTATAATGAAAAATCTATTATTTATCTGCTTTATCAAACCATTGTTTTTTTTTTTAACTTAAATACCTAGTCCGTATTTATGTAATCTGGGAAGTGGAAACTGTTATGTCAAATTCATTACTTGATACATGCATTTCTTTATTACTTGATTATCTAATTTTTTTTTTACACTACAGTTTGTCAATTGTCATTGCTTTATTACTAGATTGCTTGTTTATTTTACTGTTGCTTTAATTGATTTTTTTTATTACTTAAGTTTTGATTTTTTCAATGCTAAAAATTAAGCATTCAAGTAAACAATTAAACAGGTTAAGTTTCTGATTAACAATAAGTACTAACATTGATGGGTTATAATATCACCAATTATTATGCAAAAAAAAGTATAATGAAGTGATAATATCTCTTCTTATAAAAAAAAACATCAAAAGCTATAATTTTGCTGGGCATACCGCAAGATGAAAATGTACTAGGTGAGTACTTAAAATATTAATTTTTTACTTCTTATTGCAATTATTAACATGGGTTCTACGACACTAGGTGGGTTCTACAATAAGTTTAACTAAGTCGAGTAACAAATCATAACTAAAATCAAGTTAACCATAGTTAGTGAATACCATACTTGAACGTGAAAAATAGGTACATTATATTTTATCTATACAAGCAGTAATAATCAGTCAACATGTTTGATATAATATCGTATGCATGTCTATAAACGTGTGCATTTTTCCTGATAAAAAATGACGTGAACGTTTTTATGGATTGGGTCAACAAAAAGGTCAATAAAAAGGATCCGACGAACGAAATCCCGGAAGTTCCGGTCGCACGATGCTGCTGTTGGGCGGGTAAAAATCCTAGTTCCGGTCTAGCGAATGAAATGACTTGCGGTGGATGCACCAAAGCTTTATAGATGACACGGCCCACTGAGGAGTCGACCGCCGTACACTTGTGTGCGAATTTCCCGGCTCTGTGCGCTCACTGAACATTATCAACCGAGCTAGGGGAACGAATGGATACGATATGGAAAAAAACGGTGCATGTGTATATGTGTAAGTGAAAAGGGAAGGAGGGCTAAATATGGTATGGCATACTTAGATTTCAAGTGTACGTTCACACACATACTGTCATACGCGTACGAGGGAAAAGGAAAATAATCGATTCTATCTGCGTCCTTTCTTTCTCTTATTTTTCATGATATTTTATAGAAATATGTTTAAGTACATTTATATATATATATTTATACATTGGTGACCCCACAGAAAGGACGACGATTCGGGACGAAGCACTATTACATGCGAATATCATATTCCTACTATAAAATTAAACATTACAAAATGGGTATTCTAAATTGAGGCCTAGAAAATTTTTATTTTGCTACTTGATTCCATACTCCAAAATTGTAATTAGAGTGTACAAACTATATCTAGTTACAATACGTCTATCAATAAATATAACATAACATAAATATGAACGTGCCGACTAACAGGATTCCGAAAAACTAACGTTTAATATAGTGGTATCGTTATCATATGGATATCGAAAAGCTATAAATTATATTGTTAGACATAGGCAGTGTAAAAATATACAACAAATGACATAAATGTTGGAAATTAAAATCACCCACAGGAATAACAAATACATCTTGCATCTATGTAGTAATCACGTATTTTAAGCTAAATTATTTTAAGTTTAAAATGTGTAAATAAATTATTATACCTAGTCAGTTTGACTCTTGTTGTGCACATCCTAATATATTGTGGTTAATTTTAAAACTTAATTAAACTTCTAATGTAAGCGGTACCTACAAAATACATTTTTGAGTAAATATATTATTTCAATACATTTCATTTTATTCATCAACATTTTTTTGATTAAGCACATGCCCGACTCATAATTTGATTTTTAAAAGAAAACCTTATTTTATATTATTAAGGCTTGTGCTCAAGTAGATAAATAAGTAAATAATAAATAAAATGATTTCCAAATACATAATAGTCATTTGGTCGCTATATGTGAGACTCTGTTCAATTCGGACTCTAATACGCTAACTTTATTTCGTAGATCCTGAAATTACATATAAAAAACAATAATGGTTATTATCACTGATGGCAATATTACCTATGTTTTAATTAGGTTGATACTCACGTCTATTTGATCCCTGTATTTTTTCTCAAATGCGTCTACCGTAGTGACTGTTTCCAACATCATTCTGGCTTGTCTGGGAGATAACTTTTTGTTGTCTTCAATTTTCAAAAGGCTTTCTAGATTATTATACTTGACATGATAGTCTTTGACATCTTTTCTCAACTTGTTGACCTCTTCGATGAGCACCATGTTTTCTTCCATCATTTGATAATAAGATTCGTTTTTTTTACTGCACACGTCCATCCGGCTCCTTAGAGAGACCACATTGTTCTCTAGCAACTGCCTTTGTCGGGAAAATTCAACTCTGGAGTCCAATTCTTCGCCCTTGGTCCCGCTAAATGACGTTTCATCAGCGTATTTGTGATATAATCTCTATACGCAGTAAATAAAACCACCGTCACTATTATTACTAGTTACTACTAAGTATTTTATTATCTAAGTATACCTACTACCAAGAGAAATGCAAAGTATGTTTAATACAGTACATACACGAGTACTGTACAGGTATTATTTAAAAAAGTTCAAAATAACATTTGTACAACCGTCGAAGTATAGACCTAATGTGTAATACTAAATTTAAGAATTTTTCATTGGTAGTATAACTAAAAAGGTAATTTGAATTTTAAATCGATAACCGAAAATTTCAAATAGTATATTACACGTGATCCTTGTTTGATCCTTTCGAGTTGTATGTTTATATTTTAGTTTTCACTTAAGGGGATTGAAAGTACCTAAGGAGATTTTGAATGTTTAAACCTAAATTACTGACAAATTTAAGCCTACTTAGGATGGTTTGATTGCAATTCTAAAAATGATTTGAGTTTATTGGTTTTTTTTATTATATGAAACAGTTATTGGAGAATCGACTTTTACAATAACCTAGGGAAAAGGTAGATGAGGCCAAATATTTATACAGAATTAAAATTCGATCATTCTTAGTTGGCGTAATATTGTCAGGCTTTTAGATCTATATTGATTCCTTGTAGGAACAAAATAGATTTTACTCGTAGAAAATTATACCCTGAAACTGTAAATAAATTGACATGGTCGAAATTTATTAAAACATATTTACCGCAACCGCATCTCTTAACATGATTGGATTCTGTAATTGTTGACTGACGTGATGCATTTCGACGGTCATGCGACTGATAATGTTATTACTCTCTCGAATAATTTGCTCGTGCTTTTGCACTTCTCCCTCCATGGTCTTTCCGATCTTTTGTTGTTCCGTGTAAAACAACTCCATACGCTCAATGATCATGTTTGTATCATCTAGTATGACTTCTAGCTGCAACGGAAATATTTTTAATACAAAATTAATGTCAACAAACATAAAATTACACACAATATATACCTTAAGTTACATGTGTTTTAACGTAATAGCTTTTCTAAAGGAAAATTAAATGCAGAACTATAAATATTTTGTCACAATAACAAAAATATATTTACTGTGTTTGAGATAACAGGTTTTGTTCAACAGCATGCATATGTACTAAAGTATGAAATAAAATTATAAGTTACTGCACTCACTTCTTCAATGGCTTCTTTTTTTGCTTGCATCTCCAACACCAGCGGCTCTATGGTCTCTTCTAGGCTTTTAATGTTTTCTTTCATCACTGTTGACTCTTTTTCCCGTTCTTTCAACTTGAGATTCTCGTCGAAAAGCTGATTATTTTTCTCTTGTATTACCTCGTCCTTGCTATTGATTTGTTTGGTTAAATCTTGTTTGATATTACGCTTTTCATTGACTGATATTTGCAGCAGTTCCAGGTCCTCTTCGTATTTATCAATCAAATGACTCAAGTCTTCCACTTCTTCCGTCGCACTGTGCCGAATAATGAACGAATCGATTTTAATATACTTAATAGTTTAAGAATAGATGCATTTATGTTTTACAGTTTAGTTTTCATTTTGTACGACCCCAACTCGCCTCTCAGATTCATATTAACTTTCTTTAGTTCTCTGATTTTGGTCAGGTAATTGGTCTTTTTCTGTAGAAATTCTTTATCCACGTCGTCTTCGATTTGATCCAACAACGCGAGAATGTTGCTTTTTTCTTTTATCATGTCTTCTTTGATCTATATTTAAATTATAATAATATAAAATACACCCAAAAAGTATTCTATTATTATAAGATGAGACGTAATATTTTAAAATTTACGCAAAACATTTTTAATTTTTAATTTTGCAAGTCTCGCCTTAATATATACTCACTATATTCACCAAAATTTGAAGTTTTTTGACAACTTTTTAAGTTTAAGAGATCGCTGAAAGCAGTTAACTATTCAATTAAAGATATTGTTGGTGATTTAGACACATGAGATTTCTCTAAGCGAAAAATGCGTATAGAATTAGATTATTTGATCACCAATAATGTCAAATATTAAGATAAACACTTAATACTTAAACATGCAAATATAAGATATAAGATACATAAAAAAGCTAATGCACCTTGGTTCTCTTTCAAATAAAAACAAAATTATAAAAATCCGACCACTCTATGTCTGTGAACATACTTTTAGGAGTTCTTCGTCTTTTTCATCGAGTCTTACGTTGAATTCATCAATAAGGCTTTGTATTTTCTGTTCTTGTAGCATCCTGGCTTTCTCTATTCCACTGCAATGTACACAAATATAATTGAAAACACAATTCAAGCACTTACGAATAATACAAATTAAATAAGCCGTAAGAAAAAAATTTCTTTGATAACGAAACAATTTATTAACATTATTAAATTATACCGAAATACATATTCGAACCATTCAATTAAATTATACGGCTAACTTCATAATAGTTAACGAGAGAAAGGTATGGAAAACTCCATAAAATTGTGCCACTACGGCAATAACCAAATGGACTTATGCAGATGGCACTCGTCCTATTTACACGATTGTCCCTATCCATTTCTATATAAATTATCTTATGCTAGTCGCGAGGACTAAGCCATTTGACAGTTTTTCTGCCGTCAGCTATTTCTATCTTAATAAACAAATAGGTTTGTTCTCGTATACGCAACACATTGCTGATTACTTTTTTAACTTCAGCGTCGATGTGTACATGCTGTCCTCCAAAATCATGAACTTTTTGTATTCGTGCAACAAATTTTCAAAATGACCAGTCTCAAGTTTCTCAATGACGTCATCGTGCGTTTCTTTCAGGCTATTCAGTACCTTCTTCAGCTTGTCCATGACAATGTAATGTTCCTTTGTTCCTTCCTTTGGGCACATAAATTTGTTTGATACCGATAAACACCAAGTAATCAATAACTATTGTCTACAATACTGTCTGAATTTTTTTCATAGAATCTATTATTTTCGCGTTTTTGTCTCTCATTTCTTGGACGAGATGTGTGTTAGCTTCTCTCAACTGGTCAATTTTATACGTCCGCTCCAACTCTCCAACGCGTATCTCCAGCTGTTCGATAATGGCTAATTTACTTTCAACGTCCGTCATAGTCACCAGGATGTCGTCCAAATACACAAATTCCTCGTCCGTCTTGATCATTAAATCATCGGCGTTTTTCAACTCCCAGATGCATATGCTGCCGTCTATTGAACAAGTTATCAGATACAAATCGTTCATCGTCATGGACATCTAAACGTACACAATAACGTCTCCATTAAACTACCATAATCATAAACGTATGAACATGGCGTATAGTTTTGTTTAATCTCTTTTTTTTTTCACTTTTTACATACTTATGGAACTACCATATCTGCTATAGTGTTAGTTAATAACTTAGTGGATTAAATTCACCTCTATTTCAACAAAAATTACCACTATATTCAAACAAATTAATTTAAATCTACATTTTTAGCTATTGTATCAATGTAACTAATATGAAAATTAAGCAACTATTTTAGAACATATATCCACTTACTGTTTGTTTTAGGTTATATTTCATCTATAACATTAAATGTAGAATTTTGTTTGAAAGTAGGTATCATTTAGCATAATAGGTATCATAGGTATTAGGTAGTGTTATCATTCATTATAAAAAGTATTAATTTTCACTTATTTTATTAATTATTTGAAGTTAAAACTATTAATGTTGGATTAGGTTTAAACTTTAGTACAAAGTTAAATTTTACTTCGGCCCGACCCCTGAGCGCTACTATTACACTCATATCGATAATGCAATTACAATTATAAGTACCTACATACTCACTGTAGTAATGTATTGGTTGTGCATACTGTACTCGCTAAATTCAATATTGGTCACGATCGGCAATGTTATAAACAACACCAAACCATTTTCAGCCGCTACAAATAACATTGAATCAGAATTCGAAAGCACCGCAGCGTCCAGTCTCCCTCGGTTAATGTTCGCATTTCGGAACAACTTTAAAATATAGATAGTGAACAAAAATATCATAACATTACTCAAGGTGAGATAAGTATGATGTACAGATATTGTAATTATTTAGAAGTATAAGCTGTAATTAATATTTTATCTTATGCTGTACCTGTGGTAGTATACAATCCCCTTAGAGCTTAATAATAAAAGTATTTACATTTTAAACATGTAGTCCAACTATAATAAAAACATTTTCTCATTAACAGGAAAGTAATCTCTACTTCTTTCAAGACAGACTGGCTACTAATATTTTATAAGAATGACCCGATGATTTTAATATATTGTCGTAAAACAGGAATGATATGAAACCAAAGATATTTCTAGGAAAGAAGAGAATTGTACAATAATCTAGATTTGGCCATATTATCAGCGAATTAATTTTATGAACATTTAAATTAGCAGTAACTCAGTATTTAGAGTATGCATAAATTGGTTTAAGGAAACGAGTATGTGTTTGATGTGAGATTATTATTTTTGTTTAATGTGATTTTAATTTTTTAAATAAGACAGGATAATTAAGAAATTGATAGTTAAAAAAAAGGATATTAAAGTGAAATCTTCAATTATGAAGTAACTTTCATTGCTTAAGTAACAACCACATATAATGTAAAAATGGTCATAACATTTTAGTAATATTTAGCAACTAATGATAGGAAATAATACGTAACACAAGTGTAGGTTAAAATAAAATAGAATTTTAAAAAATCAATAAGAAATAGATTCTTTTATAAGTATGGTTTCAATCTAAATAGCAAGATAATATCATAGAATTCTTTCAATAATAAACTCGCCTACTAACCGTTTGGTTGAAGATTTCTCTGAATCGACCGTCCTGGGCGATTGGGAAGATACGGCTGGTGTCTTTTGACACAGCTAAATCCACGTATACGATCTCGGGGTGCACAATATCCATTTCCCGTTCGCCGGTCCTCATGTTGAACTCGTATATGGCGCCATCTAAGCCACAGGTTATCAGTTTCGTATCGTTGCGGGACCACTGCATTGCTGAAATCTGTGGTAAATGAATACACATTAAGTAACGGTCTACAGCTGTCAAATTCAAATGATGGCGGCTTACGAGAAGAAAAAGAATATAATTAAGATAATTATTATGAAAAAAGGTGAAGCCTTAGATAAGTATTTCAACCGATTTAAAAAAAACTATCAAAGATGAAATAAACAACCTAGGCATTTTTTTCAAATTACTTACTCTTTTTTATACTAATTTTATTTTATTTTAATTATTTATTTACGGAATGCATCTCACTATTCCCGAATGTCCTCTGAGCGTAAACCTGTGTTCGAAGAGCACACCGCAGAACACGTCCACTTTGTGATGATTCGCCAACGCAAACATATGACCGGAATTGCTAAAAGCCGTCAAGTTGCAGTCCATGATAGCGAATTTTTTCCACTCCTTCAAGCCTTCCATTTGAACCAGCTGGAATTCAACTTTGCTGATAAATGTCGCCAACGAATACAGACCAGTCGGGTGCAGGGACACGCTAAACACGTTCTCTTGGTAATGCTGGGTAAGAAGCAACGTACAATCCGAGTAGTCCCACACCTTGATAGCACCGTCTATTTTGCCACAAGTCATGAATATCGATTTCCACTGACAAGTAGATAAGCTGGCCACGCCGCCGTAATGTAGCTCCTCGCTTAGCGGTCTCATGCTGACCGCCGAACCCTGTCGACGACATCAATTACACAGTGACATAAACACGAAATATTATCTTTATTTGTAATTTTTGTAAAACACATTTATGTGTCCGAAAAAAATCATTTACACGACCTAAACCTTTTTATACAAAAAATAATACACAACATGATGTTAACGTAGAAGAAAATACAGATCACTGCATTTTATCAACCGATATGGAGTAATGGATGAGGTGTTCAACTTGTTAATTTAGTTAGATTCGATTGTGTTTAGTACATGCGTGACAATATGACTATCACATTACCAATGTAATGGCCACATCCAAAAGTGTACGGTTTTGGGGATGCTCTGAAGATATGTAGAGCAGCTTTGATGTAGGTATGTTATACTCAGTGAGGAAGGAAACGACAACATCCCTACACCTATTGATAATGTTAATAATTTGATAAAACGTAGATACGTATTCGGACAAATAGAAAGGGACAGTATATTCTTTAGATTAATACAATATGATTGATATTGCACTACCAGAGAATATAATATTCTGTTAACATGTTCTTAATCTAAGGATCATAATCCAAGTACCATTGGTATATCCGGTGTTAATGTAATCGATACCCAATACAGCTGTAACATTCTGGTAGCGCACACCATCTTCTTTTCGTTTGGCGATACGCATATGCTATCGACGGTTTGTAAAGAAATATTTTCATCTAAAATACCCCCCTCTTTTTCAATGGTGAACACGGCTCGTTTCAAATACCTAACAAAAGAATTAACATAACATTTAAGTGATGTACGCATCTTATGCATTTAACATATTAAACCATTCCAAATTAACTTAAATTATATGCGCTGACAAGTAACAACTGTAAATACTTTTACTGGTAAGCCGCGCTCATGTTAATAAAATATTAACAGCTAAAATATTATAACTACCGTCTTACTTATTATTATTGGATTTTTTCGGCAATAACTAGTCATCCTAATAATATAGTTACTAGAAAATTAAAAAATCGTATGTATTTTAAATGGAAAACTTTAACTGCTTACAGGCAGAGGTTAGGATTGACTTAGAAAGTTCCAATTAGGCCAAAAAAATGTTTTTTTTTTCCAACTGAATGACACCCCGGCAAAGTAAAAATTCAGACATCACCCAAATAAGAACTACCCTAATCAGCATATATACTTATCGTTTCAAATTACTAATGATACCTCGTTACTTCCTGCTACTACATCCAACTATTTTGTATTTTACATGCTAAATCAGCTTTTCGATTCCTCTATTTACTGGTTTAACTGATTCAAAGTTAATCGAATTTGCATTTCTCTATTCTATTTTTTACTTCCGCCCTAAGCATTAATACTGTCTGGAAGTTCTACCATTTTCCTTTCACTCTGTTCTTAAATACAAGAACAAATATCTATCATGTTTAAATCTAAACCATAAAAACAAATAATTTTATGTCGCGTATGATTTGGACACCGTTCGATTTCTGTTGAAACCGATAAATCAATTCATGTACTAAATGTAAGTAGGTATACTCGTCGAGTGGGTTTGTTGGTGTGTACTGACATCTTATCGTCGCTGGATTTTTGAAAGAAGAACATCTTCTCTTCGCCCAAGACAAACATCAGTCCAGTGCTGAACGCCACGCAACACCGGATATCACTCAACCGGTGGTTATCTAAAGGCGGTGCTACGACTGCCAGGGGATTTTCCATTTTGGACTTAACATCTATATAGTCCATGTTGATCGCGGCGTACACTGCTCGCAAGTCACCGTTTTCCACGTAGAACACCCGACCGTCTTGAGTGCCGGCTAAAATCCTTTCCAACATTATAACACAATATTTGAATTTAGGTACATTTTAGTTACGCAGTCGAAGCTCACCTGTCGCCGTTCATCCAGCATACGCTGGTAAAATGTATGTTTTTTGAATTCTGAAAGCCATACTGCCTCCAGACTGATTCGCTAATGGTCATCAACCGAAACAAGCCGTTACCGACAAAACATATTATTGTATTGTCCGAAGGGTTCAGTGCCATCTAAAAAACACAACTTTAATTAGTTTTTCAGCATCAATTGGCCACATTTGTATAATAGTCTAAATCTGAGCATTAGAAACAACTGCCAGACCACCTGGCGAGTAGCGGCTGACACTTGAGTCAGGTGCTCCCCTATGCAAAACTACAATCTACATCTATCAAAGACATGCAAAGATCAATAGAAATAAAGGCAAGAGACTCTTTCCAATCCCTCTGGGAAAAAGAAACCTCCAATCAACTCTACCAGATTAACCCTATAATAACATAGAAAAAATATACTATAACATGTCTAGAAAAGACCAAACAACTTAAACAAAAATACGAATAGGTCACTCTCGTATTACTCATATCCACCTAATGACCAAAGAACCACAACCCAGATATGAAGTATGCGACTCAGATCTTACAATCAAGAGTGTCAACGTTGGTCAGAGAAACGAAATATTTTTGGTGACAACACAAGCCTCAAAACCATACTATGTACCTAGAATGTTTTAAATTATTATATTATTTAAAACAAATTACATTTATAACAATTATTAAATGTGTAATGTATAACTAGCTTAAATGGACTTTTTATTTTTTATTAAAAGAACTTCGGAGATAATTTTGAAGAAAGAAAAAGTCAAATGTTGGTTGACAGTCTTTAAAAAAAATACATAATTAACAACTCTGTACAATAAAAATTGACGTTGAGTTCAAAATAGGTACGTTTTAAAGACTTTTTATTTTCGCTGAATTCGAATCCAGCCCCAAGACTGGAGTTGGGGGTGGGAATTAGCTCTGGCACATAACCGAAAAAAGTGTTACCAAAAAGCGTAACCAAAGAAGTGGGGGTGAGAGATAGGGGTGGGAGATTTGGGTAAGATATAGGAGATAAGAGATATGCTGTACGTTCAACGTTCAAATTAGAACTAAATGATAAATTCAAAATAGTTTAAGGGCCCAAATTTCCTATGAATTGTTTTAAGCCAGATATTAAACACTACAATATTAGACAGAAACTTGATGTTTTTTTATATACTAGCTTGTTACTGCTTCTATACTATATTGTTATCTATAATTCCACCACTACTCTAAATTTATTCGGTACTTCAACGAGACATGAAATTGCTCTTTCGTGGTTGCAGACTCGGCTATTTGTACTCTCACATAAATAACATTTCAGTAAAACAATCACTCACGGCGACTACTGGCCCTTTGTTATTCGGCGGGTCAATGGCTTGTGTCGAACTTTCAATCATCGCGTTCTCCCAGCTGTAATAGTACATCATGAAATCCGGTCCATCGGTGACTGCGGCCAAGAATATATCATCGCTAGAAAAGTCTATGCTGACGAAAGCCTTGGCTCGGTCTTCTTCTGGCGAAGTCAGAGTATGCCTGTACTTTAACGTGTCCAGGTCGTAGATGCTGATGGTCGGCCGATCGCCCTTCTCGGCCAGAGCCACGACCATCCTAAAAATGTCCGGTGAAAAATCATTCTGGTTATTATAATTATTATTTAATAATAACACCACAAATGAAACAAATACGGTGTATAGTTATCCCTTCGCTTTTTTAATCTACATATTCCATTCCTCTTCTTTTCCTCACGGACGGATCCTCTATTTTATCATGTTAATACTGAACGCTTATATTTTAGCTATCGTAGACAGGGCCAGCGTTGGGGGAAGGTGGCTCTCGATTAAAAGTTAGAAAGAGCTTCTAAATCCAAAAGTGTAGCAAATAACTAAAAATTAATATTTTCAGATATTTTGGGGAAAAAACTGCGTGCCATCTCATCAAATGGTGTTTTCGATAGAGGCCTCCTCATTATATAGTATATAATGCTCGAAGCATGGAAAAAAGCCATGTACCCAAATCTAATAATAAAACAAAATTTGTTTTTGTTTGTTTTTTAATGTATTGCCGACAGACCTAAACTAATTTTTAAATAATTTATTATCATAAATCTTAAATATTATAATATTGTTATTTTTATAATTTTGAAATTAATAAATCCTTAATTTTAAATCAATTCTCAGGCATTAAAAAAAAAAGTTTTGCCTTTTATTTAGCAAGAAGCCCAACAAAAATTATTTTAAAAATTCTTTTACTTGACACATTAAAATGTTTTATTTTTACTTAAACAATTTTATCTATACCTACTTAAATAAATAGGTATTAAATTTATAATGTTAATCGAGTTGAACCTTAATGGTCGATTAAAGAACTAAAATTATAAACTCAATATTTATTTTATTATTAATCGGCAAGAAAAAAGCATTGTTCGGTATGGATAATAGTATGTTTGTAAATATTTAAAGACAACAAATATTATAAAAATTAAAATACAAAGAAACTTGTGTGAGTTGAAATTTGTGCAGAGTAAGTAAACTAGAGCATGTATCACACAAAAAACGAAATGAGAAAAAATGTAAAGCTTTACCCAGTGGGTATCGTAGTTCAAAAATAAGTTGAGTTCAATACGTTTTTTTTTTTAAATTATTTATTTAAAAATAAAATAATGTGTAAATGATATTTAATAATGATTTCTTGTAGTAAAAAAAAAACGAAAATTTCCCCGAGCCTCACAAATCGTAGCGTCGGCCATGATTATAGACTCATTATCTCATTTTAAGACTTAAACGAAGCTTCAACTTTTCAGTTATTTGTTTAGCCTACTAGTATCCAATTCCTCTATTTTTGAAGTCTCACTTCTCTAATGTGCGTGTCGAATGACACCCAGACTTTTTTTTTTTTTGTGAACGCTACTCCGGATCCAGTTAGTCATTGATTACATTAAGTTAGAATTTGGTTTATTTTGTTGTTACTTAAATTCTAGAAGACTTTATAGAATAAAGAATGTAGATTAATTATTTTAGTTAGCATTTTATACAATATATACCTCTAGGCTGGCTGATGCAGTGTTTAAGTATGGTTCAAAATAATTAGTTTATTGGGACGATGAACTTTTCGGTATTTTTTAAAAACTACCGATTTTTGAAGGTGATTTTTTTTTCAACAAAAACCCCGTTCATAGCTGTCAAGTCTAGACTTAACACCGACAGTATAGAAATTTTAACACTGCAGCAGCCATTCTGGGACGTGCGTTGTAGAATACTTGTTCACATTCAGCTTCATGGCCGTGATGATTTTCGTCGGATCGTACAGCTGTATGTATTTTTGGGAGTGATACAACACGTTTTGAATGACAATGACGCCCGAGGCCAAGTACACGATTTCAGTGTCGTTGAGAAACAAACAGTCGCCTCCGTTCTTGCCCGTCGACATCCCAAAGAAATACCTGGGAGTCAAACATGGTGACGAAGACATGTCCAAACGACAAATTATAATAACGTAAATGTATGTATTAAATAATTAGGTATGTCTTAAACGATTAAACGTAATCCCCATTTTTGTTATCGCTTTTATTTTAGTTCGTTACCACGATACGCAAACTAAAAATAGATACTTGACAAACATCAAAATAGTATACTTTCGTTATGTTTGTTATTTTTTAGATTAAGAAATTATCGTTTCAAAATAAACAATAATCTACATACAATCAAACAACATAGAAATCGTATTTCAAAACTTTTTGACATCGTTACAACTAAATGGAATTGCGACGCCAAAATAATTGGACCCAACTCCTAAATACCTACTTAAATTTCTGTAGACATTGTTTTGGTTTGCATAACAGTCCAATTGCTAAAATTGTACTTAAAGTATTATATTATTATATAGATCTGGTTGTTATGATTTTTCCCCAATACGTTACTCTATTTACCTATCTAATTTAAGTTCGAAAATGACATTGTCTGTAAGCGTATACCTAGACATGAACTATATATATATATATACATAACAAATATTGTAATACCTACCCAAATGCGCCTATAAAGAGGGACAGGGGGGGGGGGGGTAAACTCCCCCTCAGCTTCTCTGAAAGTTAAAAAAGTGTATATTCAATATCCCAAATTTGTGAAACCTATTACAAAACCATAGGCTGAACTAGACGACATGTACACGGAACAAATACGACATTTCGGACCAAGGACCAAAATGTGGATAACGAACCTGAACAACTATGTCAATGACACACAAAGGATTCCAAAAATTATTATTTTTAGTACAATATGAGAAGTTTTTTAATTCTTAATTTAAACTACCATATTATCAGTAATAATAATAGCTCTCCTATTTGGCCTGTAGTGGTCATACAACCTTAACATTGTAGTGACACTTAATCAAATGACACAATGTAACAGGAAATTGTTTTGAACCACTGATTATATTTTTTTACTTAAGTAAACAGGAATAAGATAATAAAAAACCATTACATACTATGTACAATATTGTTGTTTAAATATTTCAGCTATAGAAAAGTTTTCTTAATACAAATTAACTAGATTTTACACACAAAATTAAAAAGGTGTCATCTTCTTAAAATTGTTTTAAAGAAGGAGTCATAATCTTTAAAAGTAAAAACGTGCTTATAGATGGGTGTAGGTCAAAGCGAAATGGTCATAGAATAAAAATGTTGATACTGTTAAAAAGAAGAGAACTTTAACTAGGTTCTGATATGTTTTTTTTAGAAAACTTAAATTTTATCTTAAATACAAGCACTTTAAAAGTAAAAAAATGTCAAAATGAAAATGAAAATTGTGAATGTTAAGATAAATTAACATTCACAAACATTAACCTAACCCACCTTTTTTTTTTGTAATAAATAAAGTTCTTATTATTTAAAATATGTAAACAAAAATTTTCTACGTTTATTTATACATTTTAGACAATAATAGAGAATATGCGTAATTATTTTTAGATGAAAACAAGTTTTTAAATCAGTGTCAAGGATGCTGTGATATTCTAAAAAAATAAATTTATCACAAATTTTTAGGACCAAAAAAAGAGTCCTAATTACTCAACTAATAATTACACGTCAAGAGTTTGACCTTTAAATTAAGATTTATTTTACCGAAATTGCCTATACTAACTCCTTTATAAATGGAGGAATGACGTCCTCCTAAAAAAATTTCTTTCTGCATCAAATTTTGTCTACAACATTTGGTTTTTAATATTTATTAAACTCTGAAACAAAAAAAGAAGTAATATTATAACATATTAATTACTTTTCGAGTTAAAACCAACTAGAACAAAACAAACTTTTTTTTCAAATTGTATTTTCCAAAAAAAAATTACACTTGTGTCTATACATTTTAAATCAAATTCAAAAAATATCAACAAAAAACACTCATTCAAATACATACATATTGAGTATACCCAACTATTATTTATGAAATCTTTAACCAGAAATACTTATGAATCCTTCAAAAGATTGTCAAAAATAAATTACATTTAATTTTTGTACTTTGCAGAAATCCCTATAGTACAATAATAATTACAAGCTATACATTATTGAATAAACAAGAAACTTACACACAAGTATCTCATTTAAGGAACACCGTTTTCTTATTTATACACACATAATATTACTATAAATTAAAAATATAATAGTATTTATACTAACATGAAATTATATTTTAGATTTGTGTGAGAGGACTTGTTTGATTACGAGAAAGAGAAAGGCCAATCAAGGACATGGCTTTTGAAAATTCTAAATTGTGAAATAAAGAACTGGCAATACTTTCAGAAGTTATCGACGATGATGCGTTGAGCAAAGGTGTATCTTGTGTAATCGACTTTTTGGTATTATTAAATTTATTGTGAGAGTCAACTAACTGCTGAGATACAGTGTTTGAAGGAATACATAGGGAAGAAGAAGTTGTAAGAAACTGGGAAGGGATAATGGCCAACAATAAATTTTGTAGATTGTTTTTCAAAGTATCGCCTGAACTGCCAATGCTTATTATTTCACTGAGGAAATTCCATAGAAATCTATGAATTTTATCATCTTTTGGAAATTTATCCTCCAACGAAATCTAAACACAAAGGTTAAAAATATTATAATAAACGCAAAACACACCAAAATCATTTTATAGTAGTCATATACTGTAGAAGTACCTTTAGTTTGTCTAGATATGTTATATTATCTTTATATTTTTCTTTAAAGTTAACAACATCTGCATCATGTTTGTTAAAATCAGCACACTTTTTCTGAAAACAAAATTACATCATTATGTTTATCAGCTTCATTTATAAAGCACTAATATCAATAACTAATGTTATTAATAATTGGTTTCAAGTAATCTAATTTCAAATGAGGACGAATGGCAGAGTAGGGTAAATCAACAGTGTGTTAGCGTTCACTGTTTCTGGTTTGAAACTCAGCTAGGGGTGGTCTCTCTCTTTGGGCAGGCAACTTTCTAGAGAATGAGCCTACCATTATCTTTATAGGTCCTAAAACAAGTTAGAATACTGAAAATCCTATTAATCATAATAATTTAGTTAAGTATAGAAACTGTGATGATAGAAATGTTTGATTAAAAAAATAGATTGGATCAAAAATTGCCTTATTTCACTAACATTAATGACCCAACCACTTATAGCTATAGTAAAATATGAATTAAAAATAGAAAAAAAATAAGAGATAAGGATGAAAACAAACAACACAATGTTTTGATTAAATTTTATCCAAACTCACCAATGCCATAATAATATCAAGCGTCAATACTTTTTCCGGTTTGGTTGTAAATTTCATATTCATTGGACGACCATAACCGTGACCTTCTTCTTCAAATGATGGTAACACCCAGTAACAATTAATTGTAGAATCAAGAGTTGCTTTATCTTTATTGTAAGGTGCTTAAAAAATAACAAACATTATTAAAAAAACGCACAGTGATAATATTAAAAGAATATAAAATCTTACAACAAATAATCCCAATGCAAGGAATGTAGGATTCAACGGTTGGACCTTTAATTTGTAACTCATAATCGAGTTGTGCTTCAATGTCTTTTAAAGAAGGAGTAGCAATAGATTTTGGATGTGAATGATACCATCCAACAAGCACCATGTTTTTCGCTGTAAATGTGTTTCTGATTTCTTCTTCTATCAAAGAAGTAAGCTCTTCATCGTGCAACCGATTTTTGAATGGATATGCATTTTTTATGGTAAGAGCTAAATTAAAAATGTTTAATTTTTTATTTAAGTAAGGCACATATTAATACCCGATAAAAATTAAAACCTATATAGCGTGGGTAAGTTCAATACTAAACCACACTGATAGTGCAGTACAAATAAATTACATAAAGATTATATTTTATTAATATCAAAAAAGGTTTGATGTATGTATTTAAAATTAAATTAAATTTATGGTAACTGATGAAAATAGCCAAAAATGAATACGCGTAAATTATAATAAATTATTGAATATTAAAAAATATAGAAAATATAAATAAATATATTTTTAGGTGTGCACGTACTGGTATATTTTTAAAACTTAATAAGCTTTTGAAATTTAAATGGCAATTTTTTAAATGCTATTAATTTTAAAATATATAATGCTAGAAATGGATACATATAAACACTAAGGCAATTTACTTAGTTAATAATGTAATCTCAGTTTAAATATTTGGAATAATTTGCTTAAGAGATACAAAAAGAACCTTAAAATATTTAGACAAATTCAGCCTCCAATTTAAGAACAGTTTAAATGTTATAAACTCAAAAATAAAATGGTTGGAAACTGGTTTAGCCAGATATAAGATAAGTTAAGTAATCATAAAAAATCATTTGCTATCATAACTATTTGCTCAAATATATTTTCTATTATTACGTTTACAATAATTGTTTTCACTATTTAGGTCTAGATCCTTAAAATAGACATACTCTGAGTTGAAAAATCCCAACTTCCAGCTAAGTAACCCACAACTTCATTTTTGGTTAAATGACAATGGAAATCCAACAATAATATGGCATTAGCCGATATGTAAACTTGGAATGGTTGCGATTTATTAAAATAAGACCAATCCGTACACTCAATAAGTGTGTCGAGGACCCTGAAATATAAAAATATTTAATTAAACAATTTGATCATTATTATCCTTTGAACTTTTATTCCATTTACAACTACAGTATTATTGCATATTATACTCACAAATTATTACACCTTAAACCGATTTCACTAAATTGAATTGGTTTCTTTGTTGCATCCACTCCAATTGTTGAGACTGAAGATAACGTGTTACTATGAACAACATTGTCATCAAATAGTAGCTCAGTTTCTATGTTATTGCCTAAAAAATTAGTATAAAATAATTGGATTTTGGTTTTTTCTAAGCAAGAAGAAGTTAAAGCCCTAATTCAGATACGTCGTGTTTGTCATATCTTTTTTTATGGCACTATAACGCATCTGTCATACCTTTGAGGAGGACAGTAAGTCTGTTATCTGAGATAGACTATTTGGGGTTAGTTCTTTGACCAAGGACAGTGAGTGCTAACACACTACCCCCTTAACCATTTGGCCACTCATCAAATAATAATTATCATTTAAGATAAATAATACTATTTTATTTTGATATAAAATATATAGGTTACATAAAAATTTGTTTATATTATTTCAAATCATGAACCAGTGTAGTAAGAAAATAACCAAATTCAATAGAATGAGCCAAAAGAATTAAAAAATTCACAATCAACAATTTTTATATACCTGCTAGGGATAAACTGATTTCTCTATGATTAACTCTTAGTTGGCTTAGAAACATGTTTTTTTTAATGACCTTTTTAGGACGGTTTGACAACTCTTGATGTACAAGAGACAAGAGTTGCCATCCTACGGAAGTGGTTATGGTGCGGTGGTAAAAGCATATAAAAACAAAATGTGTGTTTAACATGTCAATGCAAGCATACTAATGGAGAACATCTAAAACATAGTAGGTACTTCAAAGAGTTGTTTTAACAGAATTTAAATCAAACCATTTGTTATAAATACTGCCCAGCTAGCAAAGAAGGCCGTAAAATGCTATTTAAATAGTTTTAAAAAAAACATATTTTTCTAAACTTGTTTGTGATGGTAGTAAAGAAATACGATAAACCATTCTATGATTTACAAAAAATCTATAGCAAATATGATAATTTTGCTAAAAACATTAAAAAATGCACCTTTAAATGCTAAATATTTTTGCATAAAAATATAATTTTTTTTGTTATTTGGCATACATGACTTCCTTTGCATTTTTATAATAAATTTTAAACGTTCAACAACAAACTTAAGAATAACCTCAAATTAAAAAAAATTTTAAATCATAAAATAAACAAATTGTATAGGTTTAATTCAAATTCTTAAGAACCTATAAATTACAAAAACTTTTTATCGTTAGTCTTTGATTTTAGTGTTCTTTAACTAAAGAATAATTAAGCTATCAGTATAATATTTCAAACAGTTGGCAAAAAAACCCAAAGCTAATGAAACTTTTTTGTTTTTTCCCTGCAAATGTTCGGTACTTACACAAAAATATAGGTTTTATTGTGTTAATGAATACCAAAAAGAACTTAACTGGGTCAGGTTTAAAAAAAAAAGGGTAATTGCCAATTTTTTATTTGTTATTACCTAATTTAAAAAAATATATCTACAAATCAATTATGTAACAATTGTGTAATTGTAAAAAAATTACATGACGTTTACCTTCAATAAATACATCTTTTACAGAGTCTATATTAATTGATTCTTGCTTTCTGTAATATGCATGCTTATATGCATCAAGTTTCTTTCCTTTGTACCGTATCTACATAAATGAATTGTTAGGATATAATATTATTTTTTAAAGACAACATACATTTTTAAAAATATTTATTTACAAAAAATAAAAAATACTTACAAATGACCAACCACATCCAGCCTTTTTTATCTTATTAATAACACTCTTGCAACTATAAGCCCAAGCACTAGGAGACGCAAATTCATTTTGAGTTTCGACTGATCGAATTCTTCCGTCTGGTAATAAATCACCAGTAAACCTCTGACCCTATATAAAAAAAAATAGTAGAGAAAAACAAATTGTATTGGTGAGTTGTCAGAATCTCAGGTTGCTTGCATATGATACAGCATCAAACAACAATAAAAAAAAATTCTTTTTAAACATTGATAAATCATAAAACAGTATTTTCTGGAATACAATTAATGCATTAAGTAGTACGCAAGAATAAAACAATATTACAGTGGAACCTGTATAACACCAAACCATATTAAGCTGAAAGATATTACTTATCAAGCAGTTCTTTTGTCAAATTCAATAAAATATACATGCAAAACGGTTTGACGGAACTGTACACAAATTTTGTCTTATATAATTTTCTATTTTATTTAGGGTGTTTAAACAGGTTTCACTGTATGAACGATTTGTAATTATCTACTTACTGTAATTGATTTGATAATTCCACTCCCGTTTTCAATTATCTACGGTATTTTACATAGATTTTTAGATGTAGGAATGAAGCTACAACAACTAAAAAACTATTAACACTGAAAGTGCATTCAAACAATTTTTTAGCTATACCAAATACAAAAATGCATGCATATAATCAAGAACACAGTGGAACACTAAAAAAAAAACCATAATATTTGTTAAATAATACATTTATTAACTAATTAAAAGGATATAAATTATTAATTCATTTATGTGTAATGAAATTTAATTTACTCGGTGTTAAAAACAAAAATAATGTAATATTTTTTTTTATTAAAAAAATTCTTGATGATGTGTTGTTAGATTAGAACTATAAAACTACACTTATAAGCATACTCAAAGAACATTTTTTTTTAAATTTCTTGCACAAAAATATTTACACTAGGTATTACCATGTATTCTAAAGATAAGACCGACTTGCCGGGTTCCAATATATTTGTGTTCAATAACATTTGTAATGTTACAGTACGGCTGGTGTTGCTAGAAGTAAGTCTTCTAGACTTGGCCTTGAAGGTTTCCATTTTATTTTTTTAGCCCGGTCTTTTGTGATACAGTAGTCAATAAGAACGAAAAAAATAGAAAATGGGTGCAAAACAAAGAAAGTTGAAGAAAGACCGTATGACCATCTATTGAATGCAGTATTTATTTTAGAAAAAAACAAAAAAGGTTATCGAAATCGAACTTAATAGACAATCATATTCTTGGTTTTGTTATTTTGTAACGTATTATCAAGTGGTAATTTTAAATTTAAATTATTTGAATAATTTTATGATAATATACCTAAGTCGCATACATACTAATTATTATCAAATATCAAGGAGTGCCTTATCATGGATACTTGGCTTTGCTCATATGGAGGCAGATTTTGTCAAGGACATTCTAGCTCCAGCCGACTATACAGGTTTTGGCGCGTAAACTGACCTTTTTTTAAATAAGCAGTACGCTGTCAATTATTGAAAAAACATTTTTTTTTGAGGTCTATATTATGACATGCCATTCGAAAATATTAGTTGCAAGAAATTACATTTGCGAGGTGCTGGCCATTTTTATTCACACTAATTTGAAGGCGTGCACAACGGTTAGGGTTCCTCGAAAACGTCTTACCCTCTCCGACTTTTTCGGAATCCTTACAGTTCTTCCTGGGCAGTTCTCAGTAGTTTTTATCATTACTGTTCCTATCGTCCTAAATTTATTTAGCCTCTATGACGACTAGTGTTAAAATGTAGCCGCAGTGTTCACAACTGGTCTGTACTTACGAACATAAGTATTAACGTCGTGTTTTTGTGTCCACTAAGGCATAACCATAAAAAAAAAAAAAAAAGACTACAATGGGCAGATCAATTAAGAATGGCCAGAGCACGCACTTATAACGGCTTGCAAAGTCATTTTTTGAATTTAACATAGAAATCAAGTGTGACCAGAAAAATCTGAAAACGCCATCGCCTTCATCGTTAAAAACACACATTTTGATGGCAAAAACAAACCTACGAGACCTAATATAAATTTATACCCAAAATATTTATGTAAACTTAAAGCTTGTAAAATGTGCCAGAGCTAAGACATGAAAAAGTCAAAAATGTCTAAACTATTTTTTATTTATTATAGGTTATAAACCTTTTTAGCTTTGATGCGGAGCGAAATATATTTTATTGTTTTTACAATGATATCTTTTTTTATCTAGACAAACGTTTATGTTTCCTAACCATACCGATTTATCCATTTAGCCAGTCTGTAGATCAAATATCGACCCTAAAAAGTTGGATATCATTTTATTAAACTAATCTGTTGCTCTTTTAAAATTGAGAAAATTTCACATTTTTATCTGTTTAAAACTACATATATGAATATGAAATTCTCCATAAAAACTGTTTTATTTGTTTTTTCAATACCTATACTTCTTTGTCCTGATAAATATTATATAAGCAAGTATTAACAAAATAAAGAATACATTTTAAGGTACATGCAAAATTAAGTATAATATAAAATTTGAACTAAAAAAATTGTTCTAAAAAATAAATCGTATAAAGATTCATAAAGCACATAAAAATAATTGTACCTAAATGCGTATAAAAATATTTGTTAGAAAAACTCAAAATCGCAAATTTAATTGAATAGTATTACAATAAAAAAAGGGCCAATAATTATTATTATGTCTAACTATCCGCCAATATTAAGGATTTGATATCATTCTTATTGAAGTACAAGTCAACTTGGTGGCCTAGGTCGTAGTCATGTTTAACAATAACCATCGTAAATTTGGTCCGACCATTGTCGCACAAATTTTGAAACTTTGTTAAGGAACATTTGTGCTCATTCAAATTCAGCGAACAATCAACAAACATAGTTTTTGCGTTAACAATATTTTTGGGAACCGCATACAGCTTATTCACTATGACAAATTCCATCGCCTCGTCCACAAGTTGCACATTATGGCCACCACCGTCAGACGGGGACCTATCGTCTACGTACTTGACCCGTTTGTACTGTCCTCCACTAACCTGGGCTACGTATATTTGATCGATTTTCGCTTTAGTGGCTGGCACAAACTTTTTTAAATTGTTCAACACGTTGGCCACTTTTACTCGATCCGGCGTGATCAACTGTGCCACAAACATATGAAGACTGCTCGGATTGTGCACGGTGACCAGTAAAGGACTGATAATAGTGGACATGCTCAAATTGTTGACGCGCAAGTCAACAAGAGCTACTTGAGCGAATGACTCTGTCAACAAGTGCACTGTTATTGTGTTCGGTGGGTTTACATTGGTGGACATTTCGTCAATAAATCCAAGGTTAACACTATCCACGTACGGTTCCTGTATGGGTTTTTGTAACTTTAGTGAGCAGAGTACAATAGCCTGCGCCATAGTTTTTAAACGGTCGTTGGGCTTGAATATGTCGGAACACACTTCATAAGTCCCGTAGTCCACTAGGAAACACCTATATTCTCCCGGTCTGTCTTTAAATCTGTTCAAAACTCTTGCACGGTACCATTTCTCGTCAAGAGCCAAAGGACTTTTGACAATCACTAGCTGTCCCACGGTAGGATTCTGCACCTGCACCGGATCCGTTGCTATAGTCTTGCTGATCTCCTCTTCTATCGAGCGTTTCATTTCCACCTCATACGCCGTTTCCAGGTAGAAAAGCTGGTACGAGTAGATTGGACCGACGGACACCAACGGTGAGCCATCCAATGAACGCTTGTTCAACTCGGCGCGGTTGGCTTTCTCGATCAGATCGTCTCGGTCAGGTAACAGCCCGTACCAGAGCAAATTGTTTACCATAGTCAACAAGTCCTTACCTCCACATGATAGCGACACAGAGTATGGCTTGGTCTTAGAGAAGAATTTGACTGTCAATACTTCAGTATTTAAATATTTGACAAACAATTTTATCAAATTAAGACTAGATAGTTCATTGCTGTCTTCACTCTGTAAATCTTTCAAGCAGCACTCGTGGATCAAAGGTGGAATTTTCTTTAGACGGTCAGGCAATCTCTTAAAACCTCTAACTAATTGTTCATCTATTGACAAGATCGTAAAGTTGTAATAATCAATAAAATCAACAGCGACTTCTTCTGGTTCCATTCTTGAACACATCATACGAGAGCACAACGCACGACTCCACAAGCCGGTTTCTTCATTGAACACACCCACGACTTCCTCTAACAACCAAGTATCATCAATTTGATCTGACTTAGGCAATGCTTCTATGAAATCGGAAAACCATCGCAAGAGTACCTCATCCTCATTATTCTGGATGTAAAAACTATCAAGTGAATCGAAGCTCACCATAGTCACAGTCCATGTTTTATTCACGGTCGGTTTAGTTGGTTTAGCTGGCGGAAGAAAAGAGTTCCGACTACTATTCTTCATCTTAATGAGCTTGTCGGGTGGGCTCGATTTGCCCAACTGGTCGTTCCCAGACGACGCAAAAACTATTTCGCCGTCGCCATTGACTGACCGGGGATGTAACGCTACTTCGACGGGCACGCGTTTGCGGTCCACAAATTGACAAGTCACCACGTCCGACAACTTTAGGGATTGGATGTCAACAGTGGACGACGCGTTCCACCGGCACCGTGTCGCACAGTTAGGTGTCGATTCTAACGAGCTGGTTAATTTCCTGGGCTGTTTGGTTACATCAAACACTTTTCCGGTGTCCACACACAACGCCCTATCTCGATATCTGATTAATGCCCGACGCCACACGCCGTCTTCGTCATCGTATGCTCCACAAAGGCATCCGTCTTGCCGTTCCGCCGGCATAGCATCATCAATCATTTTGTTTAGCGCATCCGCCAAGGTACTTCTGATGTTAAAATAAGGTTCGGTCACGAGCCAACAGTCTAGACCATAGCAGTGCGCTACAATGGCTTCACAATCGTCCTGCCATATTTTCGGCCCTTGCAATGTCTGGTCGTCAAATTTCGAAGATAATGGGCCTTGATCCGGAAAAAACGCATTCGCCTTACCGTCATGGCCTACCATAAACCAAACTGTACAATATTGGCCGACATACGGCATGATTGAATTAATCTTAGCCTGTATGGCGCAACCCGGATACATAGACATTTTTGTCGGTTTCAGATCAGAATTCTGTTGATGTTCCAATGTAACACCATAATCTATGTCACGCAAAATGACCTGATCCGACGAAAACTGTTCAAGAACTACTCTAGTGTCGTTGGTAACGCACACCCTGCCAATGTCAAGTATGGCCAAACCGGGCATTATACTGTTCGGAATCCGGCAAACTAGTTGTTCAATTTCGTTGAATCTGTCTACCCTTTGCATGAACACCGTGTCTTCTTCGATATGACTCACAAGGACTTTTTCAAAATGACGCAACACAGGTTGGGGGAAATATTGATTTCCATTGTAACTTCCTACATGTATGAGTAATCTGAAAAAAAATTACATTTTTAAAATACAAACCTAAATATATCTGCTTTAAAAAAGTTAATCATTTATAATTGTAAGGAGCGTTAGATGACTTATTAGCATTGACATAATGGCATGTACAGATTGGTTTAATAAAGATTATTATATGTATGTTTAAATTTTATTACAAGCTGAGTACGATATAAAACAATCAATATTTACTGTACAAAAAAAAAGTGTGTGTGTGTGTGTGTACGCTTACTTTTCTCCACAACCAGTCGGGTTTGTCGTGGTAGATGGCCCTTGGCAGTAAGAGAGTTCGGGAGGGATGGCAGTTCGTGGTTGGAAGTAAGGGCGAAAGTATTAGTTTTAGAATATTCTAGAAACACGTTGTTCAAGAATAGAATGTTCGAAAATCGGTATTAATAAATACCGTGTTCTAGAAATGTTTATTATCGAAGCCTGAAAGTACATATACCTAAGGCTAAGTTCGACGCGACTTGTTTATCAGTAGCTGTTTTATTGTATCGTGTACTTCCGATTTCGCAGTTAATTCAGTTCAAGTAAGTATGGAATTTTATTTTTTTATTACAGCTCTAGTTTCAGTATTTTTAAATCTAGAGCAACCATTATTGCACCGTTAAATATGAAGTATTAGAGCCATTCACCCCATCCCACCTTACCACCAATTTTCAAAAATCCGTAGCTTTTAGAGATTTTAATATAGAACAACCATTCTTTCACTGTTAGATAGGACTCGATGAGGACTACCACCCCATATCAACCCCATCCAAAAAACTACCTCCTAGAACGAATTGTCCTTCGACCGAATAGTCATTCAGTTATAAACGATTACAATTTCCCTTGGTTGGCCTACGGTATGACCATCAATAAAGCGCAAGACCAAATACTCCGATATTGTAGTGTCAACTTGAGAGAAGCATGTTTTTCTCGCGGCCAATTTTGCGTCACGTGTTCACGAGTTGAATCGCCTAAACACTTATTCATTTACTGATTTACAGCCGGAACAAAAAAACTGATTATAGTATATAAGCAAGTTTTGTAAACAAATTTTAAATACAGATTGTTATATAAAAAAATTAAAAAATAAGATACTGAATGTGAATAATAAATATTTATAGCCCACATAGACTAGCCATGTAATAGAATTGACCCATTTTCCACTTTGACCGTAACACATATATATAAAATCCGAATACCACTCACTCACTCACTGATCCCTACTTCTAAAAAACCGGCAAAACGTATGAACTTGAAATTTGGAATAGTGGTTCCCCTAATGCTCTAGACGCGCAATAAGAAAGGATTATTAAAATTCCCCCCTCTCCTAATGGTTGTCTCAAACACGAATTTCGTACTTGAAATACGAAAATTGTATAATAATCAATAACAACCAGAGTTTGTTTCTGGTTGCTATAACTATATACAACTATATAACAATAAAACTATCGCTTTTCTACAAGCTGCTCAGGGCTGCCAAAAAACGTTTCAATTTTCCCGTTTATCAGGCGAAGTAGGGGAATTATTTCTTACCTACACTACTTTCTTCAAAAAGTATGCGGATACGACCATTAAATACAATACAAATTAATAATTTTAGACCACCTGAGTACACAACGGTTTTCCAGCGAATAATACATAGTATTAAAAATGATAACAGTAATTTTACTTACGATCCGTCATTCTTCTGTGAAATTGCTTTGACAATATAGATGGTTTTTTTCTTTGGCACAAAAACAGTATCAGCTTCACATTTCACACATTTACGACAACATTTTAATAAATAATCACTGATTGGTTTGATCTACACAAAGAATATTTTACTATTAATTACTGTAAAACCCAAATATCTGGGTATCTAAAAAAATTATTACTTACTTCTTTGAAACTGACTTTAACTTCATTCCCATAATCAATTAATAATACAGTGACCGAGTTGCAGCTTCTATGTTTTATTAGTGCCCTAAACCATTTGTTGTCATGATTGGCTATGCAATAAATCTGATCAGATGAAAGTCTGACTGGAGCCTGTAAAAAAATGGGAAGTTGTAGCAATAAAAATTTGCAATTAATAATTAATGGGTAATAAAATCGATTAAAAATAGTATAAATGGTAGTAATATAGTATATAAAGGACAAATGGATTTGACACTTCTTATTTTGATTTCATATTAGTTTTACAAGGTAAAATTGAAAAATGCCGATAAAATAGCATTGCCTATCTTTAGTAAATTTAAATATGTAAAGTTCTAAAATTATACATTTATTTTAACTTATTTAGACATTTTTGATTAGAAGGTATTTGTCATTGAAAAATCCCGAGTTTTATGTTAATTCAATTTTTGTTCTAAATAGTCAATACTTGATACTGTGATAATTTCAATAATTATAAAACCAATTTACCTTTAAAATAAATCTTAATAACTAGCCTAAGCCCTAATAATATACAAATTAGTTGAATAATTATACAAATGTATATCTTTTAAATACATAATAAAAATTCTGAAAGCCATGTAAATATATATAAATAAACAAATTCATAAAAAAAAGCGGAATTATCATATAAATGAATTACAGTATGACAGTTAAAATAATAAAAAATTAAACAATAATAATATTAGGTATATAAATTTTTAATGTAAAAAAAACGTTGAAGTTGACCAAATGTATTTGTGAACGTATCATAAAACAATATTGTATTTTATTAAACACAATTATTTTTAATTTATTATAAGAAAGATAATTTAGTTATATGAATTATTACATTATTAGCATATTCTTCAATTTCTTGTTCGAGTACATCTAAACTGTAAGGCTCAGGTTGAACATAAACTGTTTTCTCTTTAAACGGAGAAATATAAGCTAAAAAGGTTTGCCCAATCAATAATTCACAGTCATATGGATATTCAGCTGTAATATAATTAACATTGTAACAAATATTTTTTTCTATTTTTCATCACCAAAAATATTTTAAATTTGTTATATATTGTCAGAATAACCACACTTACTGGTGCTGCCATTCATAATAGCTGATAACCGCTGACCAATACCACATTCTAATATTGAAGTGACCAAGTCTTTTTCATTGACCATTGTAAACATACTAACAATATGTATTTCCGAATTCATAATTTCAGTCGTCTCACATAAGTATACTTCACCGATTCTAAAATGTACAGAAATCTCTTCATATTTTCCCATCCGAGGATAAGGTAGCCATAAATCAAATAGCACACACTTTAATGGTGCATGTACAGGGTAAGTACTGTCACTGAAATCCATACGGTAAAACATCCAATCAGAAGCTTGCAACTTTTTTTTTTTACTTTTATCAATAAAACACACTTCTAATTCTGAAAAAATAAATAATACAAATTCAATGTAACTAGATATACATTTAGTATAACTAGATGATTCACTTTGATGATTAGTGTCTATTCCTATTCTAAAACAAATTTAATGATTGTGTGATCTTATTAATTTGTACTATGATTACCTTTGAAATTTGAGTTTATATGTAAAATTTGCACTCTATAAACTGTGACTCTCGTACCACAGCCTAATGACTTTGCTATAATATACTCTTGAAGTTGAAGATCTTTAACATTCAAAACTTCCCGATTTTCTAAAGAACACTTTATATTTTCCATAAAAGCATCAAATTTGATTGTGTTACGTTTTACAGTAAAATCAAATGGTGAATTATAAGATTCTAACATAACCAATTCTTTTTTATTCAGATCTAGCCGGTCCAATTTTAGCTAAAAACAAAAAGTCATAAATTATTAAATTTAAATAATACAATTTACCATATAGAAAAATGTAATTAACCATGATGTGATGGTTTTTTGACGAATTCGTTTTCGGGACGGATCTTCAGTGTGTTACTATAGAGAATAACAGTAAGTAATAAATCTACAAATTTTTAACTTGAATCTTATGTTAGACGATTAACATATGGATACATATTTTGCGATACAAATTTTAATTTTCAAAACCCTAACCCTTCACATAAACAGCCCTTGTATGTATGGCAGGCAAGACTATTTTCCATTATTTAAAAATCAAAGCTGATACTTCTAGTTTCAAGGCTTATATCACAATTAGTGGCTCAACCAGAGGAGGGTAAAGTTATCTTTTTTATCAAAAATGAATTTTAAAAGTATTTATTAGAGGACGACAAGTGTCCGGGTGTTAAAGTCTGCAGTGCCTTAGCTCTCACTATCACCGGTTCAACACTCAATCAAGACATTCTCTCTCTCTGGGAAAATTACTGTTTAGGGAGAGAAACTACCGTCCTCCTCAAGGCTAACCAAACTAAGCCTTAAGGGCTACTTCCTATCTAGAGAGCCATATCAGTAATAACAATAATAGTATTAAATGTACAAAAATTGGTTTTATAATTTTGTTTATAACTATTTCTTCTAAAATAAAAAATTCCTGGTTACCACACTGACTATTTTCATCAATATTTTCTATAAAAAATGTTTACAGATATATCTCCGTAACTAGAAAAAATGTAACTAAACACTATATAAATAGTACATTCAGTTCGTGTTTTGCTATCGCCCGAGCAACACGTGTTTTACCACAGTACACTATCGCGTGTTTTTATAAGCTGCCGATAGCACTCAAGGCCAACAAGCACAGGTAATATGCAATATTTCCTATATATACATTACCCCACATAACAATAATGAACAATACACACTCGATCTCCGCGAGCAATAAAAAAAATCCCAACAAAATTACTATCACAAACCCTACTACCTCAAAACTTACAAGCAAAGTAACAATTAATAAACCCGATAAAAACTTATCCAACATAAACAACACCTCAAAAACCACAAGCCTTAATTAATCTAAAATCAAAACTTTTGCTGAAACCGTCAACAACAACAATAGAACAAACTTCCCTAAAAAAAACCAAGCTATAATATTCGATATTATAAATGAAGAAATCCTCCATAAGGAGTATATCTTTGAAATAGGGAAATTAACAGAACTTAAAAATATTATTTTTGTCTCTAAAATTTCAAAAAAACGCTTTTGCATCTTTCTCTTGTCAAAAGAGTTAGCTGATAACTGTAGTATACTAGTCGCAGGTGAAAACATCAAAATTAGGAAACTGTACAACCCCGATAAAGGAATCATATTAGCTAATGTTTACCCAAATATTCCAAAATGACGTAATTTTAGAATCTCTCAAAGAATTTAATACCAAGCCAACAAGCCAAATATCTTTTCTACGTGCCGGTATATCAGTAGAAGGCTTTGATTACATTCTAAGCTTTCGAAGACAAATGTACATATCAGCTGAAGATGAAGACAAGATACCAGCCTCTATACTTATTCATTTTGAAAATTTCAACTACCGCATTTTCCTAACCAACGACCAAATAACGTGTTTTTTGTGCAAACAAATAGGACACACGTCTAAACTCCAGGGCCGGTGCTAAGAAATATGAAAGGGGGAATGTCAAAATGAAGATGCCGACTAAAATATTTGAGTACTTTCGTAAATATTTTATAACATTTTACAACACAAGTCACAATTTTTTGCTAAAATTAATGGGAATTAATAATTGTTGAAAATTATTTTTTTTTTAACTTTGAATTATTATTTTTTTAAGTATAAATAATACAAACAAATTTAGATAATAAAAAAACCATCAAAAGTTTAACTTTAATATGCCGTTTTTTTTAATGCGGGCTATTTCCTTGTTATTTCTTCCAAATCAATTATATCGAAAATATCTCTGGTGGAGTTTAAAATCGCGGGAGTCATTTTTTATTATTTTTTAAAGGATAAGAAGAAGAAAAATGATAATAATGTGATATTGTGACTTGATTTTTTTGATTTTTAAAATGTTTTTGGAGCATAGAAATATTTTAGGCAGCTAACAAATGTATTTATTACTACATTTTCAGTTCTCAGTCACCAATACTAAAACAATTTGAGCCCTACTTTAAAAGCATTATTTTAAAAATGTTTGAATTTATTTAACATAATTATAACGTATTGCAGTTGAAACTGCAATTTAACCGAGATATAATCCAAATAGCCTTATTTTAAATAATTTTATAAAAAAATAATGAAATTGTATTCAAAATTATTATTAAAACCGTTGAAATAAAAACAAAAGTGTATTTTTTTATAAATTATTATCTAAAAACAATTTTATTTTTATTTTAGTTAGGTACACTATTTAAAAATAATGGTCATGTCTGCTCCCTGCTCGCTATATATATATAGTATAGTAGGATATTATAGTAGGTAATATCCCACCGCAACGATAGTAATAAAGAAGAAACAAGACATAGTGAAGTAGTACCAAGGAACTCTCATAGGCCTTAAAAATCTGGCTTAATGATTTATTCTAAATACGTATCCATCTCATACCTTTTGTTCAAAATTTACTCGGGCAGGCTCAAAAGGATTGTTAGCAGCTCCTTGGTGTTTCATATTCATTCTCTAACCATATATATATATATTAGATTACACACATTAATAACCAATACTTATTATTTTACACGCGCACACAGGACAAGCAAAAATAACCAATTCAAAGACATCATTGAAAATGCACAAAACAACCAAGATCCCGAAAACATAATAGAACAACACAACGTCTCGATAATAACAATAGTCAATTTATTAGAAACAGTAAGACCTTTGCTCCAAACTAACATTATTAAAAACAGAATGACACTACTTAAAAATACTCTCCTCCAAAAATGTATGGAACATACTGACAACAATTAATAACAAAATATCAACAAAAAGTTATTTAATAGTGTAAATAAGTACCCACACTGCTACCTCAAAGATTAACATTCTCCAATGGAATTTGAACAGTTTTAATAAAAGACTTAACGAACTACATATCTTAATAAATAAAGAAAACCCCTCATTAATTTTCCTACAAGAAACCAACTTCACTTCAAATAATGTGGGACATCTAAAGGGCTATCAAACTTCCACAAAAAACAGAACACAGCATAATAAGCCAGTGGAGGGGTAGTCATCTACTCTGACACTGGATACCCCGCCGAAGATATCCAAATTGTTTCTACTCTCGAGGTTCAAGCCATCACTCTCAAAGCGAAAGAAAATATAACCATTTGTAATCTATATCTACCTAATCAAACACTTATACAACAAAACGACATCCAAAACATTATAAATCAATTACCAACTCCTTTTATAATACTCGGCGATTTCAATAGCCATAACACCATTTGGGGTTCGGCTAACACAGATCCCAGAGGCAAAATGTTCAAGGGAATTTTGGATGGATCAAACATAGTATTATTAAACAACGGCGAACCGACTAATTTCTCATCATCTACAGGCAACACATCTGCAATAGACCTTACATCAGCATCGCCATCTATTGCGCCAAATTTTGAATGATCTGTGATTCCAGCGATTTACAGTAGCGATCACTGGCCGATCATAATCAAAATAAATTACAGGGACACGAACCTCACACACAATATACAGCACAAATGGAACCTCAAAAACCCAAAATGGAAGCTATACACTGAACAAATTGAATGTGAAATGGAAAGAATTAACCCTGATAAAATAAACAACCAAGAAACAGACAAATTATTAGAAACAGTAGAGAATCTTATCATTGTCAACGCAGTTGAAATTATAGGCAAAATCAATTTTTCTTGTAAAAGACCTCTTGTACCATAAATGTGAAGTTGCTATTAAAAACAAAAAAAAAAGCTTACAGATTAAAAAAAACCAAAAACCCACTAGATTTAATCGAGTTCAAAAAATGCAGAGCAATAGCCAAAATTGTCAATAATAATAGCAAAAAAATAGCATAGCAATCCTTCTCAAAAACACTAACTAGAAATACCCCTACATCTGAAGTCTGGAAGAAGATTAAGGCCATTAAAAACATAACCACCAACAAAAAAATTTAAATTTTACAAACTAAAACTCTCAACATAACAACTCCTTTCGAAATAGCCAACGAATTGGGTAAATCTTTCGAAACAAACAGTAATGACTCATCACAAGATGAACAATTCCTAAACTACAAAAATCAACACGAAAACTTTGAATATTTTAATAGGCCCCAACTTTCAACTTGCCAAGAATATGATGCCTCAATATTAAATGATGACATTACCATGGCAGAACTATTGCAAGCTTTAAATGAATCAAAAAGCAAAAGCAGCGGTCCAGACAACATTCCAGTTGACTTCATCAGACACCTACCCTCGATAGGACTCAATTTAATACTAACATTGTACAACAAGATTTTTAAAAACAATAGCTTTCCAAAAAGGTGGAAAGAAGCCATTGTGATCCCAATACCCAAAGCAAACACCAGCGTACACTCTACGGAGGGTTATCGTCCCATTTCACTATTATGTGCCATTAGTAAAATATTAGAAAAAATAATAAATAATCGTTTAATTTGTACCTAGAAAAAAAATCTAATAAATGAAGCACAATCAGAGTTCAGAAAAAAAAAGATGTACCTATGACAATTTAACAAATATAGAAACAGAAATTTGTGACGCTTTTATATCTAAACAAAAAATGTTATTGGTGTGTCTTGACATTCGTAAAGCATATGACACAGTTTGGCGATTCAAGGTATTGAAAACATTATATAAATGGGGCATTAATGGTAATATACATCAATATCTACATCATTTTCTAACAGACAGAAGTTTTAAAGTTAAGGCCAATGACACACTTTCAAACACATTCAAATTGGAAAATGGAATAGTCCAGGGATCACCTATAAGTGTTACTCTCTTCTTAGTCGCCATGAATAAAGTACCTAAATTAATAAACCTTCCAGTTAAAGTTAATCTTTTTGCAGATGACATAAACATTTTAATCAAAGGAAAAAATCTCTACTCATTAAAAAAAAAATATTCAAAACAACATCGACGTACTGTACAAATGGAGCCAAAAAACGGATTATCTTTCTCACCCAACAAATCTAAATGTATAATGTTTACTAAAAACAATAAGGCAGAAACCCAATCTATCATCAAACTAGGAGACAGCCCTATACTAAACGTAAAATCAGTGAGAATATTAGGACTTACCTTTGATTCCAGATTAAACTGAAACAAATTTCAACAATTAAACAAGATGCAGCAAAAGCAACAAATATTATCAAAGTCTTGGCAAATAATAAATGGGGAGCGGAAAAAATAATTTTGCTGAACGCATACAGGGCACTCATCAGATCAAAGATTGATTACGGAGCAATAGTCTATGGCAGCGCCAAGAAAGCAATACTTGATAAATTGGAACCAATACAAAACAATAATCATCGGCTCATCACAGGCGCCCTCAGGAGCTCATCTATCAAAAGTCTACTCTGTATTTCCGGAGAAATATCTCTGTTAAAAATATGAAATATCCTAGAGCTCAAGTATTCTAGCGACTAAGAATAGCGACGAACCCCAAAAACCCCACGTACAATTACTTATTTCACAAAAGATACAATAATGCATATGAAACCACTCCTACTTTTGAAATACCTTTAGGCAGAAGGGTAAGCACATACTACGAATCAAATAACATCAGTCCCGAAGACATAATCAGAGACACAATGCCAAACTTTCCACCATGGAGAAATATGAAAACAACTATTAATCTACAACTAACAGACCATAAAAAAACAACACTATGAGTTCAGTCTACCAGTGCCTTTTCAAAGAAATAATGCAAGCACAAGAAGAAACATTTATTTATACGGATGCTTCCAAAACCCAGGCCAACGTCGGCCTAGCCATAGTAGTAGGCAATGAAGTACTTAAGTACAAGATACCTCAAACCAACAGCATATTCACAGCTGAAGCCCTGGCTATAAAAAAAGCTATAGAATTGGCAATTAACATGAATGGTCATTAGTTCAATATATTAACAGACTCTTTGAGTGCACTAATCTCTATCAAAAACAATCATAATAGTAATGAAATCACCAATAATATTAAAAACTTATTATTTGAGACCAATAAACAAATAAACTTAACTTGGATTCCAGGACACACAGGAATAATAGGCAATGAAAAAGCAGACACTGCAGCAAAAGAAACAGAAAAAGACCTAACTACTGAATTCCTCAAAATATACAACTCAAATGACCTCAGCAACGAAATAAAATCAAAAATAATATTAAAATGGCAATCTGAATGGAACCTACATAATCTTCTTTTTCTAATACCATTTTCTTATACCATAAGGGTTGGTCAGCCAAATCAGCTTTCACAACATATCTCCTCTTCCATCAAAAACAATTTATTGTTCACTTAACCCTTCACTGCATGAATTTTTTTTTTAACCATATTCTATAAATGTACTTAATACTACTTGAAAAAATTTTAATTAACTCTTTTTTAGTTTTGGTTTCATGGAAAACGCTTATTAAAGAATTTGGAACATTATGGAACATTGTGCATGCAAAGATGTATAGCATGAGCAGATATAAACAATAAATACAATTGTTCCATATATGGAACATTATGCAGTGAAGGGTTAACACAATTTATATAGTAGCATATAGTTTAAATAAACTCGTGATAGTTTTTTAAAAATTACTTGGATATTGGTTTTTTTAATTTCTTCCATTATGTTCGCCGTTTGATATACCTAATGATGATACAGTCCTAGTACATAATAAGACGTCCGTGGTCGGTGATTTAGTATAGTGGAGAACTTGCCGCTTGGATAAATATTTGTGAAATGTGGTGAAGTAACAAACAAGAGTACTTTGTCAATTAAATTACTTGAATTTACAGTTATAAACAGATTTCTAAGCCCGTGGCCTGACCGCCAGCGTCTGCCAAGATAAATATCTGTATTAACCTTTGGAGCCTGAACCCTGTAGGTAAGGTGGTGGCATAGTAAACTATAAAAGTATAGGGTCTTTTTTTTAAATCCATAGGGTTAAGTGTTAACATCTGTTAACAATTAACCAAAATATGTACACAGAGACAGACTACATAAGGAAATGTTCATTTAATCTGTGATATGTATTATAAACCTACAGAGTACAGGCTACTATAAATTTAATCTATTATCTGTGTAGGTATGTATGAAGGTGTGTTAATGGGGCGCCGGCAGGATGCAACCGCCGCGCACTCTAGTGGTGAAATTTGTATGCAGTGCTTAGCATGACGGCTTGATAATACTGAAGCTTTGACACCTTATCTCTAGCGTTCATTGTCATTACATATTTGATATTATTAAAAAAATTGACTTTATAGAATTATCGTTGAAAATGTTTGTACTTTATAATACCGACTACCGACATTAACAAGGAAATGCAATAATTATTAAAAATTACAATGATAATAACTTAAAATTGTAGAGTTGAATAAGTAGAAAAATGTTACGCGTAGATCAATCTTATAATCCTGCAGAACAGGTGAATGCGATATAGATTTGTATAGATGCAAATTTTTGTTGTTATAAACATATTATACAAAATACGAAAGATACATCTGAACTTATATGCAATTTTTAGGTGACCAACATATTAAATGAAGCTGCTGTAGCTGCGGATGACAAAAAACTTGAACTGTTGTTCAAAGCAAAGGAAATAATAGTGTACCAAGAACCAAAATTATTGCCACAATTTATTGATGATGTTATTGCTTACCAAAACAATCACAGTACACCAGTTCGAAAATTCGTTGTGGGCTTTATTGAAGAATGCTGGTATTTTTTGTTTTTATTTTAGTTAACTGTTTTTTATTAATTCTTTTCTTCTCTTCTAGTAATAAAGAAAAATCTAACGTATGTATTACTTTACCAAATTTACTCGTTCTACTGAAGGATCGTTCTCATATTGTCCAGAAAAGAGTAATTCAAGCCGCTTGTGTTGTTTATCGCACTGGTCTACAATGGATATCAATGACAGATTTGCCTAGTTCTGATATAGCCAATGTTTGGCAAGATCTATCTAACTTGAAATCTTATGCTATTAATATGGTCGACAATGATAATGAAGGGTAAAATTACTTATGTTGCTTATTTTCTGTTGTTGCTTCAAATAATAAATTATTATATACCTGTATATTTATTAAAACAAATATTTTTGTACTTGATTTTACTATATCTAATACAAAATCATAGTTGAGTGTAATATTTTTAATTGCAGCATCCGCACACAAGTAATTAAATTCATGGAAATGGTTATCCTAGTACAAACCTACAAATGTGAAGGAGGTGTTGATATAAAACACGATATGTCATTAGAAGACATACCTTTAACTCTTAAAGTTACACGAAGAAGAAGACTCGAGGATGAAGCCAAGTACCTATATTTATTTATTGTTTATTTGTTATTTATCTGTTTATTTGATGTTTTTATTTTTTTTTTTAAGAGTGGTATTTGACCTTCTTTCACGATTTGTTCATTCTGGTAATGTTTGTTGCGCCAACTTAATTACCTGTATGAGATCATTAATAGTGATAGCAAAATTACGTGTTTCATTCATTGGAAAAGTATTAGTGGTGTTAGAAACTCTACCTAGTAAGTGTTATAATATATTCTAGTTAGGTGCAGGCACGTGGCCGAGTGAGATAAGGCAACAGTGTACCAATGCACAGTCACCAGTTTAAATCTCAGGCACTGCCAGTATGTTCCTTTGAGCGGGTAACTGTCTATGGGAAGAAATGGCTACCTGCACCTCTCTCTTGGGCCAACTTAAAAGTTTGGCAGCCAGCTATAATCCAAAGATTGTCAAACCTATAGAACCGTCTAAGTTTTGATCAGTAGGAATACCGGACATAAAAATGTGAAAAAAAACATGTATAGGACAAGTTTTTTTTCTTGACATTTTATGGTTCTATGAGTTTTGGGTTTTTTTAGTTAATAATTGGAATAAAGTTATTTATATTGTATTAAAATCAATTTAGAAAACATGCCAAGTTCTTTAACTACAAGTCAATCAATTTCTGTGAACAAAAATTTAAAGCAACAGTTGTTGAGTTTATTACGAATTCCTGCTTCAACAGAACACCAACAAACTATTGGGAAAATTTTGTTGGATATTGGTGCTACTAACCAAGAAGTAAACTATTACTTGATTTTTTTTTAATAATTTTTTTCCCTTTAAGTAATGTAGTAACATTTTTTAATTACACTAAATGAACTAGCAGTTGGGCGCACCTTTAACTACTTTCCGCCAATCAGAATATAATTTTGTAAGAATTTCCTAAAAAAATCTAATTCTGATTGTTAAACTATGCCTTAGAGAGTAGATTCACCAACCTCTAGTTCATTTTGACTTATTAGTAACCCAATTTTATGGTTTTACATATATAGATTATTAAAGCTCTTCAAGTATTATCAAAAAATGAAGATAGTAAAAAATTACTACGCTCATTAAAACGCAAAAATGATGATAAAGAAGATCGTAAATTAGATAAAGAGGATATTCCAGATAAAAAAAGGTGTACTGAAAGTTTAGTAAAACTTGACCCAGAATTAGTTAAAACATGGATTCTCGAAAGATTTTCCTCACAAACTGTTGCTGAACTAGTTATGGCTTTCATGGTAAGTATTAAAATAATTTAATGTTATATGTTATTATTAAAATAAAACATTTTTTAATATGAGGTCTAAAATCACATTCTATAATATGTATAATATGTATCTTTTGTTTATTTTTAAAAAATATGGGTTTTTTTGCTGCAAAATGTATAGGATTTTGTATACACATATATTTATATTACCTTGATTAGTTGCAAAAAATTCTTCAGCTAAAGCATTTTTCAATTGGGATGAAAAGTAAAAAATCACTTGGTACCCAGTCAGAACTGTAAAGTAAATGTTTCAGAATATCCCATCTGAACAAGTTTAGAACATCAGTTTGCATAAAGAACTAAAGAAAAGGAATTTTAACGGAAAGTGTTTGCCTCCTCCATGACAATGCCCTTCTACACATCGCCTGGCCTATAATTGTCATGGCACCTAGGGATTTTCACCTTTTCTCTAAGTTGTTCATACACTCTTCTTCTTCACTAGCATTTACAACTCTATTTGAGTCTTTGCCGCCATCACTACATCCCTCCATCTCTCTTGATCTTGAACAGTTGCCTTCTATTCTTGCACTCCCGGAGCTTTAAAATACTCTTTTACTATGTCTAGCCACCTCTTCCTCGGTCTGCCTCGAGGTCTTTTCCATTCCATAACTGCTCTGATGATTTCTTCTCATAATGTTGCCCAACCACTGTATTCTTTGTATGTATCTATGTATGCCATCATATGCATTTTTAAAGTCCACAAATATATGTCAAAAATCTTAACGGTATTCATATTTTTTCTCAATAATTTTTCCAATTATCGAGAGTTGTTCCCTTTTTGACTTCCCTTTGCGTAAACCACATTGATATTCTCCTAAGCACTCTCCTGTCTGTAGTATTAACCGACTCTATAACACCTTAGAAAACACTCTATATGCTGTATTTAACAGGGATATACCTCTGTATATCCCTTCTTATGCAGAGGTATGATTATGGCTTCCTTCCAGCTGCTTGGCATCTGCTTTTTATGCAAGTCTTCTGACAGACTTTAAATATGAAGTACCGTAATTCTTTTTCACCATATTTTATCACCTCTGCTTGAATATTGTCTGACCCGGGTGCTTTCCGATTCTTGAGGTCGTTTATTGCTCTATGATTATAAAAACTCAATTTTTTAAAAATAAACGTCATTAATTTCTGAACAACTCTCGTAATAGATATTTTGATAATAAAAAACTGAAGTATTATTAAAAGTTTTGAGAACAAAAAATATTTAACTATGTATATTACTGTTTAATAAGATTAAATAAAATTATTATTTTTAGGTTAAATTACCATCAAAAATGCCATCTTCTTTTCAGTCAAATTATACTCCAATATCTGCTGCTGGTACTGATAGCCAGATTAAACATTTAGCTGAGATTTTGACTGCTCAGGTATGTTCCTCGAATGTTCCTATACCCGAGTTAAATACATGCAAACTACACGATACTGAAGCATCGGAGATTATTAAGGAAGGAATTATTAAAAATAATGATAATGAAGAAAATATGTTTTTGTCTATGCCTGCTGAATTAAATGTAAAAATGTATCGCATCGACTCCACTGAAGCGGAAAAACTCGCACATGACGCTTTATTAAGGATTTTGGGAACAGGCAAACTTGTAATGTCAAAAACATGTAAGGAGATACGCCTTAAAGCCATATCTCGAATGGCAGTCATGTGTAATGATGATTTTCGTAATAGTAAGTAAATTTGAATGAGAAAATTGGAAAAATACTTTAAGTATGGAAATTTGAACTTACAATTTTACAGCTATACTTGATTATATTGAACTGGATATGGCAAACAATTTAAATTTATGTTTATCGTGGTTGTACGAAGAGTACAGTATGAACCAAGGTTTCACTAAGCTACCTACAATGTTTAGAAATTCATTGTCATCTGAACAGAATTATAATACAGTTTTGTGTTCATTAATCAGAGCTGCTTTAAATATTGAAAACCTTAAAGAAAAAGAAGAGTAATCAAAATTAAATCTTCATTCCTTTTTATAAATATTTAATAATATATATTTGTTTTTAGTATTCTAACTGCTCTTTACATAGAAAGTCCAAATATCACTGATGATGCTGTTGACATTTTGAAAGATATATGTAGTAAACATACTTTTGGTCTTTATATCCTCAATGAACTAGTGACAAAAAGACCACCAAGACAACTAGTATATTTAAATGCTCTTCTATTTTACACATCACACAATGATATTGAAGTAATTATTTAAATTGTTTTTATTTTTGGTTTAACATTGAATTGAACTATACTAAGCTGAGTTTACTTTAATTTGGTTTCATTCCCTGTGGATAATTTATTATACTATTCTTAATTTTATCATTAACCATTTTTTGCAGTGGAAATCAATTCTGTGCTTGACGTATAAAACAAAAATTTTAAGAAAACTAATAACAGCTATTTTATTCTTTATAATTCATTTTCTTAATATGTATAGTATATTATTAATTGAAGGATACGTGTTCTGTTAAATTAGAAAAGCTCATGTTTTAGCCCTGCTAAAATGTATGAATGTGCTACGATGGGCGCAGTGCCTATTCACATTAATTTTCGATTAATTCGGTTTTAACTTATATTAATTGTATTTATTCATAGAGCTGCATAAGATAGTTTGGGCCAAACAAACTTTTGGTTGGTGAGTTCACCTCTTCTCTAATTTCTGGCATTTTTAATTTCCTACAAATTTTAGTTCTAATTGCTAGATGATGTCTAATGAGCAAAGTAACTAACCGCACGTTTGGTTTCGGCTCTGAAAATAATAAGTTTATAAAAAAAAAACTGGTTTGTATGGAAAACAAAATGTTTTGTTTCTAATTATTAAATTATAGCCAAGGGAGATAAATTGTTGTGCAGTTTAGAAAAAAATTACCAATTTCATTTAACACATGATTATCAAATTATTATTATTGTCACTAATAAAATAATTATGTAAAAAACTTAGTTCAAAATACGATCTTTGTGTCTTTACCCTTTGGTTCCTGACATCCTCGTACGAGGATTTAACTATTTAATATTAACAACGTACTATCATTATCAAAATTGTTTTTAAACATAAGTTCTTGTATAGATTGATTATAAAAAATCGACACAGCTATATTAATAATCAATGTCAGTCCGTTATTATAGTTTGTTTAGTATCATAGGTTTTCCTTATTTTCACTAATTTACAACGTCTTTGTTTTTGAAATTGTTTTAATTTAGTTATATATTTTTTTATAACCAGTAAAAGACTTTTTGTAATTTATGTAATTTTAGGTAAAATAAAAGTAATCATTTCTATGATATATTTATATTGACTTCGTTTCTTCCCGACATACTTGTTGAAGGATTTTAAATTTTGTAGTGTATAACTAAGCTAGAATTCTAAATTTACTTCTGAAACTTCGTAAATATATTTTTTAGTCCTATACAAATACGTAAAAAAAATTTTGAATTTTTTTCTGATAAAGGAACGATAAAAGGTTAAATAATCAATCGTATATAAATATTATATGTTTTTAGTTACGTCAAATTGCATTGAATTATACTAGCAAGCTTTACAAGAACAATGATCTTAAAAATATTATCGAAGAATATGCTACTTTTTATTTGGGTTTCCTAAGATTACCTCAACCACCAGATGTACTCTTTGGTCAAGAAAGTGGTCGTCTCATTAAATCTGAAATTTGGGACGATGACTCAACAACAGCGTGCTTATACCTATACTTTATGCTTACTGCAAATAACTATGAATTGATTCACGAGTAAATAATTTGCTATGTTAACATTTTATTGTTATCTAATAATCTAAATAAATTATTAGGTTAGCATCGGTGTTCGTTCATGCAAAAGGAGAAGTGAAACGTTCAATCATAAAACTTTTGCCACAGCCTATTCAAAATATGCCTATGAATTCGCCAGAAATGTTTAGACTCCTTGAAGACATTCCTAAAGGTGCTGAAACAATGGTACTTCGAGTATTACATATTGCTACTGAAAAAGGTAAGTCAATCAAATTATGATTTGCTTAAAGTTAATTAAAAATAAATATACTTTTAAATTTTAAGTCCCATTTTCGGAATTGATTTTTGAAATGGTAAATAAAGGCACAACATTTGAAGAATGAAAGTGTCAAACGTTCCAAGTGCCAAAGTATAAAAATTCAACTTTATAACTTGATTTGTATTTTATTCATTACCGGAAACACTTTAACATATTTTTGAGTTTTAAATATGATTGTTTTTTTTATAAATAACTATTCTTTACTTGAAAAATGTACAAAATTGTTTCCGGTAATGAATAAAATACAAATCAAATTATAAAGTACAATTTTTATACTTTGGCACTTGGAACGTTTGACACTTTGACTCTTCATTTGTTTTTCAATTATATAACAACTTGATACCTATGCCTTAAAACTCAACCTTATGACAATATGAGTTAATAGAAAAATGCCATAAATTATTTGTGTTGTATGTATCGTTTAGTATTATGTTCTATTAGAATTACATGATTAAGTACTAATATCCAATATTGAAATGACTTTGTTTTTATAAGTATAGACAACCAACAAGATAAAAAAAAAATTCAATATTAACAATTATTTTATCAGCTATTGATGACTGCTTTGACTCAAATAATTTTAATTAAGAGTATATAACTATTGCACTCGCTACAAAATTTCCAACTATTTAAAAAATGACACTACTTAGATTTGAACTTTGGATGGCAGTGTTTTTTTATGTTACCTACTTTCATTCAAATTCAAACACATCTTGTTAAAAAAAAATTAGAAATAATTTTATTAAAATTCAGTATATGTTATATTATGTGTTTAGTAATGTCTATTTTATTACCTATATGGTAAATTTTACTAAAGTAATTTTAACTGGAAATGAAAAATATGTAAGTGATAATTGTTTAAATTTAATCTAAAGTTATGTCATGTGATCCTGTGATTTTTATTTGTCAACTATTGTAAACCAGTTTATTACACGGGCAGCTAGTTTATTATAGGTGTTTTACCAATTTAGTTTTACATTCTCAATGAATTTAAGATGATTTGTTGTCCTCTTAACTGAAGTAAAGATATTTTAGATCTACTAAATGTCTGCTTATTTTATAGTGTACATAAACCAGGGTTTTAACTATGTTATAATAAAAAAATGTTACGAAAAGTCATAATTTTTTTGGTTATCGTACCATAATTCATTAGGTATAACATAATCATAACCCTGAGATGAAATATTATATTTCTTTTTAATCACAACTTTTAGTAGTAGAAAAATCTGTCATCTTATGTCATCAGTGGGTCGACTATTACTTGACTGTTCAAAACTAAGTTGCTAGACTTCTTTTTAAATGGATGAAGGAAATGACTTATTCCCTGATTTAGAAGATGATAGAAACTACTGCATTAACCGAGGTCCTTTAACCGTTTTAACGGTCATAAAAAAAGAATAACTAAATATTTTACATTCTTATATTTTGTGGTGTGTATTATTTTATTATTAATGTAGGCAAATTATCTATTTTAGAAATTCCTTCAATTGAATTAGTCTCCAAGGTGAAGAAATTATATGACAACCAGTTGGTGGAAGTACGGTTCTTAGTACCAATTATGTCCGGGTTAGACAAAAAATACATTTTAAATGTTTTGCCACAGTTGATAAAACTCAATCCAAATGTAGTAAAAGAGGTATTGAAAATGTTGAGTTTTATTTATTTATTTAATTAATTATTTATTTATTAACTACATATTTTTAAATTATTTGTTTCTTTTATTGAAGGTATTTAATAGAATATTGGGAATAAATACTTCAAATTCCAATACTAATCCTTCAGTGAGCCCTGCTGAACTGTTAATAGCATTGCACACAATGGACACAGATCCCAACGATCTCAAATTCATTATTAAAGGTAGGTATGATTATAAAATTAAGCTAATATACATGTCTTTGTATATTTCTGTTTTGTTATAGCTACATCGCTATGTTTTGCTGAAAAGTCCGTGTTTACACAAGAAGTTTTGGCAATTGTAATGCAGAATCTTATGGAAGTAAACCCTTTACCGACTTTATTGATGAGAACAGTTATACAGTCTCTATCTACTTACCCTCGATTAATTGGCTTTATAATGAATATACTTCAAAGGCTTATTTTAAAAAAAGTTTGGTATCAAAAAACCCAGTGGGAAGGATTTATTAAATGTTGTCAAAAAACCAAACCCAATAGTTTTCAAGTACTATTACAGTTGCCACCAGAACAACTTGAAAATGTACTAAGTACATGTCCAGAATTAAGACGGCCTATATTAGATCACGTTCTTAGCTTCACCGAAGTGCAAGTATGACAGTATATTAGTTTAGTATTTTAATTTGAAAATCACCCACTCTTTTTTTAATTTTATTTCAACCTTTTAAAAGCGTTCCCACATTCGCCAAGCAACAATGGATATAATATTTGGTAAAGGACTGGATGTACCACTGTATCAAGAGGTCAAGGTAAAACCAGAACCGGCTGATAAGTCATCTACGCAATCTGTTCATTTTATTACTCCTGCTACTTCCAATACTACTACTGCTAAGGTATGTAATATAAACAAAGTATTATTTTTTTAAAACAATAAGTGCTAATAAATAAAATAGTAAGTAGTGAAAAAAGAGTAATAAAATATTAATACAGTAAGTATAATTTTTAATCCTAATTCTAGTTGCAAATTCAGTGGCATTTATTGGTGATTTTCCAACACTACCTTTTATTACATACCTATATTGTTTTTAATAATATAAAATAATGAAATATTAAAAAAAAACCTCAACCACAAAAAATAATACACTTTAGCCTTTATGCAGCAATTTTACCTTCATCAGCACTAACAACAGACTCGGGTTTGTAGTATTTTGTATGGTTAGGTATGTTTTAAATATTTAATTATTTTATTTCTTTATTGTAATTAACCACAAGTGTTGCTTAAGTTTTTTCTAGATATTTTATTTTTGTTATGCTGTCATATTTATTGATTATTTGATATTAAAATTTTTATATTTTCCATAGAAACTACCACAAAAGCTAACATCGGAAACACTATCTAATTTGAGAGAAGAAGAACTTAGACCTCCAGGCGAAGGAGACGACGACCCAATGCAGGATATTTGATTTGAAAATTACACTAAATAGTTTTAGCACTTTCATCTGAAAAATTCGTTTTATTATACAATTATACAATGTAGTTCATAATTAAAAGCTTAAACATTTTGTTTATATATCAAGATTGTTTTTATACCTAAGACTTTATTTATTTATTATAAAGTATTATAATATTTAATATTATACTTTCAATAAAAATAACAATAATAAATCAATCTTTAATGTAGACAGTGAATTGTGAGCTTCTTGGTAAAGGAGGTAACATTAAGAAAAGCATAAAATTATCACGATCCCAATGTTGAAAATATAGTTAAGCAAACGGCGTTTTTCACCACGGGAAAATTTTTATTCGCCATCAACAAATGAATACCTAACCGCCTTTACACACTTCTTTGAAGAGTCCACAAATATAATAGCGTACGCTATAATGTATCTAAGCCGCTCATTTCTAAATTTTTTAAAAAAAAATTATTTTTTTGTACTTGTATTGACTATTTGTTTTAAATGTTGTGCGTCTTCTGAAAACCTAATAATATGGTATACATAGTAGATCACAGTACGTGAAGTTTTAAGAAAAACAAATCGGTTTACACTAAAGTTCCCGCATTGAATAATCCCAATAAAAACAATTTTCTATAGAATAGACTGAGACAGTCTGACAAAAAAAAAATAACAACCAATAAAGAATCCACAGACCACACTGCTGTAATACCTAAGATCATAAATCATACACATGTGTTGTAAATAATTTGATGTAGGTATATACTATGTTTTAAGTTCTAAATTAAGATTTTGCATATAAAAATGTCCTTATTTATTAAGGAGTAAAATAAACTCGAGCTTACAATTAGATTTAAATTAGGTAAATCTGGACTCTGTGATTATCTAAAAAGTTTAAAATTGTATAAAATTATCGTTTTAAAGTATATTTTTTTCTATTAATTAGTCTATCACGTTTTTACTTGACAAGGCGAGAAAGAAGGATATAGTTCTCTCATCAAATATTTTTTTATAATTTGTACTTAATTTATATTATGTCATAAATCCATAAACAGTAATCGTAGTATGAAGATATCTTATGAAAGAAAACCCAAAACAAGTTTGAAATTCCAGCTGTTTTATCTTTAACAATGTTAATATCTAGAATTTCTTCAGACAAAAAATAATTATCAGTTATCATGGAGAGTTTAACTGCTAAATTTGTATTTTAAAATCAAATAAATTCATATAAGTGTGGGAGTTCTATATTAGCCCATGTACGTTTAGTCCAGTAGTCTAGAATTTAAAAAATGTAGACTTGAATGGAAAATCGAATAAGTACTGTGGAGTTTTTAACGCATAGTGGTAGCTTATAAGTTTGATTAACTAGACAGCCACTTGTCGAAGTAAAAAATTAATGTGAAACCTCATCTCGAGCTTCTCAACATAATTACATTAACTTTATTTTATTTACCAGTATGGTCTTCAGAACTATTAGCTATTATATTCTCTTCAGAACTATTAGCTAATTTGAACATTTATACAATTTTTATTTTTTTCAGGTAATTTGTTTAAGAAAATACACTTGAACGCTATTTCATAAGTCCTGAATAATTCTAATTTAATCTGTGATGATCATCTCATGATTTTTTGTCTTTGCAACTTACAAATATTATTAAATAAAAAAGATAAGACGTAATGTTAAAATTGTTGTTCTTCATGCGTAAAAAGAACATGGGGAGTTTGCTAAAAATACAAATTGAGCTACTTGCGCATCAAAAATAGCCTTCTAGTTGCTATATGAGTCAGCTTTATTTAAAAAAATATCATTTCATTTCGGGGTGTTAATTATTTTATTTGGTTAAATAATAAATTTAATTACTGCTTAGTGCTTACGGATTGACACAGATATTAATATAATTTATAATAGTAATATTCTATTATACTTAACACAAAACTCGTTTGTACCTAATTATATATTTAAAAAAAGAAAAAGTATGTAATACATAAAATTTAAATGTTATGAAATATATTATAAAGCAAGTATAATGAATTGATAGTGATGTGATAACTAATAAGATTTGATTTAAAAAAAAAAATAATAACCAAAGATCAATTTTTAAAATCATAATATAAATTATGCGTTTTTATTTAATAGAAAATTGTATAATTTTACAATTGTTACTTAAACTTTAACTTCAAAGCATATCTGTTGGTTTTGTAAAAAAATAAAATAGCAAACTAACTATACAGTTAGCCTAAAACAGTATATTTAAGACAAATAAGACTTATTCTAAATAGTGATCAATTGAAATAATAATGAAATTTAAAAAAAAAACTAATGGGAAATTTATTTTTCAAATATTAGTTTTTAATAAATAATTATATATAATCTATTTTTTTTTCAAACACGACAATTTTCAAACAATTTAAATTTAAACATTAATTAGTGACAGACAGACAATGAAAACAGTTACAAGGTACCTAGTAAATAACTAAAGATTGCAGTCATTCTTAAATATGCATTCGGAGCAAAACAGACAGTCGGAAGCATAGCTGTTCAAGCCATTTCATTTTCGACATTATATACAAGATAAATATTAAACAAATAAGTAATATTTGCTAATCAGTCAGTCATACGAGCCGAGTAAATGAGCTCAAAGATAGTAAACTAATATAAATTAAAATCACTTTCAAAATTCTAATAGGAATAAAATTATTACAGAGTAGCACATTTACTCATACAGTTATACGATATCACAGACAAATATTGGTTCCATTTATACTAAAAAAAAAAATTACGTAGGTACTAATAAAGACAGTCATACGACAAGACAAACAATCTAAAGTCTCACGTTTAAAATTAAACACAACTACATTACAAGCGTCTTGATTCGTTGAAGTTCTTTTGCTGACCAACGTGCTAAATTCTTAGCGGTCAAATCAGTAGATTGGCGTCCTTTGTACAACAAATTATGAACTTCTCCATTGTCTAAAACAGGGCACGCCTTGGCTCCAAATGCCGAACATAAATCTCCAACAAGACCGCAACAGCTTTTCAATATCCCTGGATTTGCATTAGGATCAGAACAAATAGATATCATGTATTGTACCATAAATGGCAGATGGGCTTCAAGTAAATAAACATCTTGATTGGGTGCGACACCTTCGCCTTTCAACCCTTGCACAATACCAATGTAAGCAGCCAATACTCCTTCACGAAGTTCATTTACATATTCAATAATATCAGCATCATTGGGATCTAGTTGAATTTGTGCAACTTGAACCAACGCATTTAAAACATGTTCCAAGTATTTTTTGAATTCTGGCCCGATACCAAGAGCAATGTCTCCAAAAGTAGATAGGATTTGTGGTTTTAGATTCCGGTTAACGGTATTACTTCGTAAAGTTTCAAACAATAGTGCAAAAACTTGATCGCAATAGGGAGCAAAACCTTCACGTAGTGCTCGTGATAAATCGCCTACAATACCAACAGCAGCTAAACACACTTGGAATTCGGTATTGTTTTGTAAACCAATAAACAAGTATGTCTTAAAATACTCCATGTATTTAATGAAACCTTTCCCAAGATTTTCAACCAAAGGACTAATAGCCATAAGGGCATCCTCTTGAAGACCACTGTCTTTGCTCGTACTTAACATCACTAAGAGTGCATTCATGATGGCATTAGATATTTTGTCCACATCATCACTGTTCATTTTCCGTATAACACTTTGTAATGTAGCACACAACAGTCCTTGCATGTCTAAACAATCTTCATTCACCGTTTGCAAATTAAATATTTGATTCAATCTACTAAGAATAATTAATGTTGTACTCTTAACAGTTTCATAACATTCAATCGGTGAAAACTTAATCATATCCATAAGTGCTTCATATGCAGCAGATCTTAGATTTGAACGCATTCCATCACCTCTTTCTGTTGTTTCAAGTAATCCTTGAACAATGTAATTAAAATATGGTGTTAAAAAGTTCATATCTTGTCCGGTGGTTTGTGCTAGACTACTAAAAGCCCAACATATGTTTGTAGCTACACGTGGTTCAGATTTCAGACCCTTGATGAATACACTAAGAACATCACCTAGACAAGGGGAGTTGACAATAAGTTCAGGTACAAACTCAAAGATGCGACCGAATGTCCATGCTGTTGTATCTTGAACAGCAACACTTGAATCATACATTAAATGTACAAGAATTGGAATATTTGGTTCTAATAGTTCTACTAACGCACTATTATCTAAGCCACCAATAATTGATCCAAGCGTCAAGACTGAAGCATCTCTGTAACGCCAATCTGTATTACCAATATTTGCATTAATAAATGGAAGTACATAAGGAACAACACGACTTTGACAACAAGTTGCCAACAACATAATACAAACACCTGCTGATTTGCATGGATTCCAGTCATCATCATCATCTCCTTCCTCTTGATTAGTAAGCTTCTCCATTAGAACTGGAATAATAAATTCTAATGCTCCTTCAGTATACATCATAAGCTTCTTCTCAGTGGGCGAGTCTTGACATTGTCCCTCATATACAATATCAGCTTCTTCTTCAGCAACACTAGACCAAAATTCAATACCTTGTAGGGCCACTTCGTCCAAGTCTGATTTAATGGCTTGTAAAGTAATTGGAAACAATGTCGTCATATACGCTTCCATGTGTTCATAATAAAGAGAAACAATTTTAACTAAACATTGAAGGGCTGCGACTTTGACAGGTGTTTCGGCCGATTGTGTAGCTTTGCAAACAACTTCCATAATATAATCACGTTCATTTTTCTTTTCAAAATTACCTTTGGTAAACTCTAAAGAGTTATAAAGTGCAGTGGCAGCGGCTAAACAAACATTACTATTATTTTGTGTCATTCCATGAACAATGGCTGTCAATACTGTATTTGATTCATTTTTTAAAACTTCATGATCAGTATCTGCACATATATACCCGATAGTTTCTAACGAAGCCTCTCTTAACATATCAGTGGAGTTGGGGTCAGTAACGTTAGCCGCCAGAGAACTAATAAGACCAGGCCATAAGTTTAATGGTAACTCCAAGATGGCAACGTTAGCGACACATTGTGCTGCTGAACTTGGCCGACTTTCTGTACCAAGAGCTTTAAATATGTTGTCTTTGATATACAAACGATCCTGTTCAGGAAACGTGAGCCAACGCTGTTTCATTTGTGCTTTGACACCTTCATCTTTGGATGTAAGGTGATTTTTAATCTGGAGACCGGCAGCAATCCGAGCAACTGGATTGTTGACGGAATGCACAAGAACATTTGACAGAGTCTTGATAAAGCCAAGAAGATTTGTTTGTGCAGCATGTTCCAAAAACTTTTGTATTTGATTAAGCTCATCTTTGTCGGTGGAGATAGTACGCTCCAAAAGATTAGTGATTTGAATAACTTCCTCGTCGCTCATTGTAACTGTTTGTTGTCCTAAATCAATAAAAAAAATGTACTATAAATAAAAACGTGCAAGAGCAACGCAATTTTCAAAATTATATTTAAGTAAAACGGTTTACCTGTAAAATATCTAATAGCGTAATCGCTTTTTCCACTTTCGCAATAGTACGTTTGACGCGTTTCCAAAATTAGAATGAAATGACTGAAATCAGAATAGCAAACACTTTTTAACGAATGCGGAATGACGACTACTGCCTGGCTAAAGACATAACCACAATAATTCTTTGTTTAATGGCAGCAACGAACCTGACCGTTAGTGCCCGAGTCGGTTTTGCTTATTTTATAGGTAATACACACACACACACGCACTGCGGCATGGCTGACGGCACAGGTATAAACTATAAACTATCGGCATACGCGCGGCTGCAAATGCCGAACAGTGATAACGTTACAATCCAAAGATCTTCTAAACTCTCATGCATGTTGTTGAATACAAAATTTAACATTAAACAACATTCTACCAAGTACCTGGTTACGAATCGTACACCGACCCGTCACGTCCTCACGTCCACATAACCGTGTCATTTCCCCTTAATAGTCAAATTCCATTTCCCCATCACTTTTAAAACATAGTAACGAAACGTACGTTATATTTTCATTTTAAAGTTTTAACTATAGAGAATATGGTAACGGTAAGTGTCGTTTAGTGAGTTTTCGCCAATTTTTTTGATTTTACATTTGCCTTTTAATACCGTTGAGTTAACGTGCACACCGAAGAAGATGGAAGCTCAACAGAAAACTTTGGATTGTTTTATAAAAAGTCGAAAACGACCTGCCATAGATGACGGCATACACAAAAAGGGGTTGATTAACTCCAGTAAAATAATTGAAGTCGTTAAACCTAGCAGACAATTAGTATTTGATGATATAGGAGCTGTACCAGTATCAATCAAAAAACAAAAGGTAAACTTCATTAAATTGTTTAAATTATATTTACGATAATGCATATAAATTATATTTTTATCTTAAACCGTCAGTAGCAAGGTAGTAATAATTATTTTGATGTAGTAAGAGATGTAAAATATTTAATCAAATTATTTATAAAATTAATTAATATAAATAAAATATACCTACAAATTTTTCTTACCAAAAATATTCTTTAAAGAAATATACTTTGTAATAAATACAGCTACAGTAATAATTAAAAGAACTGTTGTGTTTTTATTAATAATAAATTTAAAGCTAGAACAAAAATAATTAGATTCTATTATAACATAATATTATTGTACGGAATTAACTTATGTAATAATTAAGTACAATGTGTTTTCCTCATAGCTTGACATAACGTCACTGTATACATCTAACTGAACTGCTGACAAAAGAATGGTAAAATCAAAGGCTAAATTTGTGTTATATCACTATGTGATAATTTAAAAATGTCTTTGTTGCCTTATAAAAATATCAATATTACTATAAATACATTAAAAAAATATACCGGCTACTTTTTACAACACAAAATATGCCATTAAGTAACAAATAAATTAAGTCATTTTTACTGGTTTTAGACTCAAGCAGCCGTCACTGAAACACCAATGTTAAGTGAAACACCTACCAAGGCATGTATTAAAAATGTCATTATTGAAGGAAATGAAAGCAAAAATGATAGTGAAGAAAATGAACCTATTACCCCAGATCAATCTCCATCAACCAAGGCACAGTTACGAAAAGTATGTTGTAAAATAATTCTGATTTAATTATTGATTAATTTTTGTAGAGTTTTTAGCACGATTAAAGTCTAAAAAATTACAATGTGTCACTGGCAGCCTAATTTCCTTATATGGATCTGGGAATTTTTTTTATTAGTTTATAGTCAAAATCAGATGTAGAGCACCGTTACAGTGATGGGGATATGGGCAACACATTTCTTTTACACAATAATGTATTTAGTGCAAATATAACTTGGAACCAAAGATAGGTGTTATTTAAACAATTTTTTTTTAATTAAATACAAATTCAAATAATAATAAAAATGTCTTAAAAAACTCAAATAATAATTAAATCGTTATTTTTATTTGAATAAATTAAATTTAAACTTAAAATAATAATATTTATTACATTTGTATTTAAACAATTATAATATAAACTAACAGATCATTTGAAACATATCACAATTAAATATATTTAAATAAATTATTTTTTGAAATTTTGTATTCTAAAATTTTTTTAATTAAAAACAGTAAATAATAAATTAACAAATCTATATTAAATAAAAAATATTTATGCAATAAATAAAAATATATTTAAAATAATTATTTGTTATTAAAATAAAGTTTTCTCCGCTACACGGAAAATCATTGAATCATGTATATGTTTTTGTTTACTTCCCTGATGTAACTTAATAAACGTTATGTTAACAATGACTCGTGATCATATCTTGTATGAATTGATAAGAGATTATTTTTATAATTGGAGAACAATTGGTAAAAAAAAATACAAAAAATTTAGTTTCGGACGTGAATTCAACTGATTACTAGTCGTGCTAAACACACTAAGTCTAGTGACTTTGCCATTGAATGACATCATTTTGTGACATCTGGTTATAATGTGTCCTAAATTCTGGCTGTGTCTAGCTCTAAAATATCCACGATAAAATTAAGTTTGCTTGCATTAAATGATTATTATATTGTCGGTTTATTTAGCAAATGGCTTGACATCAAAAGTATTAATATTTATTAACAATAAAAATGTTACGAAACTATAGAAAACAATAATACACATTAATTAATATTATTAAAATATTTCTAATACTAATTATTATGTGTTTTTAGGACTTGGATTTGGGCGAGTTTCGTAAAATTGTTCTTAGAAAGCAGAATCTTCGAAAGTTGCAAGAAAAACTTAATAACGTTGAGCAATGTCAAAACGAATTGTCATCTGCCAGTAATAAAGTAGAAACTGCTAAAAAACATTACTTATCTTCCTTTAAATCTGTTGATTTAATGGTTGACACTAGTCCTGTAAAAATGGGCTTAAGTCCAATCAAAAGGCAAAATTTGAAGCCCACTGCATTGTTTGCTAGTCCTGCTCAAATAATGGTCAGCCCTCGAAAAATGATGATGACTTCTCAAAGTCCGCAAGCCAAAGAGTATGTTTCACCTAGGAAATTATTAGATGAAGTTGGGTCACTTTTAGCTATGTCCCCATCTAAAAAGTGTATTGCACTAGCCGATTCTAAAACATTACCTTTGCCTTACAAATATCGCATTTTGGACGAACTATTTAAGGCTATGGAAACAGTCACCTCGATGATGTTTAGTCGTAAAGAGAAAATAACCTTCAGCAAACTTAAACGAGGTGTTCAACAAATGACTAGAAAGTAAATATTCAGTAGGGGTATAATAACTTAATTTTAATAAAATCGTTTAATTTTACAGAAATTTCACAGAACTACATTTAGCACAAATCAAGACTGTAGTGCCAGATTTTTATACTTTTTCATTAGTTAGATCTCCTAAAGACAAGACTAGTTTTGAGCTAATAATAGCTCCGACTTATGGTAAGCACTAACTTGTTATTAAAAGTTTAATAATCGTTTTGTCCTAATAGTAATTAACATATTTAGGTTCTGCCAAAGAAAGTAATATCGACTTGATCGAGTTGACAACACACAGGAAAAAAAGATTCACAAATTCTTTACTTGACATAGTAAAAGAACATCATAGAGTAATTAATATACTATTCTTATTTTATTTTATTTACAAATATTTGTATTTCTTACTGTTAAAATGTTTTGTTTTAGGAATATTTGATCCATCTAATACCGCCTATTGTAATTGACAAAGATAAAATAACAAGATGGCATCCTGAATTTGATGTAGAATGTGTACCTGATATTAATCCGTCCCCGTTACCCAAAATTGAAGTTAGCAAATCTAAAATTGCTTCTGCAAAAGATATATTAGGTATGCATTCTAAATTCTATATGTGAGCACTGGTCCAATTTCTAACAGGTCTACATTTTTTAATAAAAGATATTAAAGTAACTTAGCATTGACAGAAATGATGGTATTGTAACATTAAAATAGTTAGTAGCTAAGTACATTATTTAGGATATATTACAAAAATTTTAAAGGTAATAGATGGAATGTAACCAAATTAATAATCATGTCAACAACTTGTCTTAACCAACATTAAGTGACTGTATATTTTATAGGAAAACAAAATATCTTATAAATATAACTGTTAAACCTATTTATTATTTGGCCCATTGTCTTTTTTTTATTAAGTATGACGATCAAACCACCGTCAATTCCTATAAATATGATTACAAATAAAGTAGAATCTAACACTATAAATTTCCTAACAGATGTTTTTATTTATCATTAGATCAATCGCATGCTTTGTTTACTCAAAATAACCGATTACATAGAACATTAACAACGATGAAAGAAGAAAAAGAAACTAAGCCTGAAAAAAAAATAGTAACAGAAGATGCCAAAAATGCTCTAAACAGTGCACTGAAAGGCATTCCAAAATCATTGTTATTGAAGGTAAAATTAATATGCAGTAACCTTTAATTTTTAAAATTTAATCAATTTAAAAATGTAATTTTTTAAAGGGTTTTTTTATTAATTAAACTCTTGATCGCCTTCATAGAAAGCTATAAGAACACATTCAGTTTTTTGTTAAACGTATCACACATTTTCCCTTCCTAATTTTATATTTCATTTACTATGCTTGTATAAAGCAAATAAAACGTTTTGAAAGATAAAACACTAGCACTAGATAGTTTAAGAAATTTCAGACCATTTGGTAATATTTAAAGTATTATGTCTCAACATTATTTAATCGCTTTATATGATAGCAAAAACTAACACTAAACAATAAACCAATAACACTAATGAGCGCTATGATAATATATTATTATTAAATCACGATGCAAGTGTTAGAACTAAAGTATACATTACTACTGATATCAAATAAGTAACACTGCATCAATTTATCGTTATTCCCTTATAAATTTACTGCATAATAAACCTAACCTAACCTTGAATTATTACAACAGTTTAAAGTAATATTTCATGTATTACCATGTAGTAATAATCAATTATTTCTTTTAACATTTTTTTATGACATAAAACAATAATATTTATAAATCAAATGAATGTCATATTATCTGTAATCTATAATACTAAATAAGTAACTCAACGTGTACAAGTAACTCGATTTTCAAAAAAAAATTAACTGATACTCGTTTTCTGTATTACTGGCAAAAAGGCAGTAACTCAACTGTGTTATTCAGAACCTCTGGTCGATTCGAGTTACTACCTTCTTCGCTGGTAATACAGAAAATTAGTGTTATCAGTTCTTAGGACGTAACTAAGAAAATATAGTTACGTCCTTCTTCTTTGGACACGTTAAACTAATCATATCTGATAGTATATTTTTAAGAATGGCACTTTAGGTACTTTTTATTGGGGGAAGGAATGTTGTAATAAATAAAATTTTCAGTCTTCAGATAAATTTATATTTAATCTGTGCTAATAAAGTCACTATTATCCGATTAGATGGTTCCGATCCAATTCAGTATGAGTTATTGAAAACACTGTAATGGGCATGCTGGATATTTTCACCACACACCCTGTTACAGACGTTAAAGATGCAATTACAATTTTTTTAAAGAGCACTGCATTTGTAGGTCAATAAATTGATGCACTCTATTCAATATAAAACAGTGACTAAAATCTAATAAAGTACTTGTTACTTTGAATTTAATGATCTCAACTAAGGGATGTACAAGTGTTTCTGTATAAAGTAGTTATGACTCATAAAGATTTTATTTATAATAGTTATTGAATTTAACATTTGTTTTTTATGATTAGATTCAAGCTAAACAAGCTGAAAAAGCCAAAGAACTAATGACAAGAACTGTGAATCAATTAGATGAAGATAGAATGATGAGCAGACTACCTGATATTGCACGCAGAATACGTACTTATTTCGTGCAACTACAGCGAAACATTATGCCTTTTAAAAAAGTTATTAACCAACTGAAACAAAGTTACCCTGAAGCCATGGCTGAAGGTAAATAATACATTTTGTAAACTTGAGTTGATTATATTATACTTTAATTGTAACTATATTATTTGTATTCCAGAAAACTGGAAAGTTCATTTAAATCTGCTTCAAGAAAAAGTTCCTAAGTGGATAACATTAAAAGTATTAGATGGTATTGAGCATGTTAGAGTTGACAAAACAATCCCCTTTGAAGAATCTGTAATAAAAACATTAAATAATCATTTTGCAGACTAAAATTTACTCACAATTTGCTTAGTTAGTAAACCATTATACAACACTACTATAAAATGAATTACAATTATTCACAACCAAATGGCCACCTTTCTTAATATTATCATTTATTAACTTTTTGTATGTTAATAATTTTTTGCATTCCTCTTAGTAGATTATAACTGTAAAGTAGTGTCATACTTTTAAAATAATTAATGTGATGAAAATCGTTCTTGTTCCAAAATGTTATAAAATTGTAACCAATTTTTATGTAATACTTTTAAATTGATATTGGTGGTTTAGTGTATTTTTTTTTATTTTTAAATTTGTACATGTATTTGTAACAACATCTAGTTTTTAAATATGTAAATTTTAAGAGCGATTTTAATATGCATTTATGTTGCTTCACTACCGTCGAATTATTTTAAGTAAAATTTAGTGCAGATTTCAATCAACCGAAAATTGAAACATTGTTTTGCACTCAAATTTTATTCATACTTCAAATAAACAAAGACTGTCGACAATTAATTTTGTTTTTTTTTAATTAACATAGTTTTATTAGATTTTGCACAAATAATTAATTTAAGGTAAAAATTAGACTTATAAAATAATTGAAAATAATCACAATAAGACACAATTTTAAAAAAAGTAGACTAAATTATTATTCCTTTTAACTTAAAAATATTTTTACTCTTTAGAATGCACTAAAAAGTAATTAAAATCAAAAATTGACTTTTGATAATTGAAATAGGCTACTTCTTCCTTGGATGTTCTTGTTTTAGTAGTATATCTTTGAACCATTTTGAGTGCCTAAATAACAAGTACATATTTTTGTAAGTTAAAAAACAGACAGGGGTTCAATGTGTGGCTTACTTAAATAATTAACCTACTGTTCATTATCCTCAATATACTGAGTAATCTAATTACAATGAAACTAAAATCTAGTGTAATTAATTTTGCTATTCTTCAAATTCAATTTTTAATATTTTTTTAAGGAATGAGATATCGTAAAATTATTTACTGTTGAATAAAAACATATGAACAACAAGTAATTGGTTAACATGTATTTTTATCATGTAAAATGTTAATGTTAAGATTGTTGTAAAATTTGATGAGATAACGTAGATTCCTATATAATTACAAATCAAGTAGAATCTAGCACTTTAACAGACATGAAAGTACTCTATAAATAATAATATTTAAGTATTATGGTATTAGGTTACGTTTTAGTGAAGGTCAACAATAAAAATGTAGGTCACACATTGGAGGATTAATAGCAATTCATTTTTGCCTAATTAAACGATTTGCATTGTATACTGTATTCTTATTTTTACCACATATTTACTTACATCATATTAGCAACAAGTTTACAATCGTCAATACTTGGTTGTAGCTGTATTATGTTTTTCTCTACTTCAGATATTATTGACTCAAATTTCAATCGATGTTTATTTTCTTGTTCTTTGATATCTTCAAAATCATTTTGTACATCTAAAAATATACAGAAACTTTAAATAATAAAATACATTTCAAATTTGAGATCTTGGGCCTGATTACACCAATGATTTTAATCTGGTCTAAACACTAACCAGCTAATTTTTAGGCAACAATTGCTAACCTCGATTAAAACCCTTGGTGAAGAAATTGGATTGAATTGACAGTTAAAAAAATTCCCTTTAAACCGTTAATCAGTAGTTTTATATAAATTAAAACAATGAGATAAGGTGTGTTAATTTCCGACATACAAATTAAATTTATTTTTAATTGTTTTATTTTATATAAAAAAAAGAAGTATTTAAATTCTTTTGATGTTACTATACTCGATTAGTGGGTTCTGAAACAGTTTGTCGTCAAGTTATGAAACGGAAATCATGCTATTATTTCAGTACAATAGTTACTTTTAACTTTACTTTTTAATTTTATAGATGTTAGAAAAAGTTCGGTAAGCAATATTGTACAATGTATAATTTATTGTTTTTATAAACCAAAATATTAAATACAACTTCATTTTTATTCTCACAAATTTAAATAACAAATAAAAAATTATTTATAATTACACACTGGTAAACAGCTCTCGCACAAACTTACAGTTAAACATGCAGTTAGCTTAACTGACAGTTTTTCAACTGATAAACCGAACCAAAGATATGATAAAATGGTTTTATTGGTTATTATAAGTAGAGTATATTTATATATGAGTTTTCAGAAGATTAGAAATTTTAAGGATTTAAGAATTTAACATTTATTTTAAAAACTATAATGAGCCAACTGCATCATTCAGCTGCAGTGTGTCGTCTGGTATGACTAGTCTCCAAATAATTTAGATAATAAGTGACCATAAAGACATTTTAGTCTTTGCAGCCAACCAATACTATATGATCTACACCCACCGTAACCAGCTAAAACCTTAATGGTCGAAGTGTAGACAAAAAAAAAAAAAACTAACCAGCAAGATTATTTGATTGCTCAAGTTTCATAGTGAAATCTTTAACTACATTGATCATTTTGGACAACAGTATCATATCTTCAATAGTTTTTGAATTGATTGGACTTGACCTAAAATGATAAAAAATTTTTAATAATTTTATATCTACTTAATAATAATTTTGAAACTCACTTTGTAAAAACTTCAGGTTGCAATTTGTCTATATTAGCTATATCACACTTTGAAATATCTTTTAAATCTTCCAGTTTGTTATTTAGTTGACCTCTTTCGTGGATTCTTTCAGAAAAATCTTTAGCTACATTATCTAATGCTATTTGTGCTTCTTTTATTCCAAAATAACTTTTTTCAGAACTTAGTTCCCTTAACATTTCACAAACAATCTCTCTTTTATGTACCTAATAATTTATCAAAAATATACTTTTAATTTAAATACAAGAACTATTATTAAATATTAAAATTTAATAAATATTATTCAGTTAGTATTAATACAATAACATAAAAATATGTAAAGTAGTTTTAGCAAGGGAATAAACTTAATTAAAAGAAATTAGAAAATCGTAAGCCAAATAGTTATGAAATAAAAATAAAACCATTATTTAATGAAAAGTTATTTACATTTTATACAACGAGTCCCAAAAAAATATAATATACAGATATACTATCAGTAGAGAAAAAATAAGTTTTCTTAAAAACATATAATAAATTATTATAATGATTTGCATATTACAATAATAACTAATTTAAGATTTATTTATAAAAAACAAGCAAGCTGTTAAATTATTTTTTATTGAATTATTAATTAAATATTAAATCCAAACCGGTTTTAAAATAAATTAAGAGATTTTATAGTTCAGTTAAAACTAAAATTATGGTAGTAGTTATATCTCATTGGGTGTATTTGTCACACAATTATGCCATAAGTTTTTCTTAAACATTGGACATCAAAAAGTGCTCTAGGCTGTAAAAACTTTGTATTAACTATAAATCGCCTCTTACTCCTATAAGCCACCATTTCTTTGTATTCAACAGTAGTGGTATATTTATGTGGAAAGACTTTTTATTGATAAATAGATTCTCTAACCCATTAAACTAATTCTATCGCAGCAATTAATACCTAACCTAACTAAGCCTATTTTAATTGCACTCGCCTAATTTTACATGAAATTGTTACTTTATTATTGTTTAATAATTGTGGTAACACAGTCTAGCAATTTCTCTTATTGGTATTCGATGAATTAACCCTTAAATGATATTTCATATTTTCTTTTATTATCTGGTGTTATTACTGCATACTTATTGCCTTATTGGTCATAATATTAACTTACTTTACAGTCAACCTCACTCGTTTTATTGTTGTTAGTACAAAAAATCTTGGCCAGTAATTTCTAATAAACATTTTACCTAAAATACTCACAATTTCAGTTTCCATCTTCTCAATTTTATCTAAAATTATATTTAGACCTCCAAAAGTTTCATCGTCGAGTTTTATAACTGAATTTGAATCTACGGTTTTTGATTCCATCATACTGTTTACAACAAGAGATTTTATAGCTGAAGTAAGTTTTGACTTAAAAGCCAATAATTCATTGTCAGTGCATATTACATTTTTCAGCTGAAAATTAAACAAATATGATAACAGGAACAGAGAATTGTTGGACAAAAATAATTTTAAAATGTTATTAGTAAATAGATGACATGTTTTGAATAAAAGCTAACTTTATACTTAAAACAAAAGAGCTAATACTTTATATTGATTTGTGACCTCAGCTTCAACCAACACCATAGTTTCTTTTAGCTGTTTTAATTTAAGTTCTTTTTCCGATACTGCCATAGATAACTTTGATTTGAGTTCTAAATGTTTTTTCTGAAGATTCATAAATATATCATTGAACAATTTTTCATTTTTACTCCTAAAATAATTAAAAACTATTAATGGGAAATTTCAATATTTTCTAAATTGTTTTATTTTAAATTATAACCAAATCCCTAGAAAACATTACAATGAATTTGATACACAATTGTGAAGTAATGATTTTTAAACCGTTATAACAGTAGTTAAAAACGATAGATATTGGAATAAAATTGAATATGCTTAACTGATTATAGATAACTTAAGGCAATCTCTATAATTTAGTTAAACACATATAAACATACATTTATTGAGTAAATAGTAATATGATGAGATAAGTAGAAAATATAATTACGTTAAGTATATAATTTTTAAATTTTATATTTATTTATATTTTAATTTAAGCAGTTACCACAGTAACTAATAAAAACTTGATAACCAGTTGAAACAATTAAATTAGGGGGTACCTAATTGTTTGTAAATATATTGATTTTTGTTTTTTTAAGTATTTTACGAAGGAAAAAAACGTCAGGATGAAACCCTAGGATCGTTTAAGAACTTAAGTAATTCTTATATTAAAATTGGTAGTTATTAAAAATAGTTTTAATAAACCTTTTTTTCTAGATAAGATAAAAAAATGATCAATTATACTTGTCATGGTTTGCTATCTCATTATCTTCAGCAATTATTTCATTACTTTTATCAATACGTTTAATGAAATTGTTTTCAATTGTTTGAACCATAATTTCTGGAGATTTATCACTCATGGTTGAGTATAAAACATTATAAAGTTTCTTGCCGATGCCAATACTTTCGTGCATTACACCCATTTGTTTGGCTTCGTCCACTTTAATAAGGCACTTTATTAAAGAATCCTAAATACAAAAAAAGTTAAATATTATAAAATTAGAGTTATTTTGATAACATTACCTCATAATCACTTTTAATCAGACAATCATCGGGTTCTGTTGTGTATAACGTGCAAATATCAGACACTTCGTTTAACTCGTCATTAAGAGCTTCATAAAAGTTTACTTTTTGTTTAACCAAATACATTTTATTCTTATTTGATTCAATATTATGAATTAGCGTTTTCTTTAGCTCATTCCTTTCGTGTACTTCGGCTTTAAATTTACTATTCTTTAATTTGGTATCTTCAATTTCTTTTTGGATTTTAAGGTATCTAGTCATAAGCTCTTCATATTTCCAAGCATTGTTGAGATCATCAATTGTTTCAACTTTAGCCTACAAAAATACATTTTTATTGAATTATAATTAAGTAAATAATAATATAAACACAATATCATTTTAAAAATGTAGCTCTGTATCAAAGCTAATATAACTGTATAATGATATTCAAATAATTAATTTTTTATTAGAATATTATAATTTACCATCAAAGGTGTATGTCGTTTCTGGAGTTTGTGTAATAAAATTGACTTCTTTATTAAACACACTTCTTCTTGAGGTAAAACTCGTTCAGTTATATTGCGCCACATATCTCGACGTTGAGGAGGTATCATCCTATTTAATGTCAAATAAATTTAATTTAAATTAAAAATAAAAACCATTATTTGAATTTTGATTTTTATGTACATACTTTTTTAAAATATCGTCGTTTATCTTGCCTTCATAGTCCATGCCTAGTTTTTTTAACCATTTCTTAAAATTTAATAAATCTTTTTCCATTGTTCGAAGTTAAAATTCAAGAGTTGAGTACAATTATAAATATTATAGTAATTAAACTAGTGTGTCATGTGAACGTGATAGAAGTTTTAACTTGTAACGATAAAACGACAGAGTACATAGGAGATTAGAGAAATGAGTGGGGAAACTACATAGGTTTTATTGTTGTTGTGTGTTCACTGTTCATCTCAAATGACTCCCTACTTGTTTCGGTAAATTGGCGCGAAAATACTGACGATGTATTAGTTGTTAAACCATTATTGTTTGTGATGACTGTTAACAGTTAATTGATAACGAGACCGTATTCATATTAAAATTAAAATTGTTATTTATATGATATATTAATGTAGGCATACTAACGCCACTTAGTAATAATAATTACAAACCCTTAAACTAATCAACATTAACAATTTTATTATACATTATTATTATTTATTTATCATTATTTATTATTCACCTAACAAGGTTAAACATATTTACTAAAACGCCCATAATTTTTAAATATTATAAGATTATAAACGCCATAACAACAGTTGTCTAACAGTAAATGTTTAGTCAATCGAAAACGCCTCTCATTTAGAATAATAAAATTGTACGTCTCAAAATGATGCACGTAAGTCGGCGTATCTCGAGAAACTCTACCTTGCCATAAAGAAGAGCCCTGATTAATCAGAATAACAGAATATATGTTATTAGCAAATTCAAATGAAAAATTAAGACTAAGCGGTTCCCCCTTATACAGTTCTGAGGAATTAGAAGAGATATAGAGGTTAGGTAAGGATTAGCGATACAGAATCTTGCAGTATGCATATGTGAAAGAGATGAGAGCATGAGTTTAATTTACCTTGACAATGAACGCAGATTACCCTGTACATTTGTTATAATACCTTATTTACCCCAAAATACCCATAAGCATATTTGATGTAAAGATATTATTATATTTTAGAGTTTTATGTTATATATATTCATTGACCCATATTTTATAGGAAAAGGAAAAAAAATGTGTATCTTTAAACATTTTAAAATAATATTACTATGTGATACTTATAACATTACACGTAGTTAAATTATCTATCACTTTGTATTAGAAAAAAAATGTATTTAAAATGCTTATTACCATATATCAGCAGTTCCCGTCCTTTTATGAGCGTGACCCAAATATTTTTAATTGAACTATTTGCGACCCTAAAAAAATAATAATAATAACCGTAGTAATTGAAATAATAATATGTATTTATTAACTTGCTTGTTATAACAGACTTGTTACAATATTATAAAAATTAATTTACCATTAAAATTTAATATTTTATGACTACCCTGTTGCTAAAAATGTTCCGCAAGTTTTTCAATATTAGGATGAATATTAATTGAAAGTGCACACCGCATATCGTGTTGAGGATTAAGCCGATTTTTGTACTAAGTTGTAATGACAGCTAAAGCAGAATACCTAGCTTCATTTAAGTACATTGTTGGGAATACGTATTCTTTAATTCTATTTAGTATATATTTCTACATCGTTTATTTGCAAGGAATGCACATTAATAAAATGTAATAGAGGTGGTTATGTATATTTTTAGATTCAATCTATACTATTAGAAGTGCTTTGCAGTTTACTAAGTTTTGTTGTTCGAAACCCCTTACAGTACAATAAGTAATTACATTAAAATGAAATGCTCGTTTTCAAGTAAATTCTAATTAAAATATTTGAAAAAAAGTTACACAATGGAAATGGTATACTAATTAGAAAATTATTTACACACATTTTTTTTTCTGAATGTAAAAAAAACATAATACTTCCAACTCACAGGAAATCTATAAAAAAATTAAAACAAAATAAATACCTGTATGAGACCAGGTGGCCAAGTACACTTTTTAGTAATGAGAGGATAAAAACGAGGACAGTGCACCGAAGAAACTTCAATGTATTATTCTTAGACTAACTGTTTTTTGTTCTTTCAAAGAACTATCAAAATAAAATATTTAACTATAATAATATTCAGCTTTACATTTTGCGTCTCAAGTTTCTTAAATTATACTACAAAAAAGTTGTCACCATTAATGAATAAAAATATTGTACCATATCTCTCTTAAGTATTTGTGTAGTAGGATACAACTTGTTAAAAAAATATTATTAATATGAGAAGGAACTATTTTTATAATAATGAGCTTTCCTTAATTTTTTCATGTGGACTCACGATATTTTTAAACATTCTATTTAATTTTCAGACCTTAAGCCCCAAAACTACACAAGAGAAAGTGCATTAAAAATAAATGTTACACCTCTGCTGTGGGAAAAGGTTTTAGAAATTGGTTTGGGTTGTCAAAAGTATATTGATAATAATACTAAATGGTTTATGGTTATACCTAGAAAATATCTGGCCCTGGATCTCAAATTTTGTTAATCCATGTCTGATCATGAATGTTGTCATCAAAGATATAAAATAAAAATAGTAAATTCAAACGGATTGGAAATGTATAAACCATATAGGTACAAGCATTTTTTTTTTAATATTTTGCCTTAATTGACCCAGAATAATTATTAGCTTCATTGTTAACCTTCCCGACATAAATCCAAAATTATTTTTCAACGAGAAAAAAAATAATCAACAATTTTAAGATTTATATTTAATCCCTTTGCTCCCTTAAACTCGAAGTTTTCATTTATTGAAAATACACCAAGTTATTTTATTATCATATTAAATATTTTAGTTAATAACTATAGCACAATCGTCGTAGTGTTTAAAAAGTTATTCGAAAGAAAATGTAACTCAAATCTCAATTTTTTCGCTTCGATGCTATAGCTGAGAAGGTATTGTATTTACAATGATGTGTTTTTATTTTTTGTCTGTACCCACGATATCTTTTAAGCCTCTGAACCGTTTTCGTTGTGTAGCAGCTCTTAAGATCAGAAATCGTACTTGTAAGGTACTTTCATAGAGTATAGACTAAAAATTGTAAAAGTTTATCCCTTCCCCTTAAAATCGAGAAAAACACACAAAAAATGTGATGGGCAAATATCTGTTTCTCACTGCGACAGCCATGCGTAAAGCTATAATATATAAATATATTATATATTTTATAAGCTATAAAACATGCATTCTTTATGTATTGAATATTTCGTTTTCTTGGTAATTTTTAAAAGCTGGTAAAGTTACAATGTAGATATAAATCTTTACCTCTGTTAACTAATCCCGGATGAGCTTGATCTCCATTTTGCAGCAGCTACGATCTGCGCAGCCGCCACTTTATTGATCGACCGCCGCACCGGGACGTAGGCGTCCATTATATGTACTTACTTATATTATATTCAAGTTTCAACACTTGCATGTAGTATAGTGCGTTGTTGCGTTTTATTTTAACTGGTCCACTAGCGTCGTATAGTAGATACAAAATGTCAAAAGACATCCGTGATATTATAAATATAGGCCATGCTACCGGTTCGCATGTGTCTAAAAATGACATTCTGGGTACACAAACGAAGAAAAAGATGTTGTTGCCATCAGCTACCCGGCAGACGCGTCGTCCCGAAGGAATGTCCCGGGAATTGTATTCCTTGATGTATAATGGCCAAACACCACCCGTGACTGAAACCGAGATTGGTAAGTATATACGCTGAAATCATTTTTGTAACAACCTCAATCATTCGAATTCTCGGTCAACGGGTAAATGTATAGGCTTTCCACTATTAGTTATTACTATTGCCGAATAATGTTTAATGAATGACTATGTATTAGGTTCTAAGTATAAGACTGAAAAGGCGCGTTTGGGTATGCAGCGGGTTCAACCATGGGTGTGGGCTCCATTTGTGAACCCAGCACGGGAAGATGGCGTTTGTTTTTACCGTTGGCGAAAAGTAGCTGACGAGGGTGAAGTGTATCCATTTGCAAAATTCAACAAGGTAACCCTTTCAACTTAAATATTTACTATTCATATTACATATCAGTAGGTACTTTTAAAACTTATCTATATAAACATAAAATTCAAATAACCTCAGGTTGAAAGCTTATTATATTTTGTGAAGAAATTGTCTATTCAATCTCATTTACAAAATGGTATGTACCAGCGTCTAGCAAGGCGTGTAAGTTTTGAAGACTGGAAGAAGATTTAAAAAAATATTGTATTACATTTTTTATAAGAATTTTGTTATTAAAACTCATTGGTCTAAGTGTAGGTATAATTTTAATAAGCGTAAGTTTTTAAATAATAATGATGTTTTTTTTACAACTACACGTAAATAATTATGTACAACCGTTGTACAAAAGTCTTTACTACAACGGCACCTATATATATATATACTAATCGCATCCAATTTTAGCCAAAAATAGAGTCAAGTAATAATGTTACATTTTATTGCTTTATAATAATTGTACTAAATTTCTTATTATTAGTTGAAAAAGAATTTGCAAATATAATAAATTTTGTTCCATAGAAAATTGAAATTCTGAAGTACAGCAATAGTGAATATGAGATGTACTTACAATCAACTTCATGGAGTAGAGAAGAAACTGATCGTCTTTTTGACATGTGTGAACGCTTTGATTTAAGATTTATTGTTATTCAAGGAAGATGGAACTACGGGGAGTATGAAAATGCTGTCAAGCGTACTACTGAAGACTTAAAGGATAGATATTATTCTGTGTGTAACATATTAATAAAAGTGAGTTGTACAAATTAATAAAGTTAAAACAGTTATACTTGTCACTACAGTATGTTATTTCTAGGTAAGAGGTGGAAATGAAAATGATATAGTAATATATGATGCAGCACATGAAACACGTAGAAAGGAACAACTTAATAAACTTTATAGCAGAAATCCAGATAAAGTAAATACATAAATATAACTATATTAAAAAATAGTTAAATTGTTATTATACTTTAAATTAAACACTTATATTAGATTAAAGAAGAAAAAATATTATTACAAGAACTACAAAAAATTGAAACAAAAAAACATGAAAGCAAAACTCAAGATAAAAAAAGCTCTGCAATTGCGGTAGACAAAAAAAGAACTGATCGTAAAATCTTGAAAGCAGTAAAAAGGAGTACACACCAAAACAAACAATACACTTTGCCAGTAAAGGCAAGCAAAACAGATCCAGAAGTAATGGTGAACAATAAAAATGTATGTATATATAAAAGAAATTGCAATACGCTATTTTTACAAAAAAAAAAAATGTAACTTGGAGTTGTAAACAAATGTTTATACAATTAATTTTGTATTACTCTTTTCCACATGTCAACATTATTATATCAAAAACGGGTCTCATAAAAATTATTCTATGTTTTTATCGCATATAAAAAAAGACGAAACGAAAAATATTTGTAATTTTGTTTTGAAAACTTTTGGTTACTAATAGTTATGGCTAGGATATCATTTATTTTGTAGGCACGTACAATTTGTATTACAATTGTATAACATATTACGCAAGGCAATGTATCCATCGTAATTGCTTACATTTTTTTTAGAATTTCGAATTTGTTCCAATTAAATTTCCTGACGGTAAGAAGACTAGTGGTGTGTTCAAACAATCGCAAATGATGAAAATACCTTCAAATGCAAACCCAAAGAAAGCAAAAACTGTTGAAAAAGTTCTTCAATCTCTAAAAATAAGTATGTATATCTCTATTGCGAACTTAAAACCAGTCTGATTCTGTCTATTTTTAAATCTGTTTATTTATATTTGTTTATTCATAGAGCCAAACCCTATACCAACTGAGAAAATTCGTCAAAATTATAATGACCTACGAAATGAAATTGTTTATTTAAATGAACTAAAGGAAGCTTGCAGTTCTAGCACAGCTGAATTACTAAAACTAAAAAATCAATATAATAAACTAAAACCAGATAGTGTAGGTTTTTAAAAAAAATTAAATACTTTTATACAAAAATATTATAACTAATGTTTTTTATTTAGGTTTTGGATATTGCCCCGGAGTTGATGCTAAAATTAACTGCTTTGAGTTTTAAAGAAGATAAAGTTGACGTTGGCACTAACACTGAAAATACAAATTAACTGAACAATCATCTAAGTAAACTTGTTAGAGTAGTTAAATAATGTTAGAGTTAAGTGATGCACAATTGCCTTGGGCCACCTAATACTAATACTTTCCCAACTCTAAAAAAAATAAAGTTAAATAAAACTTTTTTTTAACAAACAATCTTATACATAAATGAGTGTATTATAAAAAACTCAAAACATTGGTTCAGCATATCAACTAATTGTTTTTTTTATTATTAGGCTACTTATTTATATTTAATGACTTTATTACAAATAACAAATGTAAAAATATGATTTAAGTTACATTAAATCATATGATTTCAACAATAAGTTAAGACAATTTTAAAGTTTTTTTTATAATTAATGCAATTGTTTTTAATACTTTAAATAATGACTTGTAGAATGATAATTTATAGAAATAGTATAATAAGCATTTTTCTATACTTTTTAATGTAGACAAATAAGTGTAATGATAAGTTAATTTAAGTTATTTGACATAATTTTATAACTGAATAAATAATTTAAATACTCGAAAAAAAAAGACTGCACATAATTTAGTAGTTTACCTATAAAAATCGAGTCTAAAACATATTACTCTATACTCATGTAGAAGAATTAGCTAAAATGAACAATGGTTAAAAATGTGGAAGACAAAATAAGAAGTTACTGGATTATAGCTAAAACTAACTCATTTTTAAAAATAATGTATAACAGCTGTTTCTTCTGCATTATTAAATTTATATACAGACTGTTCGACACTAAGCATATTATTGTATGACAAATAATTGTACTATAATTTGTTTACTTCAATTAATATTTGTTCAATTACTTGATTTTAATGAATAGCTTTCAACGTTTTCAAAAATAATCATGTAGGTAAAATTATGTCTTTAAAGCTGTTCCTTATTGAACGGTCATGAAATAACATGTCATAAGTAGATTGTTGTAAAATGCTTTTACAACAATAATAAAACATGAACATTAACAAAAAAATAGAAAATTTCATATAGTGTAAATTGACTTGATCGTTTAGGACATTAAAATTATTTATCAAAGAATTATTATCATTTAAAAAAAAAAAACTAAAATAGATCTATTTATTTAGTTTTGTTCGATTTTATGACTTTCTTGAACCTTTCGGTAAATACTTGGACATTTGAGATCTGCAAACATATGTGGCACATTTTTCCAGTTCTTGATCATTTTTGCTATAATATTGGTTAAAATTAATACGATTGGCTAATGATTGTAAAGCTTCTTGATCGTCAGTAGATATTTGAATAAGATTTTTTAAAAATATTCCCAAATCAGTCTAAAAACAAGTGATAAAATATAATACATTTCAAGTAAGCTTCAAAAATATTTTATCTTTACCTTGTAAGAATTATTGATTTCTTTTATGACACCTTCATACTTAGAAACTTTATACTTGAATACCTCCTTTTCCTCAGCATCATCATTTTCTATATCGTTACACGTACCGTGCACCTCGATATACTTATCAAGATCTTTTCGCCTTTGCATTTCCTGTTCAGATTGACTGTGAAATGTCTCTTGGATGCCCCGAAGTTCTAGGACAGACTCAAATAGTTGACGCATCTTCTTTGACAAATCCTTTAAACAATTTAACAGTAGAATTGATATTATTGTATCTGTAGTTACAGGTCAAATAGTGATGTTTAAAATTTAGAATTTCATATAATATAAACAAAATATTTAAAATAGTTAGTACCCTAGTACCTCTAGGATCATATTCAATACTTGATATTATGGCAGCAAAACAACATTATGGCACTCAACATTTATTTTCTAACTTAAGGTTTCATTTCTGTTTACCTATCAATACATAATTGTAATTATTAATTTTAGTGAATACAACTAACGTGTGATTCTTCAGTCTGCATTGATCGTTTAAAAATATTTTTTAGATATTTGTCGTGAGCATTTATTACATTCTCCAAAAGAGTTGCTTTATTAAATGCTTGACGAAAATGTTCCCATTCTGTTTCAATGACATCAGAAAGCACATAAAATTGTATCTGTCTTATGCTGTGTACCATTTCAGCTACCAAATTATTAGTTGACTTCAAAGCACATCTTATTTCTAAAAAAAAAAAAAAGTATTATATTATATTTTACACAAAACAACTTGTCAATTTTACCAGGAACTATGTAATACGAATTTTTCATTTGTAGTTTTAACTCTCTCCACATTTGAGACAACACAAAATCAATCCTCTTCAAACGCCATAAAAACACAAACATTAGTGAATATCTTCCACTTCGGCTAAATTCAAAAATCTAAAAATACAACAATTATTAGAGTTTTAAAGCATTACTTACATTGTGAAAGTCTAAATATAAAATAAATCAATAAAGATTTCCTTAGTTACATACAGTTTCCAAAGGACCATCGGTAACGTAATTTAATTGAAATATATCCCACCCACAATCTTCACCAGACGTGAGCAATAGTTTTACATCAAGAGATTTCAATATAGTTGGTTCATCATACTGAGCATTACTCATTCTAACTGCAGTGTCCAAAAAATTTTGAAACATATGTGGCCCCAATGTACCTGAAGGTTTGTCTAAATGCGGTCTGTAGTTTGTAAAATATTGTATTTATATTATTAATTATATGTGATAAGTAACAAAAACTGATATATTATGAACAGCTTACTGTAGAATTTCTAATAACCCAGTGACAAAATCTCCTTGACCAAGAAGCATATACCGTCGAAGACCCTCAAAGTGTAAAAACAACTTGAACTTTTCTTTTAAAATGTCTAACACCATAGCTGATGATTCTGTACACGCTTTGCTTACCATATCAGATATAATGCTACCTTGTTCCAGCATTGGAAATAAATCGTTATCTAAACATTATTGAATTACTTAAATTTAATTTTCCTGACAGCTGAAATGTTATAAATCCAAACCTCCTAAATTCCTAAGTTCTTTTAATGCTTCCCTTGACGGTGTAAGACTAGGCTTGCTGCCGCATATTGTATGAAGAAAATTTATATACCGTCCAGTTCGAAATATACTGTTGACATCATCTTTAGTAAAAAATGCAGGAACCATCGATTCTCTAAAAAATTAGTTTATTTTAAAATACAGCTACGTAACAGAATATGTATAGAAAATAGCTCTTAAGTAAATAATATACTACACTAAAAATTGTTGTGTTCTTATAAATCTGCATTAGAGATCATACGTGATAAGGGGAGACAACATTTGTTTTGCTGTGCCCTAAAGATCTAATCTAGTACCTTAAAAGCACCGATTTAGATAGCTCATATTACTGTGTCACGCTTGATAGTTGATAGTGACTATTTGATTGCAAAAAATTGATGACTTAAAAAAAACTATTGAGTGACATGAAACAAGTTGTAAATAATTTTGGAAAGCATTTATATATTTTACTTATTATAACCTATTTTAAGGACAATGAGAATATTGTGACACCACTTGTTGGGTATTTTGAAAAGACGTGAAAAGGACTGTAGCAAAAATGTTATCCAGAAAACTAAGATAAGGCTCATTTAGCCCAATGATACATGTTATAACTTGTAAATTTGAGTAACACTTATAGAAAAAAAGGCCATCAGCCAATAAAATGTATTAAAAGATATTTTACACTTTTAATGTGATAATACTTATTTTTACAAACAATTAATACCTGCAATCAATTATGATTTCCTATCATTTTATTTGCAATCAATTTACACACGATCAAATGTCCACTAACAATTTTCGTATAGCAGTGTAATATACAGGGTGGGCCAGAGAAACGGGAAAAATTGAAATAACTCTTACAAACGTTTAAAAAAAATATTTTCAATATTTATTGTGGAAAACGTAGAGTACATAATATGCTATTCAAGGTTCAAAACACTTAAAAACCTTCCTGGTCTTGACAACCCGTATTTTTAGCAAGATGGAGTCACAGCTCATACTGCCAGACCATCAATGGCAGCCGTTCGACAGGTCTTTGGTAATCAAATCATCTCACGGTTCAGCGACATTCATTGGCCCGGTCACCTGATTTTTCAGCGTGTAATTTTTTCTTGTGAGGCCATCTTAAAAGCAAAGTGAACAACACTCGCCCAATAACACTTCTCCAGTTGAAGACAAGAATCCAAGAAGAAATTGCTTTGATTGCCATGGAGATGTTACAGAGAGTCCTGCAAAACCCCCACACACCATTCAAGGAATGCATACAGAGGAACAGACACCATCTTACTGACATTATTTTTGGAACTTAAGATTTTAGTGTTTTGAACCTTGAATGGCACATTATGTACTATACGTTTTCCACAATATATATTTAAAATAATTTTTTTAAACATTTGAGTTAGTTCAAATTTTCCAGTTTCTCTGGCCCACCCTGTATATGAAACAGAGTACAATAAATTTACCTAATTTTATATCTATTATTCCACATATCAACATTTTTTATTCCTGAACATTCTGATATAAAAAATTCATCATACGGATCCAGCAGTTCTCCATCTACCATCCAATGGCACATCATCATCAACAATGGCTTTGTTGCCTTGAAACATTAAAAATTACATTTTAAATTCTTATTGATATTAATAAACTTTATAATGCATTGATTTGACCTACAATCCTAATCATATTATTAGCCATTTGTTGTAGAAAAGGATTTGCACAATAAGCAAATGGTGCAATGACAGACACCAATTCACCTCCACGTTTAGCATCTTCAATCACTTTTACTGTGTAAGCTAAATCTTGTAACTGTCCTAACCACATTACAGACCAGCACAAAATGTTGCCAAGTAAATATGGTTTGGACTTTGCACACGCTTCTTCCATCTGGAAAATATAACATTTTAATATTAAAAAAAAAAAATAGTACATACATCTTATATGTACTATAAAAAAACAATATTATATTCTATAAAGTTAGATTTTGTTGATTCCTATTATAATACGATAATTCCAAAACTAATTTCTAGAGAAAACTGTAAGAAATTAACATTATCATGCATTCTTTTTATCGACTACTGGCTACAAAACCAACTATCAATAAAAAGATTATATTGCACAACATATTGCGGTACCATCGATTTTGAAAATATACAGATAGTGGTGCTATACACAAAAATGGTAACATTTTTATGCGGAATTCCCGCTAGCAAGAGCACCCCTCTATCATAAACCATAGGCACATTTAGAGGGGGTCTTAGTGAGTATAGCATCTTCAATTGTAAAAAAACTAAATGCTTATTGCAGAGTTGATAAAAGTTTTTATTATTCAGTATTATTTATCAATTTCAGGTGCCTATCATACTTCTCATTAGTTCTGCATCTTGTGAACGTTTTTTCTTTGCTTTAAGGAAAATAAAGATTTGGCTTAAGGGGTTTCAATGAGACAGGACAGCCTTACAGATTTTCCAATATTTTACATAGACACAGGTATGACAAATTTAATTAACATGAACAAAGTGATTGACATATTTACAGAACAAGCAATGCGTAGAATTTATAAAATTAAAATCCTAATAAACTTAAGTGTTAAATGTTAAATTGATATACAACATCCTTGCTAAAAAAAAACTATTAAACTTATTAATTCAAATTCAAATTTAAATACCTGTAAAATGCAGAGCATGAGCACCCTCAAATTTTTTATTGAAATTGTGCCTGTGCTATAAACTATGATAAGGGTACCTCTGCTGCCAGTGAAAATTTAATTCCATTTTTTTATATAGCATCACTTATATGTATATTAAAAATCATTGGCGTAACTTTATGACCCAATATAGATATTTATAATAGTATCAGAGAGAAAAAATTAAATACTAAAATAAAATGCTTTCAGAATACCTCTTTTTGTAGTTCATTTATACTACCATAGTATATACAGAGTTCTGTATGTAAGCAATGAGCTACTCCTGCAGCAACAGACCCATTTTTATTACTACTATTTCTGTCAATATATTCTTGGACAACTTTGTGTAAATACCCCAACTCCATGAGACGATTACATTTTTGAGTTTGATAAAAGTCTAACTGTAATTGTAAATATTTGATAATCAATTGTGTCAAAGTAAACGTTTAAAAATTATTACCTTTGCTTTTACTTCAAATTGCTTTTTAGAATTGTTAAATACAACCCATTTACTGTCAACACCTTGGAAACAATATAAAAGGCTCCGTATCAATTCTTCATCAGATATTTTTTCAGAATCTATAAGAGCCAAATAAATAGAAAACTTTAATTGACTAACTAAAAACATTAATAATTTTTTTAACACACATAACCAAATGATTTTTTTAAACTAAAAAACAAAAAAGGCAGAAATTATGTCTTTTACATATAATTGTAGCATCTTCTTTAACTTATAACTGTCTTTTCGAGTTAAAGGGTTTAGACCTTAATAAAGTATTATCTCATGAAACATTAGTGAGTGTGTTATAAATGTATGTTCTTAATGTTTATAAGTTGTAACATTTTTAAAAAAAATGAGAAATATTGATTCCCATTTCTTTATTTTAGGGGATATTGAAAAAACAATTTTCAAAAATATTATTTTTTATGTTGTATGACTAATAATTAATTATATAATAATTTAGTTAAAATATTAAATATTATTTGTAATATCATATCTACGTAATAATTTAGTCTGAATATTAATACATAAATAACAGTTAAAAAAAACTAATAAAGCAGTATCAATACATAGTATACTATAAATAATTAAATGAATATTATAACTACGATTTTAGATTTAACGGAAATAATGAAGTTAATAAAAAAAGGCATCAAATCACAACCTACTAGCATTGCCCATTTATAGTATATATTTTATTTTATGGCAGTATTTAAAAAAAGAAGATATTGCTATTAGATTAATATTTCAAAGTTGCACTACATTCTATCCAACCGCTCACATAATTAATATAATAAAATTAATACAGTAAATCTAAAAAAAAAATTAAAAATCGAAATTAATACAAAATATATAATAATATAACTATTGCAAAGGCTGTAAACACGATATTTTTATTTTATAAAATTTGTATTTATTTTTTATTCCTAAATAAAACAATGTTAATGTATTCATTTGATACACATATCTCACCTTTAGCAGTAGAATTATGAAGTTTCATTTTCAAATTATTATTCAGCTATATTATTACTTAGCTAACCGTTTGCGTTCAGTAGGAATGATTTTATGAGAACGTTACGAAAAACATAATAGGTATTTCACTCAAACCCTACGTCCCAACAATAAAAACAAAACATGATATTTTAGCGCGATTTTACTAGATGTTGATAAATGATAATAGATTTACAGATAACAAGTATTATCATTTAATATTTATCGTAGTGCTAAAATCATAGACGATAGCTTGTAGACCTGTAAACTAAAGTTAACACTTAACAGTTTAATAAGTCTGGTTAAAACCAAAAAACAAATAATAGCTGTTATTTATTATATTAAAAAAATACCAAAATATAGGAGCATATTTACTGACGTCAGAGGGAAGAATGTACCTAATTTGTTTAACACAGTAGTTTAAAACAGAAATAAAATATTATAATAATTACAGAATATCAATATCCATCCATAAGGACCAAGAGTTTGATGACTAATCCATACTACAAAAATATTAAAAATATTTACATATTATAAGTAAATTTGCTATATTGAAGCAATAAACTGTAGTAAAATGTTAAAATATTTACATAATACTTACATAGTAGATAGTGCCAAATTAATAACTGTTTTATAAATATTTCATAGAACTAGCCACATTTAGCTGTATTATTAAAAGTAACTAGTACCTATTTCATCTCGGTGAAATATTTTGGACATATATGTATATAATATACATATATATTTGGAAAAACTTAATCACTTAAAGAATTGAATACAATTATTGGTCTTAAATATTGAAATAAGTCAGATTTGTAAGACTGAAATAATTAGCATCTACGAATGTACGAGGTACCGACCACAAACATAAATATTCTAATCTAGAGTATTATTCATTCATATTATGACTTGAGGCCTTCCAAAAAATGAATAATACAAAAAAATTGATTATATTGCACAAAAAAAAATTATAAATTCTTATAAGTACTATTCGAAGGATTGATGAGCCGAGGTTTACATTATTTCAGTAGGTAATATTTACAGCTAATATAACAACATTTGAAAATTGTGGCAAAGAAAAATTGTACTATGTAGTGTAGGATACATAATTGACGTATAATTACTCTACCTTTAACTTATTATTTTATTAACAAAAATTACTGTAGTTTTAATGTTTCTGTTGATTACTATGTAACTATTAATAGCTCTTTTTAAGGCAGCTAACTTTTAAAAATGTACGTTAGCTGACCAAAAAAAGAACGATTATTTTGTTACTCTTAACAAAGTACAAAGAATGAAGTAAACAAAATCGACTCATTAAAATAGATCTGTCCGGTCACAATTTCAACGAAGAACTAAGCTAATACCCAATTCTATAAATTAAATGTCTGTAACCAAAAACGAAAGGAAATACATCCTTCCTGCTGATAAAACGCCTACGACCATCTTTTATTGATAGCTCAAACCATATTAATACGTCAATCATCATAGTATGTACTCGTATTTGGTTATGCATCATATAATTTTCCTGGTTTCAAAAGGTTTTATCTCTAACTTATCATTTAATTTTTCATAGCATGTTTAAAACAAATATCTAATATAATGAATTACACAGTTTTTAAAATAATATAATAATCATCAGTATCACAAAGGCTACAGTTCTGTAATAATATTAGTAGTAAAAGTTGTATTTATTACAATTTATAATTTTAAACAGGATAAAAAAATAGTATGCATTCTCCCAATTAACCAACACTACTTAAGACAAAGCTACAATTTGATTTCTTGTAATTGCAAATGCATAGTTTATTTTATATTTATTCGATACAATTATGTGAATTTGCATGATTTAGGTCCATATATTAGATACGCACAGAACTGTAATAATATTTGTAGGTATTTTATAGTTTATATTATAAACTTTATAATATATTTATAAATGGCTATAGTGACATTTAATGTGATTTGATAGAGAGATTGTGTGGCCAGACATCGTGTCAATTAATATATATATATATATATATATAATTTAATATGTGAAGGGCTGCGGAGAAAAAAGATCAATGTCAATTATTTTTGATAATGAGATATTGGTATCAAATTGTTTGTATTGATGTATTGTATCTTTTAAGCGCTCGAACCGGAGAAAAAACAATTTAGTCGAGAGTAACGACCGCCGGAAGTTTAGGCATACAGGCAAAATGTATTACGTTTTTAAATTAAAAACATGATTTTTTTCAGAATGTTAAAAAATTGACATTGATCTTTCCCCCCACAGCCCTTCATATATTTACAACAATAATATGTAGCTAGGATTTTATTAAGGAGTGGGTTAACCTTTAATTTTCTAGAATTAAAAATAAGACATACTGTACTCTATTCAATCACTTTTATTTCTTGAAATTTCGGTGAGAACTGCAGACCTCTCAGCTCCTTCACTAAATACGCCACTATATGTCACACTATATGCCACTTTATATCTTAGTTCTTAGTATCAAACTCATATTATATTCTTTTGAAATATTTTAAATTTACAAATATGATGTATATGTAAATTTTTTTTTGTAGCCTCTATTATAAATATTACAACTCAACGATTACACAGATTAACAATAATATATACAAACTAAAATATGATGTAGTATAACAGGTTTGGGTCTATGTGATCTATGGAATTATTTGATGTCGTGCTTTAATGGTTTGCAATTTGCATATAATCAATGAGTAGGTATTAATTTTGTACTATATTAGTATTTAGTAGGTAGGTTCAATATTCTCAGTATTATTGAGTCAGAAGGGGAAGTCGGTAATAGTGGCATTTTTAAAGAATATGATATTGGCCAAATAATGGTGGATTTCACGACTTCATATACCCTTTTCGACATTCTAACTTCTCTTACATTCTATCCGTAATAATAATAACAATATTGTAGGTATTTACGATTTACAATATTTATACCATAGACTTGATAATAATTACGACTTATACAAACATTTAACAAATCTATTTAAAATTGTACACACACATGTATAATATATATATATACTATTACGTAATATAATTATACTACTATTGTTTTTATGGATATTGTGATTTATATTGCCTATAGTTTTTTCGTTAATCCGTTCAGGCGTTCACATCACAGAGATGAGTACCATTATTTTTCAGTCTGTGAACTTTTTCTTCCAAGAAAAATGCGCCAGTAATTCGTTTTTTATATTATGGATGCTATCTGCGATTGTCTTCCATACCATGTTTGCATAATGACAGTTTTCTCTTATCAACAAATATTGTTTTGCTAGCGATATCGATATATCGTGTATACTTAAATGTTTACGGAAACGGACACGGACGTTTGAAGAATTTTAAGTAATATTAATATTAATACAAGTTTTTCAAACAAATTACAAGTTATGGACAACAGGTAAATAATATACAGTTAAATGTATTAATTAAATAAATATTAAATAATGCATGCAACACTCGTTCTAAAGCGCAACATTAATACCTTAATACATTCATATTTGTATACATAATAATGTAAGAATAGAAAATATTGTTAATGCATTAGTACGCACAGAATTGCTATAACATTTTATACTTCATAGTTATTATAGTGACATTTAAAGTGGTTTGATAGAGTGTGGCCGGACACTGTGCCACGGATAACCACCATTTGCTTACTAAACTATTTTTTAAAAACAATAAATTTAACTATAATCCAATACCTCGACCAAGTTACATAAAATTATGCTCCTAAAGAATCAACGCATTTGAGTTATTTACTATTTGATATTTTATTTATTTCACTGAATTGTCCTATTATATTTTTAAACCATACTTGAGACATTGATATTTTATTAAAATATAGCTAATATTTGCCCTTAGTTATCAGTTTTTAATATCACTATGAAATGTACAACAACCTAATTTATATTTATATAAATTAGGTTGTAAGTTATATTTGTAAAATATTTTTTTCCATTAAACTTGTAGTGCTCTTAATCAATATATCTGTTATGATATATACTGCTAAAGTCTTAATTGTTAGCCTACTTGCATAAAATAAGAATGTATTTAACTACTTCAGTCAATTGACTGTTAACAACTTAAATTTGGATGTATATCTATTATTTGCAGATATTTTTTGTCTATAAATAAAACTAATATTGTTTGTATGAGATGAATCTGCTATACATTTAGCTAATCATTTGTAATAGTTATTTCAATCAATTCATTTTCAATCAATAAATTGTTTTGTTATGTTTTATGTTCAAGTATTTATTTTTTATTTTAGTTATTTTAAACAATTTTTCAACATAAATAGTTATAAAGACAACTATAATAGTTAACCCTCCATTATATTTATATGATACAATTTTTATCTAAAATTATATTTTATAATTATAATTAATAATTATTATGATAATAAGACTTGTTATTAACTAAATAATTTGCTTAGTATTCATAGTGTTTCATTATAATTAATATTTGTTTCTCTAAAAATTGAAATATTTGATTGCCTAATTGATGTGTTTTTTTAGGGATGAAGATGTTAAAATTGGAAACCCATACTATTGTGGTGGTGATATAAAAGGTAGTGATGATGAAGACAAAGATAAGAGGACAAGCAGACATCATAAAAAGCATAGAAGTAAAAAGAGACATAGAAGCAGCGATGATGAAAGAAGTAACAGTGATTACAAAATTGGAAAACGGTATTATTCTAGGCAAACTCCAGATGTCCAAAGAAAAAATAGTGAAAGTTATTGGAATAAATATTCTAAAAAAGAAAATGAAAAAGATAGAGTTAAAGTAAGTTTCAAATGTTGTTTTTAAAAAAATATACATATGCTATCGTCATAAGTTTTACAGTAAGTACGTTTAAAATAATAAAATATTATTTTAAAGAAAGAAAATAAAGAAGAAATTCCTCGTAGCCAAAAGAAGACTGTCGACCTCTTGACATCAAAAACTGGAGGGGCTTATATACCTCCAGCAAAATTAAGATTGATGCAAGAAAGTATTACAGATAAGTCAAGGTAATTTTTTTAAATACTTAAAAATTAACGATATTGTATTTTTAGTTAAATGTTTTAAAATATAATGATTGATTTATAGGGTTATTCATATTTAATTGATGATATTGCATTTAAAGTACAATTATTTATTAAAAAGTAGATACTCAATAATGAAATTATGACATTTTTATACAATAATTATTTACATGAATTTAAAAAAAAAAAAAGTTGAATTCATTAGTCTAAAGAACTAATAAGTAATAATATTTTTACCTACACTAATTCAATTTTTTAAACTTTAGTGCAGCGTATCAGAGAATTGCATGGGAAGCATTAAAAAAATCAATACACGGTTTGACCAACAAAATAAATGTGGATAATATTGGTAAAGTTACCAGAGATTTACTACGGGAAAATATTGTTCGTGGTCGTGGTTTATTGTGCCGATCAATAATGCAAGCACAGTTGGCTTCGACTACTTACACTCATGTATATGCTGCTTTAGTAGCCATTATCAATACCAAGGTATTTACTCATCAACTATAATTTTTTTTTAAATAATGTTGATTTTATTTGTACATTTTTTTAGTTTCCTAACATTGGAGAATTACTTTTGACAAGATGCATTATACAGTTCAAAAGATCGTTTCGCAGAAATGAAAAATCACAATGTATAGCATCAGTGACGTTCATAGCGCATTTAATTAACCAGAGTGTAGTATGTTTTAGAACCACGCATTTTTACTAAACGATAATAAAAAACATTTTTCTCGTAAATAATTTCTTACACTTTTTTTAGGCTCATGAAATTTTAGCTTTAGAATTGCTGACTTTATTTGTTGAGTCTCCAACAGAAGACTCTATTGAAGTTGCTGTAGCGTTTTTAAAAGAGTGTGGCCAAAAAATGAGTCAAGTTAGCAAAAAGGGAATGAATGCCATTTTTGATATGTTGCGTAATATTTTGCATGATGGAAAGCTGGACAAGAGGGTAAAACTTATTTTGTAAACAAGAAAATAAAAAAAGCCTTTTCTAAATTATACAAGTATTAACCCTATCTGTGCAATATTGTTTTTAATGCAGGTTCAATACATGATTGAAGTAATGTTCCAAATACGAAAGGATGGATTTAAAGATCACCAAGCTGTAATAGAACAACTTGATTTAGTACCTGAAGAAGACCAATACACTCATTTAATAACTTTGGATGCAGCTAAAGATCCACAAGACATTCTTAGTAATAATTAAATCAATTTATAATTTATTTTTTATATTATACACTTCTATAGTTTTTTAATGCAATGTTAATCAATAAACAAATATTTGTTTTTAAATAGATGTTTACAAGTTTGATCCAGATTTTGAAGCTAACGAAGAACGATATAAGGCATTAAGAACAGAAATATTAGGATCAGAAAGTGAAAATGAAAGTGGCTCAGAAGACGATGATGATGGTGATGATGAAGATGATGAAGATGAAGATAATGATGAAGAAAAAGGTAGGAAATGAAGTTTAACTTAGGAAAAAATATTTATTAATGTATTTTGATAGGTGGTAATTAGATAATCTAAATATTTTCTATTGCATTTAACATTGACAGTTCTTTTCATTATTATCATGTAGATGATGAAAATAAAGTAATAATTGACAGCACTGAAACTAATATGATTGCTTTGAGAAAAACTATATATTTGACAATACATTCATCACTTGACTATGAAGAATGTGCTCACAAGCTAATGAAGATGCAATTGAAGCCTGGACAGGAGATAGAAATGTGTCATATGTTTTTGGATTGTTGCGGTGAACAAAGAACATATGAAAAATTCTTTGGACTTCTGGCACAAGTATATAATATGTTTTATTAGAGTATAGTTGTATAATTATATTTAATTTACAAGAAAATGCCTCGACTAAAAAGGTCGTTTGCCGAAATTGGTGATTACAAGTTAATTTTTAGATATAAAACTGTGGGATGTGTTCGGCTAGATTGATTGACATGTCGGAATCCGTTTGTTCTTCCTAAAATTTTCGACACTCTAATATAAGGTGTTTGACATTGATTACAGTTCCACATGCTATGTAGGGCTTAGGCTCTACTTTGTTCATGGGATATTTACCAATTATGTCCTATTCTTAAACGTGTTAGAATTTTATGATGTTCTCTTGTTAAATTAATTGGGTTTATCCATTTTTCTGTGGACTGTTTAATTTCTCTCAACTTAATCTCTCTAAATGAAAACGGATTAATTGTGCTATAGATTTGTTATTATATTTTTTAATTTCTTTTTTTTAAGTGATATTTACAAAGAATGTGTACAGTTTTAACATAATTGTTACTGGCTGCTTGTTTGATTGCCAGATCTGTTAGTTGAGAAATTAAGGATTGTATAACTTACTCAACTTTATGTTTTCACAATGAACCACTACATTTTCATTGTCCTGAATTAGTTACTTAGAAAGTTCTTTTGATAATACACACTCGTTTTTTAGATATTTTGGATACAAATATTATGTTGGCTGTTTTAGTTATTTTACCTATTTTTAAAATATATTTTTTAAATTGTATTTCATTGTTTTCTATGTAAAAAAATACAGTTGTTTTGGTATTGAAAATTTTTGTTTTGATGATTTTGTTTTCATTATTTTTTGGCTTCTATCAATTATTGTTTTCTGTAGAATTTCTTTGAGGAGATGCAGTAATTGTTTGTTTGGTTGTTTTAGATTTGGTTAAATTTTGATTAAGTATCTTGAGATTGAAATAGTTTAGACGTTTTAATGCCAAGGCAATTTAGTTTGTTTATACATTTTATGTTGGGATAGTACATTATTAGTTATAATATATTACCTTCATTGGCCTTGTACATGCTATTTAGAAGCTATAATTTATTGTGTAACATCAATGGTAACAGTGAGCACACTTGCTACTTATACGATAGAGGACATTACTGTATATATTTATTATGTAACTGTTTCCAGTTTATAGCAAACTAGTCATGTGACGAACCATGATTTTTGAGTTTGATTTGAACCTGAATAATTTTGGGGTACATAGCACTTTAATCGGGAATAACTACATAAAAAAAAAAACAAACTATTTTGTACAACGCATTGCAACTACTAAAATGTTATATTATTTAAAAAAGTGAAATTAGAAAGGGAAAAGGATATTACCGGCAAATTATAATAAATATTGGTTTTGGATTATTTTACTAAGATAGTGAATTACACAATGAAGTTAAAAGTTTTTTTAAGTGTTAGAATTTAGTTTGGTTTGAAATTAAACAAATAAATAACTGATTTTACCACGGTTGTCTTAAGTTTGCCATACTTTTTTTTGTCATATGTATCGACTTCTGTGTCTCTTATTTCATAAATGACATCTGTAAAAGATCTTTTTTATTGTCAGTTAACTAGTGATTTTAAAATACAATTTATTGTTACTTAACAATAGAAATAAAGTATTTTATTAATGATACCACTTATTACAAATAATTGGGTATAGCCGCCCTATATCTTAAAACTTGACAGTTGTTTAAACAACAGTTGTTTTAATATAAATCCTAATTATTTATGTTTATCTTTGGAACATTCTACACTTTTTGTTCTTTCGGTTATCATACATCTATTAATCTGCGACCATTTATATGTTTTAAAGTTTCTTAATACTTAAAAAGACAAAACTGATAAAAGATGATTTACATTTAATGTAAATAAAATTGTGTAGAGCTTTTAGTGCTCTGAATTATTTTTTATTTTATTTAATGAAAAAAAAGAGGCCCAAAAAGAGTGTTACTACAATTATTTCTAGACAAATATTTTTTTTTTCAGAGATTTTGTCAGATCAACAATATCTTTATTGCACCATTAGAGAAAATATTTGTTGACAGCTATGCGACTGTACATCGTCTAGAAACAAACAAATTGCGTAATGTGGCCAGATTTTTTGCGCACTTGTTATTTACTGATTCTATATCATGGTCAGTATTGTCAACAATACATCTAAATGAAGACGAAACAACTTCATCGAGTAGAATTTACATCAAAATATTATTCCAAGAATTAGCAGAGCACATGGGACTAGCTAAATTAAATGCACGTGTACAAAATCCGTAAGCAAATACTTAATATTAGAATTGAAATAATATTGATATTGACAAAATTTTGCAAATTTATTTATAACATGATTTTTTTCCAGAGAACTGCGAGAAGCATTCGAAGGAATTTTTCCAAAGGATAACCCTAAGCATACTAGATTTTCAATAAATTTTTTCACATCAATTGGTCTTGGTGGTCTTACGTGAGTATTGTAGTTGAATATACAATTAGTGTATTAACATACATGTTGTATTAAACAATTGTAATTAAATAAATATAATTATAATGGTCATTATAATTTTGTTTTTATAGCGATGACCTAAGAGAATTTTTGAAAAATAAGCCGAAACAGTTACCTGCAGTTGCTAAAGTAATTGATGAACTATCTGAATCAAGTGATAGTTCAAGTAGTAGCAGTAGCAGTAGCAGCAGCAGCAGCAGTAGTAGCAGTAGCGGCACCAGTAGCAGCAGTAGCTCCAGCAGCTCTAATACAGAAAAAAGTAACAATAGAAGTATTAAGTTAAAAAAAATTGCTAAATAGGTAATATTTTCCATTTGTGATTGTAACAAATGTTAAAATGCATGAGTCTTGACTATAAATAAATTGTTTTTTTTTTCAGTAATTTATTTATTTATTTATTGAAACACGCCCGAGGGCATTGAGTACAGTTATATATTATAATACACATTTGACACATAAGCATTAATAATTACAATAATTTTAGGTAATTAAATTAAGTAACCATAATATTAAATTATAAATAACAATAGGTGATAAAACCGTTAGCCTATTGACAATTAATAAAATACAGATAATTAAAACAGTTGTGTACCGGTTCGCAACTTCGCCTGACAGAAATGAAAAATGTCCATGTTGTTATCTAGATGGTTGCAAGAGACCAGAGCTCTGTTAATGGGTAAAAAAAAGCCATGTAGTGACCTGTGTTTTGCTATAGCAAATGTTTGCCGGGTTCTGGAATTAAATGAAGGAACTGATATACCAATTAGGTTCATAGCTGTGGTCAACGACTGTACAACTATTAGGAAGTTTTGAGTTAATAAACCTTAGAAATTTTTTTGAACACGTTCTATTTTAACAAACATATTATAAAATGACACAATTTATTTCTATTGTACCTAATTCACTGAAGTGAACTTTCTTATTTTACTCCAATTATTAGTCTAATACTTTCACACATTCATACAGCAACAGAAATTTTTTTCGTAGTTTATCTATGTTTCCATAATATTTTGATTTTTGTTTTCTCTGGGTAGTTATAAAAACTTTTGACATTTATTGGCAATGGTTAAGTCTCTCCTTTCCCTATGATTCGGTCTCTTTCCTTACCGCATGATTCAAATCTCTTTCTATTGTAGCCATCTGTAGCTCTATCTCCAGAAAGTCCGTATTATCGTAGGTTTCAATTTCAATATTTGACAACATATTTTTTTGGCTTGGTGATAAATGAATATTTCTATGCAATACGGATGATGTAACCAACATAAAAGCGTTTTTTCTATTTTTCTTATATTATGGTCTAAGTTTAAACATGATGTTTAACCTACCTTATCTAATTGAAAGAATAAGACTATCACAATCAAATAAAAAAGATTGTCGACTCCCCATTGTTTGTATGATATGAGTTACAATAAATGTATCTAAAATAATGGATAAATATTATGTGATATTATAAAATTCATAAGTAATGAAGCAATGACATTTTTATCTTAATTTTATCTAATTCATTCACGTGGTAAACAAACATTAAAATATCATATGTAGGGCCTAGAACTTAATGTTTATTAAATTAATTAGTTATTAATAATTACATACCTGCTATTTTAGCTCTAAACCAAAATACATTATGCCAGTTGGATTTTAACTCAGTCTCAAATCTCAATTTGGGCTGGGTTAGGTTTAAACCGTTGGTTTTAAACGAGAGTGTTGAACCACTTATTATTATATTAAATTTATCCGGTAACATTCAATCAGGCTAATTTGACATTAATAATATGCTTAACGTAAACAATTGTTCGGACTGGGCTGGCTTCAATTTTATTTTGAATCGGTTGAAATTGGTGATAGGTGCATTGGTATTAATTTTCAGTGAGGATACAAATTCCAAAATATTTAAAAAGATTTAACAAAAACTTTTATTTTGCAAAAAAATAAAAAATAAAAGTTATTTTTTAACAAAATGTGGTAATTGTATAATTCATAAATATAAGTTGTATGAACAAACGTTAATTTTTAAAACAAATCTAAAACGTTGATATGAAAAAGTTCAATGAACAAATCATTTTTATAAGTTCAGTTTAAGGTAACGATTTTTGACTGATAAAATATAAAATGTGAAAACGTTTTCATTTTAACTATTCATTTTCGTTACGTTACGCAACCCTGCATAAAAGTAAATTCTACTTAAAAAGTTAAAGTTATGCTTAGAAAATGTAAATGAAAATTGTTTTGTCGCTGTCGTAAAAAGTACAGAAAACGTCACTTACGGCAAATAGTCTTTTAAGTTTAACAGTCATTACTAATATGTGTTATCTGTTTAGACACCACCAGAATACTACACTTTCGTACGATCGTTAACAATTTAAAGAACTGTGACTAATAAATTAATAAATATGTTCTTATCAGTTTAAAATGATACTAGTTTAGTCTGAATAAATAATATATTTAAAATATAGCTAACTTATAGATCTAAATTAAGACTACCTACTTTGTTACAGCTAAGAAAAAAACTGCAAGCCACTCAAAGCAAGGGACTGACAAGTTCATCAGTAGGAAACGTTAGAATTGATGTAAGAGTTTTGTATTATTGATTATTATTATATGTAAAATAATAAGTCACAATATTTAAGACTGGATTTTTATGTTGTAAATACTTGTCTTATATTTTTCAAATTGTCAACCATTATAAGCAATTGTTTTTTTTATTTCTATGTTTATATTTATAAAAAATGTAATGACTAATTAACATCAATAATAAAAGCCGTGATGAATAATACAATTATTGTTACAACAACGAGTCTTCTGTATAAATAATACACTTTTTTAAAAATATTTTTCATTGGTTAGCTTCATTACTGCCTTCTTGAGAGAGGTTTCTTAACTGATTTTGTACTCAAAAAAAAATGGTATCAATAAATGATGACTAAGGCTTAAGAAGAGTTAATTGGAAAATTGAAATTATTATACCAATTAAAATACAATTGATTAGTTGAGAATGTACAGTGATTCTAATAAATATTTGAATTTATTTGGCTATAGGTATATCAAGAATAACTAATACCACAATAGTGGGTATCACTAAATGAGTTATTCTTGTATGTCCTAATTCTTAGGAATCAAATTTTGTTGACGGCATTTGCAATACATTGAATATATTAAATAAAAATAACAAAAATTAATTTTCAAAACTTTAATTTATTAAATCCAAACTATGTCACATAAAAAATTATTTGATAGTTTACTGCTACAATAGGAATGAAACCAATAAAAAACATTTAACAATAAATAATCATAATCCTTACAAATTATAAGCATACAAAAAATAGATAAAACTATTTTTGATTTTAATCAATTTGTTATTGTATAAACTAAAGATATTAACAAAAAAAAATGTCCAAAAATGTTTTATTATTACTATAACTTGCATAGGCGTGGACAAATATTCTGGACGAGTAGTCATATTCCCCCCCCCCCCCCAAAAAAAAAAGGTTTAAGTGTTCTATATGACGTGACTTACAACTGAGAATCAATTCATTCTCAATCCCCTAATCACGGGGGTTCATAGCTATAATTTTTTAAGACTTGCTAAGTAATTTGTTAAAAAAATCATACCTGAATCAACGAATATAAAAATCATATAAATAGAAAGTTACTGCTAACCGTAAAAGTGAGAAGAGTGGTGAATGTATTTATACCGTATGAGAATATGGTTTATATACACAACATAGGGATTTTGATAGGGGATATGTTAGTAAGTTATTTGATCGGTACCTATAAATTTTAAGATAAGATGATAAGTGAATTTTATGATGACAACGGTCTGAGGGTGAAGGGCTCATCTGTGCAGGGTATGGATAAAATTATAGTTTATACTTCCCATGTCCACGCTTATGTCTTGCTACACTAGTTATTTTATTTATAGGTTATTCGATTTAAAAATTTGTCTAAGTAGGTAATTAATTGATAAAATAAATGCATCACTCCTCTAAAAACTAAAAACGCACACATTTTTTTTAAATATTACAATTAATACACACGGGCACGCGTGTGATTTATAGGTACACTAATTTGCAAGCAACAATTAAGTTTTACAAAAAACAAAAATTGTTTATTGATACAAATAAATGGATGTATCTAAATATTATATACAAAAAAAAACATAATTTAATTACAATCTAATGCATTACCACACGTTGGTATATATAGGCAATAATATTTATATAAATAAGTTATAACTTTAACAACACGTATAAATAATAATAATAAAATAATTATATGTATTCATATTATAAGGTTTGAATAATAATCGATAAAATGTACTTAACACTAAAACCCAATGACAAAAAAAAAAATAATAATAATAAAAAAACAATAATGAGACGCGGCCACAATAATAATAAAAAAAAAAATCATTAGGCTATTACACTATTTTGCGAAGACAACAATAATACAAAAGATAGACATAACAGTGACAAGATTACAACTAATTATAATACGTAGACGGACAAATTCATATTTTAGACGACGTTTAGGCTGAAGTAATGTGTAACGTTTCAAAACGGTAAACTAGCTATAAACATGTTTTCAATTAGAGGCGGAGCGGGTACCAGATCCTCCAACTTCAAGTAGAATATCCTCTGAAGGCCTTGCACGCTCAAAGAACGCAATTCTGGCAGTTTGGCCAACAATCTCGAAAAGTAATAAGATTTGCGTTGCGAATCCGACATGGAATAAGCGATGTGCTCACGTAAAGCGTTGATGATTTTCATTTGTAGCTGTTCTACTTTTTTGGCTTCTCGAAGCCCATGGCGTTCTAATGAAATAATAAAAAAAATATATATATTTTAGATTCAATACCGGGAAGGTTAAGTAGTGGGCAATCGAAAAGAAAAACGCCTCTACTAAACGTGTAATATAGTAGGTAATATACCTGTAATCAATGTTAAGGCGCATATACAAGAAAATGAGGATATGTCAATTTCCAACGAGTGTAGCGACTGACTGAAATCCAGTATAGCTTGTAGCCAATCGCCAAAGCTTCTGTGGCATTGTTGTTTCTCCAAGACAACTCCGTTGCAAAATATCAATTTTGTGTCTGCATATTTAGTCCTGTAGAAGTGGTCGGTATTAAAATGTATTACACCTACCACCGCAAACCGTTAAACATTAAATTGCTCCGGGTGCTTACCTATAGGCTAGTCGGAGTACGAATAACTCTAGGGATGCTGACTGAAACAATAAATCTTGATCTGTCTTGCACAATGTCTTATAGCCCGGTATTTTATCAGCAAAATGCTTAATCACTTCAACAGAAGTCGTGAGCAATCCGAAAAATTGTTGAATTTTTTCCGCTTCTGTTGTCAATGACTCAAATGGTTTTGAATCATGATACTAAAAACAAACGACCATAATTTAATTAACCAACGTGCACTAAAATTAAAAACTCGGTTAATTATTTTTTAGCTAACAGTAAGCATATACTATAATGATGACCACCATCACATATCACTGGAGTTCATTGCGTGGCAGAAGTATTATAGTAGAGAACATAGTATGGAATTGCCTAGGGCGGCCATATTTATAGGAGATGGTTTTGATGGCATATTTTACAATGATTAATTGAAAAATACAAATTTTAAAAATAGTGACAGGATGCCAAATGTCATTCGGTTATATGTAAATCAAATTGGTTGAATAAGCTGCAACCTAATATTTAATACTCGACTCTACGGAACACAAGTTAAATTAAAAAAAATATTAGCAGTTAAATAACATATTTGAAATAATTTAATATTTTTGCTTTATGGGTATAACATAGACAAGAAGTTTATACAATGTTTTTATGGAATATAATTAATTTAATTGTTTCAATATATTATTTTATATGTCAATACAATATTATACAATTTGATTGTTGCAAGAATCTAGTACATATTTTTAGCACCACTTGAGCGTTAAAAACATAGATTCCCCATTAATTTATATATTGCCTCATTTCTCATATAATTATTAAGGATATTGGATACTCATTATATTGAAAAAATATATAGTTGGACCAAGCAGATGTTTGGTTAAAGCAACTCCACATTTAGTTGGCCCAAGTATGTATTTTTTTCAGTGTAATACCCATAATAATTAGACTTGTTATCAGTTTTAATTAGAGTTATCGTGTCATCTAAATGGTTGCAGTATTGGTCCTTATTATTTCAAAAATCCCTTGTACTCTCTTTTGTATGGGTGGGAGGGGCCGAGGGGGAGGGGGGACGTGCGCTATTACCGATGTTGCTGGACTTACTTGGGAGTAGTCGAGGGATGAAAAATCCGGATTGGTGTCGACATGTGCTCGTACAAGCGCTGTGATGAGAGACAACGGAGGACTGGGCGGTGATCCGTGAGGCGACTTTGGCTTTGACGGCAAACGACCACGGCGGCCCTTTAACGAATCTGTACGCACCACTTCTTTGACCATGCCCACCTGCAGACATTTTTGGAAACGGCAAAACTGACAGCGGTTCCTCCGCCTTTTGTCTACTGGACAATTTTTGTCGGCCAGGCAAACGTACTTGGAGCCCTTCTGAACGGTCCGTTTGAAAAAGCCTGAACACCAAACGGACGGGTATAAATATAAAATGGCCAAATGGTTAAGTTTTCTCCGAGTCGAATATCATCACACAAAGGCAAAAACAATAATGGTAAATGAACATTTTTAAATTATTAAGGTATCGATAACCGTGTTGTCGCTTAGACTTGAACGCGCAACGCGATAAATATAGGTATTGGGTGCAGTATTATTTATACAATATTAGGTACCTATTGGGCACTGTATTTATAATGCTATACCTTTGCATCCTTCGCACGTACGCACTCCATAGTGCTGACATGCTGCAGTGTCGCCACATACGGCGCATAACTGGGACGGAGATGAGGGGGCCATTCCAGTAACGTTCCTGGGCAAACACAAGTCCTGCGATGAACAATCGTTGGGCACGGCTACCGGTAACGGATTCATGGTGTGTCGTATTTTCGGCGATAAACTCCTAAAAATAAAACGAAATTAAAAACTCAATGGATGGGATATACGGCTTAAGAGTCAAGACCCTATAGGACACTACAGAGTTGTAGACAAACATGAATAAATATAGATAATATGCTGACACAAGTCACCAGCTCTAGGAAGACCGAAAAAGAACAGGGTGGATAAACGAGGTTTGATAAATATAAACACGGAGGACACAATGTGTGGAGTGAATTAGCGATGAATAGAGAGACTTGTGGAGAGAGTTGCTTTGGATGGAATAAGGCGAAGAACAAGACAAGTCACAAGAGCATACTTACTGCAATTATGTTATTCGAGTACTTAAGATGAGAACTCCTTAACCGTAATATAATATATTAGAAGCCAATAATATTTAATACATCTGGTTGACAGAGTTTTGTGCTAGGACATTAACAAAATAACGGTACATTTGGTATTTACGGATAAAAGTCGAACCAGCTGAATTTCAGTAAGCACTTTTATGATAACTATGTCAACTATGTCTGGGGTAAGTACACCGAAGCCTCTTGATTCGTACAAACATTGTAATATTATTAAGATGAACACCGCAGTAAATATATCGTCTAACGGTAATTAAATTATTGGTGTATGTCAAAAAGCACGATACTTGAAAAAAAGGTGTTATAGAAACTAAAAGGTTTTCTATTTAAGTGGCTATGGAATTATAATAAATGAAATCACTTTTAAAGAACAATTTTAACTTATTTTTGGATTTTTTTAATAAAAAAAAAATTTGATTGCAGATTTTAAAAAAAATGTACATCCGTTCAGCCTCATTCAGATCTAACTACAGCTACAATTTTCAGATCTGATTATTAAAACTACAACTAAAAATGCGAAATGATGAAAATTCTATAATGCTTCTGGGGGGGGGGGGGGAGGACAAATGATATGCTCTGTGGTTTTAAAACTGCTTGTACTTTTTCCACTAGCGTGGTAGCGTAGTGACTTCTTTATATTAGTACCTACACTGTGGTTAGATAATATAACTTATAATCTCTTGAATTTCAAATTTGTTTTTTAGGAGATATAGTGGGCTTTAATTAAGATCTATAATTGTTTTAAACAAATGACGGTTTACCCTGTGGAATCCGTTCTGTGCATCATCATTGAAGTCCTCCTGGGCCTGGCAGTGATATGCAGTTCAGTGGCGAGTTGCATCGACGGTGGCTGCTGCTGCTGCTGTTGCTGCGGATGGTTGATTGGGTGCATGGTAACGTGCTCCACCATCAAGTTGGCCTCGAATCCTACACTGTGGTCGGGGCCCGGGGAGTCGGCGGCCTGCGGGGCTATAGCGGCACCGGGAAAATGCTGATAATGATAATCGAAGTGGACGATCGGGAGCGTCGGCGGTGGCGGTGGCGGCGGCGGTCCGTGGTGGTTATTATGATGATGATGATGGTGATGGTGGTGTGGCGGTTGTTGCTGCTGTATGTGTTGGTGGTGTTGTTGTTGGTGATGGTGGTGGTGGTGTTGGTGTTGGTGCTGGTGGTGTTGCTGATGCGGCGGTGGGTAAACGGACGCCGCGGCCGGCGTCTGAGTGGTCGCGTACTCGTCGTCCATCTTGAACCCTACGCCAGGACCGGCGGCGTACGTTTCTTGAAAACTGGGCAACAGGCCGGCGGCAGTGATTGCATTGTGCGGATGGGAATCGTCAACACCGGAAACGTCAGACAATACTCCGTGCACGTCTGACAGTGAGTCGATCTCTTCGTTCAACGGCAGCTCTGAGTAAGAAGCACCGGTGAGCAATTCGGCAAACGTACTTGGCGTAAATGTGCTCTGCGAACATTGAATACATACTACATCATTACAAAGGGAAACTCGTTCGGGTAATTAAACTGTGCAAAGTCAGGATTGTCTGGCCTGGAAATGGGAATTTTCCAGATGGCCTAGCTAATGTTGCTAAGACATTTTTTTTTAGCATGCAAAGTTTGTAAAAGATATCTTAAATGATCTATATAAATTGAAATCAGAATTTGTATGCAGTTAAACCTGGCTGAGACTTTAAATAAACAGAAAAACTGTATTAAAGCCACAGTTTTTGTATGGTTTCAACGAACCACTTGGCATATAATAATTAATATATCTTACTGAATAAGAAGGAAATACGGCTAAATTCGACATTTTCTTAAACGTTTATCTTTGAAAATGTTTATTTAAAACAGATTTTCATAAACTTTTTTAAGTATTCGTGAACAACGTACAGAAAATAGCCAAAACTGCCGTTTTCTTTAAATGGAGATTATTAATGAAAACATGACCTATTGCACAACAATTAACACTAATTCCGACTTCAAGAGAAACACTTTAAAAATTAATCTGTTTGATTCTCGTGCAAAAGTATATTTTCTTATAATATATTTTGTGTTAATTATAATAAGTTTGACTTGATCAAAACTTTTGTGAAAACCCAATTATAATTTAATACTTATGTTAACAATTCTAGTTTTGTTTGTTAATTAAAACTTGAAACAACACAATAATTATTTTTCGATTTTTTTGTGCATATAGAAATAAAATATAAAAAGTGATTAATGATTAATAATTACTTATTAAGTAATGAACAGCTTAGTAAACAATTTATTATTTCAAAGGATTGCATTGATACAATGGGCAGACATACAAGGTTTAGTGATCTTTAATATATTAATAGAAAAACTTAACCATTTTTAAGCTGGCGAGATATTTTTTAAAATCCAGTTATATTTAATTGATATAGATTTTAATTGAATTAGAACTGTTTCACCTAAAGTACATTGTTATTATTTTTTCATATAGCCTTCTACCTTTATTTAAAAGTAAATTTAAGGTCTTAGATAGAAAACTTTCAAATTTAACACATTATAATATTTTGAAAATAGCAACAAAAGTTTTGAATTTGTTAGGGTTTTTAAGATAGATATAACCGAAATAACCGAATAACAGTAAAAAATGACCTTTGTTAATCCTTCCTTCCAGCATTTTTCGGAACACTTTATCTTAGGACTTTGATCTGAATTAAACTGAAAATATGTCTAATGGTTTCTATAATATATGTACAATTTATTATAATTTTATTTATTCTATATTATAATGTACATCTAATGGTTTCTTTTTATACCTAACATACAAATTATTTTCAAAAGTATTAAGCCATAAAAAATTACTAGTATATTTCAGTACTAAAACGAGAACTCAACTTCTATAGGTAACAGTTTTTTGGTCGGCATCGCTGATATTAAGTTACTTATTATTAAGTTACTTATTAGATAGATATATTAATTCTCATCCCATTTACACATATAAATGATGTTCCCTCTTAGGATGGCTAATTGTGTGTCTCGGAGTGTCAACGTCAAATTAATGTTATAGCTATTAATTATACGTGTACTACAACTGACAACTTAATAATATGCTACTTGATATCCCTAATATGCGATGAATTCATTATTATTCACAATATTTAATATTATTAGATTTATTTTGTACTTCTTTTGTACATATATGTTATCCTTTTTTAAGTTACCTAGTGTATATTTTATTTACAACTCAAATGGTTTAATAATATACCACCAACAATAAATCAGTCAACTATTTAATGTATCTCAAAGAGAATATTGACATTGACCACATTATTACTTACATATATTATAATAATAGTTTTTTTTTTAAACCGTTGAAAATAATGTTTTACAATGATTTGAATACCCATTGAAATAGTTTTATTATATTTGAATGGAAAATAATGCATAATATGGTTAGGATTTTTGACACGACCTTTGAGGTGAACAAAATCCTAAGGTTAGGTTAGGTACTAGGGAAACATTACCAAAGTCAAATTGGTACAGTTATGTTGTATTCTAACTTCTACATCATAATTTAATTGTTGGATAATAAGAAGGTTCTAGGGGACTCATGTTTCTATAAAGGTTTTTTTAATGTAGGACGTAGCTTATGCCAACTTAAATTAAAAATGTATATGTCTTAAGATCTGTATCCAAACAGTTTGTATTGCACAAATAGGGGACTCATGTTTCTATAAAGGTTTTTTTAATGTAGGACGTAGCTTATGCCAACTTAAATTAAAAATGTATATGTCTTAAGATCTGTATCCAAACAGTTTGTATTGCACAAATAGGAATTTTGTTATTTTGATCATTTTTTTATCGGTTTTCTACAGTAAGTATAGTTTTTGTTTTTTTTTCACATTTGTTTTAGTGTTATACTATTGTTTTGGTTGTAGTGATAAAAACTAATTTCAATAACTTCGATAAAAAATAATTTAGTAATAATATTCGTTATTTTTCTTTTTTGTAAAGAAACATTGTTTGTTATGTTTAACGATTGTTATTCTTTTGTAAAACGTAAAAACTAATAGTGGTTATTTTTCGGAATGTATGATATTTTTAACGTTTTACATGTGTCATTTTAAATTTTAGACTTATTATAAAACACTAACACGTAGTTCAACTTAAGGGAATTAACACAAACAATTCAATATCATATCCCAGACAGGGCTTTGTGCTTCAAATTTTGAAATGTGATAAGTGTGTCGTTTCCAGTTTCATTTTCCTGAAGTTATAACAAATAACATTTGCACTACTAATAAGACCTAGAAGATAACCATCAAAATGTATACAATAATTATTAGGTAATGGATATTTTCCGAACCCTAATATGCTTGTAGTTATGAACAGATATTATGAATCGGTTAGGTAACTTTGCGCCAATATGCCGTATACATTAATTTAAGCTAATGAATAAATCATATAAATACGGGATGTTTGTAAAATTCATTCAAACATAATTAAATTGCAGATTAAAATGTATAGAATACAGTGAACGCGTGTCGTCTAGTGGGTGTTTTTTAATGAACCTTAATTATTAATATTGCATAATATCAATGAACATTTTGAGGTATAAACGCTCACATATATTTTGTTTTTGTTAACATTTATTTTTGTATAATATAACATAACCAATTGACGTTATTAAGAAAGATTTTTTTTTGCTTCTTTTGCGATTGTTTGCTGGAAAAAATCGGTATTGGAAAAAAATATAAATTTATTGACTAGCAAGAAAATAAATTAAAATGAGTTTCAACAAAATTTAGTAAAGATGTCAATGAACGAGTTAAAATATTAAAAATCAGATAAGCTTGTCGACATTTTACAAGGGTTTAATAAAATTCCATCCCTTCTAAAAGAAGGATGTACGATAATTGTTTAAGTTGTCAACGTTTGTCGGTAGTACTATGTCTTAAGAGTATCCTATACAAATTTAGCACTATTTGGACTATTTTGAAAAAAGATATGGAGCGCCGTAATTTTAAGTTAAAAACAACTTTCTCGATTTTGAAGATGAAGGGATGAACTTTTAAATTTTTTTAATCTAATAAAGTACTTTACAGTTACGATTTCTGATCTTAAGAGCTGCTACACGAAGAAACGGTTCAGTGGTTTAATCGAAGCTAAAAAACCTTATTAAAATATTTAATGTAGTATATATTTTATGGTACAATATTTAAAAAAAAAAATAAAACATTTTTTTTTGTTGAAATATGAATAAAAATCAATGTAAAATTAACGCCAAAATGTGTCTTTTAAGCGTGCGGCTTACAACCCTGAACCCACATGCCGAAATTATTGATGAAAACTAAAAAAATTTCGTATACCCTAATAGATAAACCTAAGGAAAAAAGAAATTTAAATTAGACTACGAATATATTGGAAATTAAAAACAAATTCAAGAGAGAGAGTTAATTTTGTAACAACAAAATTTCGTATACAACATACATACGAGTATACACACATATATATATATATATATTTAGGTTTTTGTATATTCACCTAGAAAAGCTTGTAATGAGTTAAAAGAAAATGTCAACAAAAAGTTAATAAATCAAACATTTGTCTTTCTATTTTGAGAAAATTGCGTTTAATGTTTAAAATACGATAAATTAATGAGTGATGGTAATTTATGACCCTATAAGGTTAATATGTTCAATAATGTTTTAAGGATTTAATTTTGAAAGGTTTCTCTTTTAAAAGATTTTGTTTTACTCAAGCCTCTCTTAAGATGGGTTTACTCAGGAATTTACTGCCTTGGTTTCACTTTACTTCTTAGAATGGAAGTTTTCTTTTACTGTACTGATTTTGTTTTTGCGCTTGAGTAATATATTTTAATTGTTTTTAAAATATTTTATAATAAAATGTACTTTTTCAACTATAACTCCGAAAGGCTGTAGACTTTGTTTTGCTTGTATAACATTTTTTGATTGTCATAAGAAATACAACGAAATTATAATCCAACATGGCTACAGAATTTCATTTAAGTCGATAATCTAAGGGAAACAAAGGGAAGTAAAAACAGATTTTATACCTTCCAGGAAAGAGGGTGAACCCTAATATATGAGCTATAGCTGCATAAGTTGGTTTTTGCAAATTTTATAGTCGAATTATGTTTTTTAAGAAACTTCTGAAAGACTAACATGAGATTGCGCCGCCACACTGTCTGATGCCGCCATTCAGTCAACCACGCTCTACATAGCTGCTTCCGCATCCTGGGGAAATGATTCAGAATCACATTTTACAATGTGAGCACATTTAGTTGTTGGACACTGGTTTGTAGTAAAAATTTAAATGTTCACTAAAAAAAATACACGTTTATTTTGCACATTTCGACAACATTAGGATATTCAAAAAATATATAACCACCTTAAAAATATTAATGTTACCTCTAGTAGTGTAAATTTAAAATAATTTCAAGACATATAGAGGAAGAATTATGGGTTAAGTTAC